CGAATTGTTCCTGGAGTTAAACTGTAAATGTTAGGTGCAGAGCTTGTGACAACACATCAGGGGCCCTCAACTTCTAGGGGGGAGGCCTGGGTGACAGGTCCAGGCAGCTGCAGCTTTGGAGTCATACGAACTTAAACGCGGGAACATGCATTTTGAAGACCCAGTAATTCTAGAAAGCGGCCTGCACAGTGCGGTTAAATTTCTGAGCCGAGCTGTTCAAAGGGCTGCCAGGAGGGTCGCGAAGATTACGGATGCGATTACTCGCCCACATCTGAGATTTCTACATTCCCGCAGGCAACCACGATTCCACTTGTGGCTCGGAAGGGGCGGGGGGCAAGGCGCACGGGAGACGCGGCCTAAGGCGCGACCCCTGGAAGCTCAGGCCTGGAGGGGCACTCGGTCCCCTATCCCGAAGGGACCGAGGCTCCCGGGGGCGCCTTTGCCACGGACATGGACCTGAGCCCTCGGGAGGCGGCGCTGCCGGGCCCCCGGTTCCCGGGCCCAGCGCGTCCGTCTCCCCGCAGCGAGCGCGCCAGGTGCACAGGTGTGGCCCGGACACCAGGTGTAGTCAGCGTTAGCCCCGGGCCGGCTTCCCTCCCGCGCGCCCTCCCTCGGGTCGGGCCACCTGCCTACCTGCGTGTACAGCGCGGCAACCGCCATGGGCGAAAGAGCCGGGGCAGCTGGGGGGCTTGGACCCGGGGTGCTGAGGCTCCGGGGCAGGTAACCGCGCGCAGGAGCTGCATCCAGAGCACTGGGCCACCTGGGGAAAGTTTTCCAGGGATCCCCAGACTTTCCCGAGGGCGGGCGGCCCGGGAGGAGACGGGCGCGGATTGGTCCCTCCCGCCGGGCCTGGCCAGTCTCCTCCACGATTGGCTGGGACGGGGGTGGGGCGGGGCGGGGCGCGACCCTCCTCCCCGTAAAGCGTCCGAGGCGGAGGGGTCCACCTGGCGGGGGGCCGAGCGCTGCGCCCAGAACCCTCCGGAGCGGGATGCACGGACTCTCACCGGAGGAAACAGGTGTGTTCTGAGACCTGTCCCCGCCCAAGTGTCCGCTCCCTTAAGTCTCAGCGTCTTTACTGGAAAGAACAGAGGGATATGACCATTCCCATAGAAAGTCCAAGAGAATTAATAAACTATTAGAACTTGTGAGAGTTCAGCTAGGTGACCATATTCAAAGTCAAATATAAAAAATGAGTAACTTTCCTTTATATCAACAAAAGCCCTTTAGAAAATACGATAAAAAGTAAAATAGAAAAATAAGATGTTTACAATATCAACGAAAATACAAGGTGTCCAGAAATTACACCAACAAAAACGCACTTGGCCTTTGTGGAGAAAATGTTTAAATTTCTCTTCAGGGGCATAAAAGGCCTGAGTAATACATGTCATTTTCAAAGATGGGAATATTTAATATGGTGCAGGTGTCAATTCTACCCAAATTAATAACATGTAAGCCCAATATAAATGGAATAAAAGTCTTTGCAGGACTTCTGGAAAATTGTACAATGATATCTTTTATGGAATAAAGTCCCATTTTGGTTAAGCACCAGCCTTCTGGAAAGTCTGTGGACTGGCTGCAAAACTTGTCCTGCAAGATGGTGTAGCAACATTTTGTATTTTTAAGTGCATACATCTAGACTTCTATTAAATTGATTCCTGGGCATAGTATTCTTTTTTATGTTACTATGAATGTCTATAAGTGTTTTCTTAATTTCATTTTCCAATTGTTTATTGCTAGTATAAATAGAATTTATTTTTATATATTGGCCTTATATCTTCTGAGCTTTTCTAAATTCATTTATTAGATCAAGTAAATTTTTTGTGTGTGGATTCCTTATAATAGTCCACACACAAAATAATCATTTGTAAATATTCATTCTTTATTTATTTGAAAGGAAATGAAATGTTTTCATTTCCTTTCAATCTAGGGTGCCATTATTTAATTTTCTGGTGCCCATTGCTTTGGCCAGAACAACCAGCACAACATAGAACTACAGTGGCAAGAACAGCCAGACACCCTTGCCTTCTTCTCGGCTTCAGGGGGAAAGCGTTCAGGTTTGGTTTTCTGGGGTTTTTTTCCCATTAATTATAAGGTTACCGTAGTTTTTTTTCCAAACATGAAGGAGTTCCTCCTTCCTAGTTTCTTATGCTGGGTTTTTTTGTTTTTCAGTCTTGAATGGGATTGATAGATCATTTTCTCTTCCCTTTTCTCAATCTATATGTGTTTCTGAATCTATAGACAGTGGGTCTTTAAAACAAAATTCAGTTTGACTATCTGGGTCTTTAAAAAAATTCAGTATGACTATCTCTGCTTCCAGTAGAAGTGTTTAATCCACTCACGTTTAATGTAATCATTGATTTATGATTTATCTTGTCTTCTATATGGCTCGTGTATTCTTTGTTTTGTTTTGTTTTTCTGTTTCTCCTTTACTGACATTTTTGGTGATAGATTTTTAATTTTTTCATGAATGATTTTAATTTCTACCTTTTAAAAAACTATATTCCTTGGGTTAATTTTTAATGGTTCCTCTAGGGATTAAATTATGCACCTGAATTCATCACAGATACTTCAGTTTAATACTGTATCACTTTCCTACAGCTGTTGTAACAAAGTAGCACAAACTGTGTGCTACTCACAGTTCTGAGATCACCATGCTTACTGCTCAGTGTGTGACCTGGCCTCACTGGGTTTCACCGGGATCAAGGGAGCCCTCCAAAGGCACAGCTGGTAGTTTTCACAGCTTGCCCAATTCTGGCAGAGCTACCTGGCCACCTGATGTGGGGGAGGGGAGGATCATGGGAGCAGCCCCAGGCAACAATGCCAGACTTTCATTGTTCTTACCCAGAGTTCAGTGGTTTTTCATGGATAACCACTACTGATTTGTTGTGTGCTGTTGGTCCATTTACAGAGCCCTAAAATTGTTGTTCTTGATTCTTATGTCCAGTGTTGTGCTTGCTTTTTTTTGAGGAGAGAATTTGTTGAGCTCCTTCCTCAGTCTGCCATACCAGATGTCAAAATCTATTTAAATAAATTATTGCAATATAATTCTTATACCATACATATCACCCATTTAAAGTATACAGCTCAAGGACCCATTAGCATGCATCTACCCTAACTACTGACGACTGTGGAAGACTGTACTATCTAATAGAGAAATCAGAGAAGGCACCTACAAAGTTGTAAGAGTAGATACAAAACTACAAGTCAAGCGGTAGCCATGAAGAACACTGGACGAGAAAGTGAAGAGGAAGAGATCCCTAGCACTGCAATTCAGGAAATTTCTCTGTTAAAAGAATTTCGTCATCCAGAGTCAGTCTTCGAGATGTGTTCATGCAGAGCTCTGGGTCGTATCTCATCTCTGAATACCTTTCTATGGATCCCAAGAAATGTCTGGATTCTATCCTTCCTGATCATAGATTCTTCACTCGGTAAGAGTCATTTGTACCAAATCCTAGAAAGGATTGTTTTGTCACTTAAGAAGAGTTCTATGCAGAGATTAAAACCTCAAAATCTATTGGTTGATGACAAAGGAACAATCCAACTGGCTGCTTCTGGCCTTGCCAGAGCTTCTGAAGCACCTGTTCGAGTGTGTACCGGTGGGGTATGAACACTTGGCTGTAGATCTCCTGAAGTACTGCTGGGGTCAGCTAGCTATTTGACTCCACTTGACACTCAGAGTGTAGGCACCATATCTGTGGGGTTAGGAACTAACAAACCACTTTTCCATGGGGATTCAGCAATTGATCAACTCTTCAGAATTTTCAGAGCTTTGGGTACCCCAAGTGAAGCGTAGCCGGAGTAGAATCTTTACAGGACTATAAAAGAATACATTCCCCAAGTGGAAGCCAGAAAGCCTAGCACCCACGTCAAAAACTTGGATGAGAATGGATTAAATCTGCTCTAGAAAATGTTAGTCTATGATCCTGCTAAACAAATTTTTGGCAAAATGGCATTGAATCATTTATATTTTAATGATTTGAACAACCAGATTAAGAAGATGCAGCTTTCTGAGAATTTCCACGTGTGGTATTGAGTACAGATAGTTGTATCTTTACTGTCAACTTTATTTTTCTTGTGTTTTTTTTTGTTTTCTTTGTAAAACTTATACTTCATCCTCTAACTTAAAAATGTAAATATTATTCAATATGAATTTAGATAATTCTATATATGCATGTAGATCTCACTGTAACAACTATTTACTATAATAAAACTATAAATCTAAAAAAAATAAAGTATACAACTCCGTGGTTTTCAATATATTTACAGATATGTTAAACTATCACCAGTCAATTTTAAAACATGGTCATCTAGAAAAGAAACTGTGGTGCTCTTTAGCTATCGCTCCCCAGCCCCTCTACACCCCCACTCCTCAGCGGTAGTTAAGCAACCACTCACCTACTGTATACTAGCTCTCTCTTTCTTAATTAGCCTGGCTAGAGGCTTATCAATTTATTTATCTTTTCAAAGAACCAAGTTTTTGTTTCATTGATTTTCTCTTATTGATTTCCTGCCCTCAATCTCACTGCTTTCTGCTCTAATTTTCATTTCTTCTCTCCTGCTTTCTTTACTTTTAATTTCCTCTCTCCCTCTATTTCCTGGAGTAGAAAGTTAGATGGTTGACGTTAGGGCTTTTCCCCCCTAAGGCATAGATTTCACGCTGTGCATTTCCCTCTAAGCATTGCTTTCACTGCACGTCACAATGTTGGATGAGTCGTATTTTCATTTTCATGTAGCTCAAAGTATTTTAAAATTTCTCTAGAGATTTCTTCTTTGACCCATGTGTTTTTTAGAAGTGTGTTGTTTAATCTCCATGTATTTGGAGATTTTTCAGATATTTCCCTCTCATTGATTTCTACTTTAATTCCATTGTCATCTGAGAGCATATATGATAGGATTTTTATTCTTTAATTTTAAAGGCATGTTTTCAGCCCAGAATGTGGCCTATGTTGGTGTATGTTCCATGTGCTGTGCGTTATTGATCAGACATGAACAAAAATCCGTCATCTTCATACCTTTATTTGAACAATTCTCTATAATAGCCAGGAGAATACAGCATTAATGACGCACACTTACTAAGTACAACATTAGACAACTACAAAGCTTAAATGTCAATCTGATTTGGTTTTGGTTTTCATCTTAGCACTAGTTGATATCTTTTGTTGATATGAGGTGAATTATTAGTTTATTTTTAAAAACTCCATGTGAGATATGCTGGGATGGGTTCTGTTTAAAACCAGAGTTGGTTGATAATGCCTTTCATTTTTCAGTGCTTCCGCTTCCTTTTTAATGGATGAACACGGTACCAAAGAACTTTTAAAAGATGAAACGTAGTTTGTTTTTCTGTGTAGCTCAAAGTAGAATTCCTTTTCCAGGTCCGACAAGAAAAACTATTTGGAAAATTGCAATGTTCAATTTCATTTTAGTTAAAAAGCGTATCCATCTCACAGTCAATTAGCAATTAAAGTTAATAATTAAAATACAGTGTTAAATGTCATGAGCTCATTTTTGTGCAACACTGTTAGAGAAATTTAAATTTCCAAGACACAAAAAAGTCAATGTTACTTCCAGGATTCCACAAAAATACATAACTAGGAATCATAAATTACAATATACATATCCACATTTAAAGGGAAAAAAATCACCATTTGTTGGAAAAAAATTAAATGGCTCAAATGATTTAGAAAGCCTGAAGTGTAGTCTAAAATTTTACAACATATGGTAACATAAGATATTTGAAAAAATGCATAAAAATGTACTGACCTACCAAGCATTGAATTATACATTCCAGTTTCAACTCAAAAACATTTTTCTTTCAAATATTTCAAGCAATATTACAGTATTAAAAAAGTCATTTTCAGATATTTATGACTCTAATAACACTCATTAAATTAAGCTAATGAACATTTTAGCTAGACCAAATTATAAAATAAAAAAGGTATAAAATGCATTTTGGCAGATATGTTACCTAGTACTTCTCAGTTCCTGATCTACTGAAAACCCACTAACTCCAGGCTGATTTAATTTAGGGTAATACAGTGGATTAGATTTTATAGCACTCTTTCTTGTTTTCAATCTTTTATTGTACCAGCTTCTTAAAAATGTTTTTTAAAGAATGTCCATGAAAAGCTTTACAGTTATACTGTTCACCTTTATTAAGAAAAGGTCAGTGGAAAACAAGCCAGTTAAAATATTACCCAGACTCTGACATCTCTGTATTTCCTCCACACGTTCATCTGCTTCCTGTGACACAGAGCCCGCAGAACTCGGGAACGCTGTCTAAGCCCACATTTCACTGGCTCTGAGACTACTGCTGCCTCAGAGTTCTAATACCTGTTTAGAACTAGCAGAAAAGAAGGGAAGAAGTAATAGGTCGGGGAGGATCATGCAGACTGGGGAGAACGGAATTAGTGGTTGGAGGCCACACCCAACCCAAACCCTCACAAAACCTTGAGAAACACGGCTTGATATTCTCTCCAGGCAATATGTCCCCTTACAGAGGAAAAGTTGCAGGGAACTTAAGGCAGCTCCAGGAGGAAAGGGAGCAGGGGTTAAGGCGGCCCTCACAGCACAGCCTGAGAAGAAATTACAACGCACTTATTCATGAGCAGAGGCCACGGCGGTACACAGCCTCCCTAACACGCATGCACACAGCACAGCTCCCAGCTCCACAGTAAACACTGGCAGCATGCACACACAGCGACGGTCAAACAACCCTGGCTGGCAGGGCGGGGTGTATTGAGAGTGACCTTCCTCTTCACTTAGTAGACAGCCTGCTACTAATTAATGACCTAAGCACAGAGTATTGCACCCTCCAAGGGAGCACTGATTCATTACAAGTCAAACCTAGTCATAGCAGGTAACTATGACAGAAGGAAAACTACTGGGCTCTAGGCTCTTTATCTCGTTAGCACAAAGAACTACTGCTCAGTATTGCTCACTGCTCAGTTCCCATGTGCCAGCTGCTAACTCTGATAAAGAGAAAGAGCGCCTCTTGCCGATTCGGGTGCCCCGCAGGTACCAAGGGGGGCAGACATAACCTCAGGACTCGTTCAAGTGCCCTCGTTGCGTCCGCCCACACTGCCACTGCTGCACACGGGAAGATGGCTCGACTGGGGGGCTGCGGGACCTCCGGCAAGTCTGACCTTACCTCTCTTGAATATCATCAGCAGATGAGTGTGGCTACATTTTCTACCTTCCAGTGCTGCTGTGAGGAGACAGTGAGGTAAGAGAGAGCGCATGGAAGTAAAGCACAGCCAATGCACGGCACCGTTCTGCACAGCTCTCAACAGGAGAATTTAAGGGTCAAACAGTAATTTTTGCTTTCTGTTTTATCCTGAACAGCTGAAGTTACCCAGAGGATACTTGACCATGCTGCCTGGGGAACTCTATGAACTGGTGACTCTGTGTATGTTTATGGGAGGGGCGGGACAGAGAAACACTGGTGGAGATCTTCTCAGAACAGTGGCAGGTGCCCCTTTACCTAGGGTCACCAGGAAAGTAATTTCTCACGATCATCACTGTACTGAAATTCTAATAAAATAAAGAATTTTTGTAGCCTCCTCTAGTCATTAAAAGATTTTATCTACATTATATATAATTACTCAGAAAAAGCCAACTCTAAATTATCCAATGAAACAAAGCAAATCAGCCCTGGCTGGTGTAGCTCAGTAGATTGAGCACGGGCCTGCAAACCAAACAACTGTGGTTCAATTCCCAGTCAGGGCTGCAGGGCAGTTTCCAGCAGGGGACACACAAGAGGCAACCACACATTGATATTTCTTTTTCTCTCTCCTTCCCTTCCCCTCTAAAGATAAAGAAATAAAATCTTTTTAAAAAATAAAGCAAATCATACTAATTCAAATCCCCAAAGCTCCTTTTAGTTGGCTTTGGAATATATACATTTGCACTTCTGCTCCTACAAAAGAAGTATCAGGTATGTGGGGATTATTCAAAACTTCCAAAGGAACTGTGAAGCCACATTCGTGGACTTTATGCCACATTCATCTTCCCCCATCTCCATAGTTAACTCTCAGAGCAAAACCTTAACTGAAGACAAGCAATAAGGGAAACTGCTGCTGGTTTTTCAGCTTCGCATTCCAAGGTGGGAGCTGCACCTGTAGGTAAGGAAAGTAGGGAGCAGAGTATTCTGAAGGGGCTATTATGACCATGAGCCGCTGTTGTTTCAAGATCTTTCTTTGAATTCCTATTGTGTGTCAGAGAGGAATTATAAAAAATTAGTGAAAATGTTGAAGAATGTACTAGAGAGAAGTGAGAAGAAGAAGAAGTTGTACTCAGACTGGCCCAAAGGGAAGCGGCCAGGCAGGCTGGGGCAGCTGAGGACTGACTCCACCCACCAATGGCAGGCAGTCGGGTCAGGCAAGCAGGCTGGTGCTGGGACTCAGGGTTTGCAGAAGGGGAAGAGCGAACAGATAAATGGGTGGGTGAAAGGCTGCTGGAGGTGAATTTGAAGCTGCAAGAGGAAGTGTGGATGGACAGAGGGAAGGGTAAGCAGTCCTCAAAGTGGCCAAAGGATTCCCAGAATATTGCCGTATCCTCAAGCAGCATGCAGGGTCATTAGCAGGCTGTGGGGGTCCCTGGTGGTAGGCCGCTCTTGTTATGACTACTGAGTACCTTTAGGCTGCTAAAAGAAGTTAATCCAGACCCCCACCTGGGCTTCCGCACAGGGCTTGGAGGAAGCTGCAGCCCCGGAGCATCAGAACCTTTGTGTGGCCATCCCTGAACAGAGACTCTGGCCCAGGGGAGGAACAAGCTGCTGCACTTCCCAGCAGAAAGACAGCACTCAGGGGAGAGACACAGGCCCAGACTAGAGATACTTCAGTATGCGAGTTGTCTGGGGGAAGAGAAAGAACTGTGATGGCAGTGGGAGCCCCAGAGTGACCCTGAAGACCCGACAAGGCTGAGGGCGTGCACGGGACATGTGACACAGCACTGAGCTGGGAGGGCCGGGAGGTTTCCGGGCCCGAGGTGGACTGTGTACACCATGGAGGCATCGTCTGTTTAAGCATTTCCCCACCCAAGTCCCATCCATGCTCTTAAATACGACACATTCAGTACTAACCAAATGGTTATGAGTTCACTGAAAACCACAATGACGCCCCTGGCAAAACTGAGAGAACCTGAATGAATTAGTAACGTTTGGGTTGGTTTTGCAGATAAATAAATGCATACAAATGGAATACAGAGGTACGTGACAATAAAAATTACCTAAATATAACTTTCTAAAAATATGAACGAAAATCATGTACACTGGAGAAGGCTACAGCTTCACAGATTTGTGATACTACATTTTGTTAATCCCTCAGACTTAGCAGGCACTGAACGCTGGTCTTTGCATGAGCACACTGAGGGACCTTAGGACTCAGCTGTCCAACCCTCTTACTGTGTAAAAGAGGAATGTGAGGCCCAAATAAGTTAACAGACAGTATTTATCTTTTAATAACAATCTTTATCGATTTGAAACTGTTTGACTTCCATTGATAATATTGCACATATCTTAATAAAATGTCACTTTTATAAATCATCTAGGAGTTAAATTATATAAATCTATGATTGTAATGCAGAACCAGAGTTTCTAATGAATTTGCTTTTTGCACAACCTGAAAGATTTATGGTATAAGATACCTAAGAACAAATGCAGAATACGTTTAATTGGAGTTTCAGAATGAAAACACAGGATCTGGATCTTACTGAGCCAAATCCTCTGTAAAACTCAGCAATTTTCTTCTATTTCTTACCTAAGTCAAAGTATTTCTAACCCGATGGATGCTCTTTAAAGTACCTAGAAGTACTGAGAACATGTATTGAAGTTGCAAGCCTAAACAATGAAATCATAATTATTTATTATACAACTTCTTTTGCATAATTTATAGGATAATCAAAGTTTTTAAGACTTGAATCATGAATATACTGACAATGCTCTCTAGATAGTGACTGAGATGAATTCTTAATAAATTAAGAAGAAAGAAAACCTGTCAAGGCTGAATAGATGCACTGCAGGAGTCAGCCCTGGGAACTAGAAATAAGTCACTTCACAGAACACTGCACCTGCTGTGATACCCGCCCAGGGAAAACCAATGAGCACATCAGTGCAACGTCCTGAAAACACCATGACAGCAACAGGTGCCGTCCTGTCTATTCCCACCCCTCAAAGTCTAACGTTTACCACTACGTGACTTTCCAGTGTCCGCTACGCGTGCAGGGGGATCTGTAGATTTTTGCACACGATCCAGTTAAAACTGTGATCTGATTGAACTGTAAACAGAATTGATAAATGAGAAGCTTATTGTTGTAGTGCCTAACAAGAACATCACTTACATTTTAAAGAACACAGTATGTAGCAGCAATTTAAAATGCTCAGGAAGCGACAGTACAAATGGACTTCTACGCTGCATAGGAAACCAGCATTCCTTTTACACTTCTACGTCATAATGACACATATAAGGGAGTTGCTTGACTAACTACTAACATATTGCCAGTTTATTTCTTGGATCCAGTTCGACCACATCAACACTGATTCCTAAACTGATATGATATGTACTCAGTAGCGATTTTTCTTCTGGTTATCACAGAGGGTGGTTTCTGTTGGTACCTTGCTAACATTAGCTCATATCTAGACTTTATGTTTTTTATACCATTTAGATGCAGTGCTAAAGATTTAAAATAAATGCTAGCAGCTGAAGACACATTTTTCCTTCCTTCTGCCATTCTCCTGCATGTAAATTCAGAATGCCTAACCAGTCACTGGGGAGTGTCGCTACAAAGGAGTGTAACTTTCTTTCCAAGGTGATGCAAGGTAATGACCTCTCGTTTGGAAGCTGATCATTGCATTTTCTTTACAAATGTGTTTTCAGTAGCTCACTGGGAAATAATAGGTTTTTATTTCAGGCAAGAAATGTATTGTCACTGTTTGCCTTGACATCACTTTCAGACTCGGGATATGAACCCCAGGCCCAGGCTGGCAGGAATCTGTATGGTTTCTAGAGCGAGGGAGGACGGGTTAAAAGGAAAGGTGACAGGAAAGATGTGTTTAGCATCCATGAGCAGCTGAGGGGAGTCTTTCCTGTCTCGTAAACGCATCTGGAAAATTAAAAAACAAAACAAACAGAACATCAATTCTTTGGATCTATAAAGAAATTTTTCTTCTGCCACAAATCCTACCAAAAACTCCCCAACTAATGAAAAATGTTTACATTTGCTTTATAATCACTTAATTTTTGACCTGGCTGGTGTGGCTCAGTGGAATGAGTGCTGGCCTGTAAACCGAAGGGTTGCCGGTTTGATCCCTGGTCAGGCAGGGCACATGCCTGGGTTGCGGGCCAGGTCCACAGTTGGGGGCATGCAAGAGGCAACTGATGGATGTATCTCTCATACACTGGTGCTTCTCTCCCTCTCTTCTTCCCTCCCTTACCCTCTAAATAAATAAAACTTCAAATAATTTCAATTTCCCAATACATTATCAAAAAACTTAATGCGCTGTAAAAATATGATTAGATAATATAATATAAAAATATTAGCCTTCAAGAAATGTAAAATTTACACTCAAAATACCATGTTGGTGAGTCAAAGAAAAAGAACCCGGAGGTCTTACCTGTATAGTACGAATGAATGACACGGAGACTCTTTCTTCAAACTCATTCACTGGCGTGTACAAATTCAACACTTTGACAATCTGTGAGACACAATGTGACCAAAGTTGTCAGCATATTTTCAGGCACCCACTGGGTGCTTATGACCCGGAAACTACCAGGGTCTGTGGGGGTTCAGTTCTGCCAGGGCTGGAGCAGAACCAGAGAAGAGAGGGAAACGATCTGAAGGCACACGTACCTTTACTATTTGAATTTTTATAATAAAAATGTATTCATCTTTGTATATTTTAAGAAGCAATGTCGCTTTGGAAAAATATTCGAACTATACAGAGGAGCACGACAAGTAAGAGTGCCCCAACTCCCCTCCTCCCACCCTCCCCAAGTGCCTGGTTTTGCCAGCATCATTGTCGTCTGTCGAGCTACTCTGCACATGCACTTCACGTGTAATGTGTGTACGGTGTCCGAGCTATGATGACACGTGTGACGAACATTACAGAAGTCTAACAGCAGGCACAGAGATACATGGCAAATGAGAAGCGGGCGTGTGCACGCCTGTGCCTTCCGTCCTGCTGTTGCCATTGTCCCCAGTGTCCTCCCTTCTCCTCTGCTCACTCCTTAAAGTCGATGCCCTGCCTGGTGGGACCTTCTCTGAACACAGTCAGTTACTGCCCCTCGGCACCTCCTGTGGACGTCTCAACACTGAACTTGCTAGACTCTCTTACAGTAGCATCAGCTGGGTACCTCTGTCTTCCCCACCAAACCTGAAGTTCTTTTTAAGCAGGGACTGTTCCTTCTTTATTGAAGCATTTCCCCCAGCAACAAGTACGGTCCCTTGAGATTAGGTACTCAATTCATCATTTAGTAAACTGAAGAAACAAGAATTATTTGTCTTAAAATAGAGAAATCTAAAGAATCATTCAATTATAAAACAACATGGAAAGTCATTTTCTGGAATGTGAGCTACACAGCAGGCCTAGAATGTATGCCCCACTAGAGCAGGGACTCTGTTTCGTTCGTGGCCGTGTCTCGGCTGTGCCTGGGACATTATGCACAACCCTGCAGACACTCAATGAACACTGACTGAATGCTGAACGTGGACACTGTGACTAGGACTGAAGTGTGTTACTTTCTGGTAAAACCTTTCTTTGAGATTTATGTGCATATCTATCTTCTCTGATGCAGATGAAGGCAGCTCAGAGACGAGAGCAATAGCTAGAAGACGTCTTTATTTACCCAAAGATCGCCCATGATGAATGTTAAATGATCTCCTAGCAGGGAAAGCTGCCGTACCTGGGCGGTGGTTAAAGCATTGCACATGGAACAGATGGCTTCGGCATCGTCATCTGTTTTCTTCTTCACCTGCAGAAGCTGAGCAGCCTGAATGAGAGGTTCCAGGGTTTCTTTAGCCCCACTGTTCATCAGATTCTTGTCACGCAGCCACTCTTCCAGTTGACTGACATTGTACCTACGCCGAGTGAGAGTGTGTGTGAGAGAGAGAGAGAGAGAGAGCACCTTTACCGAATGTTGTCATAAAAGTCTTGATTTTTTGTGTGTGACTTTCTCAGGAATTTCAGTTCAAATGACAAGTAGTAATCTTGTTCAGTTTCCTTGAATCTTATCAGCTATATTTAAAAATTATCATTATAAAAAGTCATGAGGTTTATAGTCATAATTATATAAGAGTAAAAGACTAGAGAATATAATTATCTTTAATGCAAGATAGAAAGTGGCCATTACAGCAAAAGTTATGAAACAAGACATGCTAAAAGACAAAATGGAACACATTATACGGCTGTGCCCTTATTACACAGTGGACCAGAAAATACTCTGTATCTTCTCTTACAACACTGGGAGTGAGAACATCATCCTTTAAGTCCTCTTGCTTTCTTACGTTCAGCTGAATAACAAAATCCTGCTGCACAGATGTCGTGCTCCAGCCCTCTTGCTGGGAGGGCCCGGGTGATGGGGACAGTGGCCTGAGGAAGTTCAGGAACAGAGGAAGAGAAAGGCACCTGGGGGCCACTGGAAGAGATAAAGTCCCCAAGAAACTACACAGATGCTGAGGTATCAGGGGCTGGCCAACCAAGTAACAGTGGTTCTTAAATAAACTAAACTAAACTAAACTAAACTAAACTAAACTAAAATGAAGTATATGGACACACAATCGGATGTCATAATCAGGCAAAGAGGAGGAATCATATTATGGCAGGTGCTTCAAATGTGTAAACAAAGCTTACAGAGGAGGAAATCCCACTACCTGGATGTAAGGTGTTACTGTTAACTACAGTGGGTGTGGGTCAGAGTGGGAAATTTGAGGAGAACACAGAGGTTTCCTGAGACTGAGCAACTAAAGATGTTCATAAGAGAAATCCTTTTTTCTCCTCTTGGTGAGTATTCTAGCTGTTTTAAAATAAATTATTTGCAAAATAAATCAATTCTATCAGATAATACGGTTATGCTGAATATAGTGGCTGGACATCGAACTGGGTACAGCTCTTCCTGAAACACGGAGGGGCGTATTTCAAGTGTCAGTGAAAGATCTGTTTGACAGGCTCTTGTTGCCACGGGTACAAAAAGGTATTTTGTTTAAAGCAATTTCTAAAAGCAAACAAACATTAGAAAATCTTCACTGTCATTTGATAGTTTGCTCTTGTACAATTAAAACACACAAAAGAAAAGGAAGCATCATCTCATCTTTATGTATTTTTCATCGTCTCTTTAATCCCTCAAATGAATTAGGTTCACAGTGGAGCACGGTCCCTGCTGGACCTGCTGGAGGCGCAGCCAGGAGCAGCACTGAGAGCGGAGAGGCCCCACGGGCAGGGGGAAGTGGCTGGATGCCTGGTCCTCCCTTGCTGCCCGGCTGGTGGCAGCAGACAAGGGGTACACTGACCTCACACGGGCTGCCAGCAATCTGCACCCTAGTGGGCAGCTGGGCAGCAAGAAGAGGCCATCACAGGTGTCGCTGGCACTTGCTCACCTGATCTGCATGCCTTTACTCCAGGAGCACATGTCCTTCCGCAGCAGGAGGTTGTTCAGCGTGATGGCCCCCACGATGTAGAACATCTGCTTGACCACCTGCTTGATCAGCTCGGGGTCCATGCCGTGCTGACACATGACCGAGTGGAAGGAGTTGAGCTGCCGGAGGATGGAGTCCAGTGTGTAGGTGCCCTCGTCAGCGATGCTGGAGGTCCGCTTCCGCAGGCCTGTGGGCTTCACCCCGGACACGCCCTGAATGGTCTCATGCTCCAGCATACCTGAGACTGCAGGAGTAGTTCAAGTTAAAAGAGTAGTTAAAAGAGAAGATCTGAAAGGAAACCTTTTCATGTCCATACACACATATTCACACACACACTCAATGTAGAAAAATGATCTGAGCATCAAAACAGAGGGGGAAAGAACTTTCCCCAAAAAATGAATTCTGGATTTTCAACTTCAATGAAGAAATAATTCTTAAATGCAAAATTTTACCAAGAAATTAAGAAATCTTAATGGTGTAGTTTCTTCTAAACTACGAAGCAGCAGCCTTGTAGTAATGGCACCGGTGTGCGGTGCCATGCGAGGGTTTCTGAGAGGCACGCAGCAGCTAGGGAGAAGAGGAGCGTTCTCCAGGCCACGTGAGCCCCAGAGGCAAACGAATCAAGTAGCGAGAAAGGCAGGAGCCTGGGCAGGGGTCTTGGAGGAGACCTGGGAGGGGCAGTTGTGCAGGGCTGGACAGCGGGCCCTCCTTGCCCCGAGTTCCCACAATGGCAGGGAGCGCTGGGGTCCGCCTCTGCCTCCCGCGACTGGGTCTTCCCTCGGGAGCACTGCTGCTCCCTCCCTCGTGCTCCACTGGCAGTGTGTGGCTTAAGTATCCCCTAGGACGGTTTGGGATGCCCACTCCTGGACTGGGGGTCCCTTGAGAGCAAGGACCAAGCCTGATTTCAACATGTTTGCTGTTGTGAAGTCACTGGCAGATGGGGTGGTCGGTTAAAGTGGGACACCTCAGAGACAAACTGCTTAATTGGTCAAGAAAAACAGGCAAAAATAGAAAAAAAGTTGGCCAAAGCTGACCTTTTTTGGGGTCTGTCACCTTTTGCACTTTAGCTGACCTAGAGTGCTTTAAATTCATGACTTCTTAGGACATCAGTCTCCAACCTTTCTGACACCAGGGACCAGATTTGGGGAAAACAGGCAAAAACAGGACTGGCGTGGGATGGGGCACACACAGGAGGCCGCAGTTTGAGCGAAGCTTCGCTCGCCCACCACTCACCTCCTACTGTGCAGCCCAGTCCCTAACGGGCTACAGAGGACTGCTCCTCGGCCTGGGGGCTGGGGCCCTGTCTTAGGGGACCACGAGAAAAATCACTGCCACCTCACATGGTTTCCTCGGCCTTTTGTGTTTCTAGTTGTTTGACTGTGTGCTTATGATAGAAAATATAATACCATGAGCCCACAGAAGGGAAATAAAGAAGTTGTGGAAGTGAGGAAGCACATGGGTGGGGCAAGAAAGGGCAACTCAGAGCAGTCTTCAGAGGCTGCTGATAATTTGCCTGAGGATAAGAGTTTGGTAAGTTAAAAAACCTTTTTTTTTTAATCGATGCATTCAAAATTAGCAGCCTGCAATTTGTACATGCCTCCTAACTCCCACTTCAAATACACAACACACTACAAAGTGTAACAGAATACATAAGCAAACATCCAGAACCAGTGCCCACATGTAAAGACAGGTACATGGAATCACACATTAGCTGCATACACATACACAGAAATAGAAATACCCACACCCCAGTGGCTCCTCAGACAAGAAACTGCTGCATTACACCAAATTGGCTTTAACAATTCCAGAAGGACCAGGAGGTGCACGACTCGGCACAGGGTGTCTGAGACCTGTCCTGTCGGCACCGTACTCTCCCAACCCATTTACTGTGCCATTAACTGGGCAAAGTGCAGACCCTCCACAGACCCACCGACGTGTGAAGTGTTTCTGAACACTGAACAAGGAGTGAGACCCAGTGCTGGGTATAAAGCACGTCCGACGTTTAAGGCAGAGGTGTTCTACACTGAGGAGGGAAACCAGTCACTGCTGTTTTGGTCCATGTGGAAGCCCCGACTTGGAGGTACCTCGGTTACTCATGGCTAACGTCTCGTGTCCTGGAATTCCTCAGCTTACTTTAAGACTGAGTCTTACTACTGATGTTCTCCGTTTGGATATGTGCCCAGAACACATGCCACTGGTGGTCCCCTCCTGGTGGGCAGGGGAGGTGGGCAGACCTCGATGTCAGCAACGCCCTGGCCTTACCGATCATCGGCTGAAGGATGTTCTCTAACACCCGCACCAGCTGCTGGTAGATCTGAATGGCCAAGTCACTCAGCACCTGCCGGTACTCAGCCAGGTCAAAATTGGTGAGGCAGTGTTCGTTCTGGCGTGACGTGTTGTGCTTCATGAAGCCCTGGAGACATAACGCAGAGTTAGTGACACACGTGAAGCAGATGTCCCGTCCGTCCATCTAACTCAGACGAGCAGCTCGGCATCTCCCTGCTCTTTCTCTCTCCGAAGAGTTTCCATCCAGCCCACACCTGAATGCCAGAATAACCATTTTCTGTGCTGCGTCGTTTGTTTCCATCTTAAAATGCCACTTCTTACTTAGCTTTTGGATAATATCTAAACTTGGCAACCTAGCATTTAAGCCTTTCCAAAAGCAATGTCAATGAAATAAGACGGGAGAACTTAATCTAAAAAATTAATGTGTTTTCACTTATGAAACAGGAGGTTTACTGACAAACACTAAATTATCTAAAGTATTAACCTCTTAAACTTCAGTTCATGAAATACAGTCCTCTTTATAAATACTGTATACAAAGGGCACACATCATGTTCTTAAAGTAGGTCAATTTCTAGAGACTGGGACATAAGTAAAGAATTTGCCTTTCATTGTTGTGGACCACTCAGCCTGGTTTCAGGAACTGTAACTCTACCCTCTGTGGCTAAGGCTGCGAGTGACCTCTGGAATGTGAGCCACAGGAGACAAAGCTTGTCTCTGGCAGCAAATGCTACCTCAGTTTCCTCCCTGCCCCCAAAGCATGGTCGGTGTTGATGACTGGGAAGTCTCCTCACAGCGGGGAGCAACCTAAGCCAGACTCAACCACTTGGGAGGCCTTCATGGAAGGGCTGGGGGGAGGGCTGTAACAAAGAGCGAGCAATAGACCCATGCCCCCCCCCCCCATGTGACATAGCCTGAGTCCCCATGTTCTCTGGGAGAAGTGCTCCCTGGCCCTAATCCCCTTAAGCCTGAAAACCTGATGGGGAGGGGTGCAGCACCTTGCCTTGCCAAAATGTGTGTGTGTGTGGGGGCGGGGATCTGGCATCACAAAGAATTCCTAAAAAACCTGTGAAATCTGCTCTGCTAAGAGTGCTTTCATTCATATGATAAGGGTCCAAGAGGAAATGAGTATGTCTCCCAAAGTTTCTGCAACTCTCTTCCTGACAGACTCTGACTCAGACTAAGCCCTCAGATTTCTTTGAAATGTTATCTACTGTTTGATCCTTGCCGCCCTGTATTCCTGTGTATTACAACCCAATAAAAGTCCCTGGAGGAGGGGGCTCGACGCCTTTTTCCTTGGAGAAACTGGCCACCTCTCCTCCCCAAGCAGATCATGTTATGTCATGTTTACTTTCATCGGTGGCAGACGGGGGGGGGGGGCTTGCAAGGAAAGCTGCCCCCACATTTCACAGCATCCATACATGATTTTCATCTTTTGGTACTATTTGTTAGAATGGAAAGCCAATTGCACAAGAGGGACCTTTATCATATACTGCCCGACAAAGGCAACAGCTTACTTGGTGGATTCTGCCCCCAGTCAAGCACCTGCCCCCCTACAACCTATTTAACAACACGACATGGTCTAGAAGTGGGGAATTACAAGACAGTTCATGACCCCTCCGGGGACTCTGGTCCGTCAGTCCCTTCTTCTCAGGGGCCATATCTTGCTCGTATTTGTATTTCCCAATATTTGCCAGGACAGGCCTCTGCCCCAGCCTCTGTCCGGGTGCTCAGAAAGTGCTGCTGCTCAGCTCCTCTGTCTGCTCTCTTGGCACAAGCTGGGGAGGCGTGGGGGGCAGTGGCTGGGGGCAGAGTCTCTCAGAGGCGGCCGAGCCCAGAATCCCAGCTCTGCTCCTGATGGCGGAGAGGACTCGGGCAAACTGATGAAATTCACCGAGCTTCTGTTTCCTCATCTGGGAAACTGGGTTACAATCCCTACCTCCAGAAATGTTGTAAGAATTAAATAACATAATGTGCGGTAAGTGCTGACTGATACCTACTAAGCAGCTTTTAATAAGTTATTAAATACATGACAGTTTTGGAAAATTAGAGTTTGTCAAACAACTGATGAACACATCATCACAAACAAAAGCTACACAGATTTTTGGACATAACTTATCACTGTTAGTGCATTATAGTAAGCTGAAATTAATTAACTTTTAAAAACAGTCCTTGAATAGCCTATATATTGACCAAAAAATTCATTTTTGCAACTATTCATTGATCAATGCTCATTATACATCTACTGTGTTTTTCGCAATACCAGCCCTCAGAGGTAAGATACCAGCTGTGTAATAAGCATCCAACAAAACTATGAACTTCCAAGCCACTTCTGAGTTCAGGTTTCTAAATTAACAAATGGTTAAATATTTTTTTAAAAAATATCAGAGAAGTATAGCATTCTGGGTTTTTCTCTTTTTTTAGCATGCTGGTTTTGTAATCAGGATTTTCTCACCTCTTCTCCGCTGTACTGCTTCAAACAGTGCAAAAACCGGCAAGTGTTCGAGAGCCAGAAGGAAACCGTTTCAAAATCATCACCTCTTTTCTGAAAGAGAGAATAAGCTTAAATGTGTTGTTTCTTTAGGGAAATAACAACCCCAAAATAACTGTACAGATACCAGAAGTCCCATTTCTTTCAGTTACCATTATAAACAATTATAAAAATAAATCACATCGCAGTTGTAAAGTCTTACATCATTGCTAGAGAATTTCAACCACTCGGGTTCATTGGTTGTTTTTCATCTTGCTTCGTATCTGTTGTTTTTTTGCCATGAGAAAATGACTCCCAGTGATTCACTGCGGATATTAGCTTAGCAGAAAAAAATTCACTAAGCCAGAGCTCACCCAAACTTACTTTCCTCGGGGTTACTGAGGAGAATCAAAGGGCTACGAGCACAAAGGAGAACCAAGATTGGGAAGCACTGAAACCCAGGGTAGGTTAAAAATCTTGTCAACGATGTAAGATACAGCTGCTCAGCAGTGACTCGGCAACGGGATGAAGGAGTCCTGAGCCGGGAGTCGCAAGGGAAGAAGCTGCCTGGCTCTTCATCAGGACTGCGGACATCTCACAAAAGGCCATTGCCAAACCAACACAGGAACACAAGACAGACATACTTCAACTCAGACAAGGGTGTGAGACAAATGCACATCAATCTGAAATGGTATCAAAGGGTGTTATGTTCCAATACCCTATCTTCAATCTTTCAACAATTTGGTAAATAATTAGCTAAATTAGATAAAGGCCTTCTTGCATCAGGATGAGGGGGAGAAAACCTTACGATCTGTTTTTTTTGTCTCTGTCAGAGTTGACTCAAATAGTACAGCTGTGTATCTAAGGACAACACAGCATCAACACCGAAAATGAAATGAGTTATACTCAGAAGACATCCATCAACGGTTGTAAATGTTAAGTCTCCAGAAACTCCATGCTTCAGTAACCAGCACACAATGTGACTGCACAGAATATCTTAGCCATGGGGACCCAGAACTGGCATGTGTCTGAAGCTCACGCCCACGCGCTGGGGGAGGGTGTGTTTCATGGGTGCACAACAAAGTGAATGTACTTAATGCCACAGAACTGTATGCCAAAAATGGTTAAACGGTACACTTTTTTGTTGTGTATATTTTACCACTATAAAAAAATAGTTCATGAAAGCCATCTTAGATTTGGGAGCCCTCTGGGCATGTTACCCATCTACTTATCTCCATCCTAAAAGGTCTCGAGTCGGATAATCAGAAAGAAAAGTACCTGGAACACATTCTCTTAGCTCCTTACAGAAACACCTGAGTTAAAACTAAGAATAATGTTCACTGTTTTTCTAGAGAGTCAGGAGGAGGGTTATGCAACGTGTCTCAGTGACTGCTGAGTTATTATGTAGGACTTCTGCTCTATTACATAATTCTGCTCCTTCTCCAAGTCTTCCCTTTCAGGTTAGCACCGGTGTGTTGTTTCTCACGTGGAATCGGGCATTTCAGGTCACAAGGGAAATTACGGGTGAGTTGAAAAAAATGGGAAGAAAAGTTGGAAGAAAAATTTTTAATATTTTATCAGATATCTTTTTATATGAATGAGCCATATATTAGTTAACTTACTTAATATCTATTTTAACCACAGCATCATATTCCCTACATATACTGGACTCCACTAAATATTTTAAATTTTTAAGTAAGGTCTTACAGCAAACTATTTGTCTATGAAGAAACAGTTTATTCCACAATTAAATGCAATTATACCAAATTAATTTTGATTACTGTTCACCCCACCTTGCTTTGAAAGAAGGTAAGCAGACAGACAGTCTGTGAGAAAGAATGTCCCCTACAGTGGGCAGCAGCAGTTGGGTCTGCAAAGTGTTAGAACTGGCACCTCAGCTCTTGGCTACGGAAGGAAAAGTACTTGGGTGTAGAGTCTGTCAGTAATATTTATTATGAGGATTTTGTTGAATATGAACTGACCTTTAATACTTTTTTGATGCTGTTAATTGTTGATGTTAGCAACGACCTTACTTTCTGATCGTCATTCAGGTAGTCAGCATGTCGAACACACATAAATAGGATGTATGCTGGTAACCCTGGAATCAAATTGACTGCTACACCACGTGGCTTCAGTTCTGAAAAAAGAGAGAAAATAATCTTATATAACAGTGAGAGTCACGAGAAATCCTTTGAAAGATAATAAAAGCACATTTCCCAGGTAAGAGTCAATCATTCAGGGTAAATAGGTCACATAGAAAAGCATATTTTAATGGCTCATTAAGAGAAGTGTCTGGGAGTGGGAGCATGTGAATTTTAACTGTCTATGCGATGACAAACCCCCAATTTCCATCTCCTGCCCTGACTCTTCCCTTGATTTCCAGGCTCCTGTACCAAATGCCTTCTTGGCATCTCGGCTCAGACAGGTCAAACTGAGCCCTTCCAAACCAAACTCGATTCCCTGTGGCACCAGCTCTTCAGGAGTTGTCCCTGTCTCAGCAAATGGCAGTTCCAGCCTGCTAGCTTCTCAGGTTATAAACCTTGTCATCATCTTTGACTCCTCTCTTTTTCTCACACATCTAATCCACCAGCAAATCCGGTTGGCCACACCTACAAAACACATCCACAATCCAACTACTTACTACCTGCCTGAGTCTAGGTCCCCATCATCTTCTCCCGAATTTTGGTGAGCGCTACCAAATGGTCTCTCTGATTCATCCCTTGCTCCCCAGCGGCACATTTTCACACAGCAACCAGAGCAATTCGGTAAGAAAATGTAGGTCAGATTATGTCCCTCTAGTTATGAAAATCTTTCAAGTAGGTTTTCACCTCATTCATTTACAAAATGACGTCCTCACCATGGTCTATGTGCTGTGTGTGGCCCCGTCCCCTCCCCAGGTCACGGGGCTCCAGTGAACTTGGCCTCCTTGCTGTGGGTTGAACATGCCGGGCACACTCCCACCCCGGCACCCGCGTGCGGACTTTTTTCTGCCTGGGATGTTCTTTCCTCAGATGGCGGCATGAACTGCCTCCTTACCTCCCTGGCCTTTTCAAAAGACCACCTTATCAGAGAGGCCTTTCCCGACAACTCCATATGAACAAGTACACCTGCCTTCACGCTTTATCCTTTTTACTCCATTATATATTTGTTTTTTTTTTCGCACTGGAATGTAATAGGGACTTTACCTTGTTACTTAGAACCTAGAAAATGCTCGGCACATAGTAAAAGTATACTAAATATTTACTGAAGTATGAATCTTTGCTTAAACTTTATGCTTAAAAACCAGTGGTTCCTTAACATTTTTAAAAAAGATTTATTTATTTTTAGGCAGAGGGGAAGGGAAGGAGAAAGAGGGAGAGAACATCAATGTGCGGATGTCTCTTGTGCACCCTGCACCTGGGACCTGGTCCACAACCAGGGATGTGCCCTGACTGGGAATAGAACTGGTGACCCTTTGGTTCTCAGGGCAGTATTTAATCTGCTGAGCCAGACCAGGCGGGGCACATTTTTGCCAAATAAAGATCACGGTGAAACTGAAGCACCTGTGCACCTACATACAGTACTAAGTTTAATGCCAGGAACCTTAGGAACATTAAATCAGGTCCACCTGCCAATCACACTGCCGTCACCCTGGTGCCTGGGGGAGGGGTGCTATGCAAAGGCTGGAAGGTTTTCGGCTTTCTCAGTTCCCAACTTTCAGGCTGTGCACACTCCCCAATCATTCCCCACCCTCGTATGAAAGGCACGTGTGCAGAGCCAGTGGGCTCACACTCAACCTGTAAAGCTCTCATGCTGCTCTCAAGTGCTTCTCCCACACCCTTCATTTGTCCAGACCCTTTCTTCCATTGCTGGAATATTTTCCTTAATTCTTTTGTTACTTTTCCCCCTATTACTGAACTGTTGTTATTGATATATTTAGTCACACACTTTCTAGGAAAGTAGGGAAAACACATTTGGCAACTTATATGGCCTAGAACAGTGGTATTCAACGGTGGCTACATGTTAGAATCCCTTGAAGGATTTTTAAAAGAATTATACATGGCCAGGCTCTCCCCTCTAGAGATTCTGACGCCACCAGTCTGTGGTGGGACCACACAATAATACTTTCCCAAAGCTTCTAAGGCTAGTCCAACGTGCAGCTAGAGCTGAGAAGGCCTGGCCTCCAGGGGCCCTCACAGAGGGACTTGCCTCCGAGGCAAGTGTCCCTGCAGTTTGATGCCACGCCACACGGTCAGGAGACTCCTGCAGCACTATAATGCAGAGTATGTAATGACAACTAACAAAACTGGTGTTGAATATTTCAAATATTAGACTAGTCTCTCCCACCACTGACTCGTGTACCAGAAAGCTCTTTTGTCCTGTGCAGAAAATACTGCCCCTCCACTCCATTTTCTCTCGTTTATCGATGGACACAGCCAGAGAGGGCTGTTCGCAAGCCAGCAAGAGGTCTCACCGGGAGCCAGACTAATTGGTGGCTTCCTAGCCTCCAGAACTGGGAGAAATAAATGCCTGTTGTTTAAGGAAGAATAAAAAATAAGAATAGAAGAAAGAAAAGGAAAATACTTGCCCAGAATCAGGTTCTTAACAAGCTTTTGCTCATCCTCCTTCTTGTACTCCAGCATCCCTTGGAAATCCTTCTCTTTCCTGGGAATGTTGACGGGACGGATGGGCTCGTCAATGATCTGCCCTGGGGATATGCTCTCCGTCTGGCTCACTTCATGGAAAACAAACACGAGAGGAAAACGTTTTCCAGGTAGAAAAGGTAAGAAGGTTCCATGTTCTTATAATTTAAACAATAAATTCAATAACAACAGCAAATGCCGCATTTGCCAGGTCACTGCCCCTTCTTTAAGTACCTTTTTTGCCAACATGGGCTGTAGCTGCAAAATCAGGGGGTGATGCCACTGCCGCCCACCAGTGCTCGGCTGCTCTCAATGTCAGAGAAGCTTACTTAATTCAAAAGCATTTTTTAAATAATAAATTTACTGTGTAATAAGATTAATTGTCCCCAGAGTAAGTGGTTTGAGTTCTTCGTTAATGAATCATTATCGATCATGAATGATTAAAGATATTTAGATCTTAAATCACGGAAGGATAGACATAATAGTCTACAAGGAGGAAGAAAGAGTATAGAACATTCCCCCTCACCTTGAGCTCTATGAATCAGGTCCTTAAACAAAAAGACCATTTACTGTAAGCCTATCATTGCAATCAGTTCAGACCACATCAAGACAGCTGGTAGGGTAGGGTTTCTTCACACTAGTTGATGTGAAATGTATTAATTTTTTTACAGAAGCTTCCCAAGGCAAAGACCTAACTTTCCCCTGCTGTTCCTCATTCCCCAAAAACCCATGAGCAGATAAACCCACTTCCAATTAGTGTGATTTCCCAAATACGATTCAATTTTTGTTTTTAGTACAGTGCTGAACATCCCACCTTGATGTTGCACTGTCACAGCACAACCACTGGCGAACTGTCTTTTAGACGTGAAATGTGGTTGCTACTGTCACTAGCAGCTGCTGGAGAAGAATTATGCTAAGGATTAAAAAAAGTCTCCAGTATCATCTCAAAATTGAGAACTGAATGGGGAACACAAGTGAAGGGACGGGAACACAGGAGTTAGTTATGGTGGTGATTGTGGGGACACGTGAGTAGGCAGGTCGTTTTATCTGCAGGAAGGGTGCAGTTGAGAGATCTGTTTGGAGTTCAGAGACTTGTTGAACAAATGCAGATGAGATGCATCAGAAAGTTTAATGCTGCCGACTCACAAGGTGGCAGTCGTGCCGCTCCTGTCTCTCCCGGGCCATCCCTGTGTTAGCTCTCGGGGGCCAGTTCCACGGGGGGAGGTTGTCAGAGAGAACACCCACCCCTGTCAGTGCTCTCTCTTGTGGGGCAGCGAGGCTGGTGACACCCTGTGCACCTCCTCCTGCAGCGCACACCCCAGGACTGCCAGTGCTGACGATCACCACTGTCCATCAACACTGCGGGACCTGGGGGGTGATCACCCTGTGATTGGACAAATTGGCACTGTGGCATCTAGTGCTTCAGGTGCATGCTGCCCACTGGAAGCCACAGGGCTAATTGGAAACTGAATGTGTCCACACAGATAGGAGGTTTGGACTATTCAGTTTTACATGTGTCATTTCTGGAGTCAGTTTAAACACAACAGCATCAGGATTTTGAAGTCCACACAAAGTGGCCTTCACAGCTCATGTCCATGCTGCACATAAAATACAAAATAATAGCATCCTTGCTATCTATACTACTAGTTGTTTTCAGCCACAGAAACAATCCTAAGAGGGGAAACTGGGAGGAAATAGATTCAGCGTGCTAAGTTTACCAATAAATGTACGTATCTGGCTTCATATGACACAAAGAGAATGCTTTAAACCTACTCATTTCATCAAACCTATGGGGACACTGATTATGAAATAACACTATTATATATAACACTGAAGAAGAAAAACACTGCCAATTAAGCTGTAACCCACCAACAGTTGTGAGACACATCCTAATTTTGGAGATGTTAGAATGTCAAAAACTGTGTACCTCAGAATTTATGAAATATGCTAAGTATCTTATTAAGAGATTTCATGTGAAATCTCTTATTAAGAGATTTCAAGTGAAGCTTCCTTTTAGAAGGAAGCTTCACTTTCCTTTTGTAAAATCTCTAACCAATCTTATTAAGAGATTTCATGTTTTAAAAGGAAGCTTCACTTTCCTTTTGTAAAATCTCTAACCAAGGTATTTTTGGTTCTATATAAAAATGTCAAAGTTAAAATCTGCCATACTTTACAAATTTTTCTCTGCCTTTTTAAAAAGATTTATTTTTAGAGAGAAGGGAAGGAAGAAGAAAAGGGAGAGAAGCATCAATGTGTGAAAGATACATCCATTGGCTGCCTCCTGCGCACTCCCAACTGGGAACTGGCCTGCGACCCAGGCACGTGCCCTGACCGGGAATCACACCGGTGACCTCTCGGTTTGCAGGCTGGTGCTTGGTCCACTGAATCATACCAGCCAGGGCTGTCTCTGCCTTTGAATTCTCCCCAGAGATTTGAGTCTTTAAAAAACCTTGGATAAAATATAGATGTTAGCTCTATATGACTTTGATTCATTTAGCAAGTCATCTTTGTACTAATTAAAATAAAATGCCAACCCTTATACAGCAGCAGCTAAATATAAAGTCTGAAAGAGAGAAGCCAGGACGCCACCCCAGTTTTCAAAGATTCAAGAGACCTTGGGGGACAGTCCAATACTCCATCTACTACCGACATCCTTCCAGAAAGACCTGAAGCAATCCCTATTTCTATTTCATAGATTCTTTATACTTGAGGGAAAAATATTTCTAAAGCTTTCTGTCCTGGAACAGGAGAGGACACTAGAATTTTCTTAAATGTATTTTTCCTCACTTTGGTACCAGGGAGATCTTGATCTCAGGCTTAACTGAGACAGCCAAGAAAACTCCTGCAAATAGAGAGATGCTACTGGAAATATGACACAGAGGAGAGAAGTTAGCGGTCCTCAGGAGGCTCCAGTTCTGCTCGTGGCTTGGCCACTGACTGCCTGAGACCTGGGATGTTGCATAGTTTCTGGGCTTCAGTTTTTCTCTCCCATACAATGATTAACTCATTTCTAGAATTCTTTAAGTTCCAGATTCCTTGACTCTGTGAAAATCAAGATGGAACACCCACTCCTGGATTAAAATATAACCCAAAGCAGATAAAATTTTGAAGCATTCTCCATTTTAGCTATGTAATTTCTGCTAAAATAATATATGTTGGCATTTAAAAAAGTTTTCATTGGCTTCTAAAACAATCTCTGTAATTAAGTGTAACCCATAACAGGAGGCAAGAGTCTTGCTAGTTTCAACCAGAAGAACTTAAGTATGTTATTTCCCCAAAAGCAGGAAATAACAGGAAATAACTTTTTTTTAAATATAGTAAGATTTTTCAATGTTCCCAGCATTGTCTGTGTAACGGGGCAGATGAGACAGGAGTAGTGCGGGACGGGTCTCGTCACCTTCACTCTCTCACTTTGGGAGGTGGGGGGCACTGCTCTCAGCCACTGGCCAGTCAGATAAAGATCTCATTTTATTCTTTAGACATGTATCATTTAACTCAACTTTTCTTACGAATATTATAACATCCTTTTTGTTTAATCTATGAATTGCTTTCTCAAGTGCTACTTAACACATTTGAGAAAATATCTGGCAGGACGGTTTAACAGACAAATTGATTTCTGATTGATTATGGCTCAAAATTGCTAACATCTTGAAATATCTCACTCTATCTCTTCAATTGAAGCTGAGTAAAAACTTAAAAATAACAAGTGAAAACCATTAGGAGTTTTAAATAATAATCTCACACATCGATGCCTGTGAAATCAGTTTTTTTTCAAGCAAATACTCTGCTGTCTAATTATCATCTTATGATGTAATTAGTGCAGAGTTAAGTGCAGAAAAGTTCTCTGAATAAAGGTTTTTAAAGTTTTGCCAACATTTAGCCTGTATGTGTGACTGGAGGTTTAAAACATTATTCAGATATGTAATATCTGAAGCACATAATGCTAAAGGATTATATATAAAATATGACAGCAAAGTAATCTTTTTTCTAAATTCATCTTTCACCCTGTGTTTATCCAAGGGAATATTATACTCTTCACAGTACACGACCATGATGCCATTTATAGAACGATTACAAAAGGGTAGATACTATGCTGCGTGCTGTGCAAAAAGGGGAAATAACAGGTGGTCCCAAGCTCAGGAAGCTCACAGTCCATTGAGGAAGTCAATAATTCAAACAGAAAAACTGCTAAAAATATGACAGTGAAAAACCATAAAAGACGTGAGTCAAACTGTGGTACATAGAGGGCAGAACCCTAGGCCTGTCTGGGTAATCAGAAAGGATGCTCTTGAGGATGTAGCACACGTCTCTGATTTCAAAGGATGAGCAGAATTTGGCCAAGAGAAGCAGGAAGACCTAACAGAAGAACAGTTATGGGCCTGGCACATTGGGGAATGAAAACCACAGAGTGAGTCATGGTAACTACTGTGAACGTTCCCAGTGTCAGGGACTGTTCACTCTTTTGAGCCAGGCGAAAATTAGTCAGTGACACTGACAGAACAGACAGGCAGGCAGACTGCACAGCATCGGTTTTGGTCGAAATGGCACTAGTCTGCATAGACTGGAAGGCAATTCCAAACAGAGTCCCTAAATCTCTTGAACAATGAGAGTGCTATTGGGAGCAAGTGCGGAACTGGGCCTCAGCCTGCTCAGTGCCGTATTCCTGGCCCCTAGATAAACGCCCACTGAAGGAACAGACACAGTAGTGCACAAGGTGAGATTCATTTGTATATAATAACAACTGAGTCTAATTCATTCCAAGGTATTTTCTCATCATCATCATCATCAATAAATCATGAGATGTTTTTACAAATCTTACTTCTTCATAATTACAATTCACTTTTTCTTATTTACTTCTCTTTTTATCTGCATTATGTGGTTAAGTTCTCTGAGGATGCAGACTTTGTCTTAATCATCTTAGTATCCCTAATACTAAGAAAAACAGTAATAATAATAACTAAGTTGCATATAGCATTTACTGCGTGTCAGGAACTACATTAATGCATTGCATATGTTAACTCATTTATCTTTACAAACCACACCGGGTAGACCATTATCATTTTCATTTAACAGGTGGGGAAAGTGAGGCATTGAGAGGTTCAGTAACTCGCCCACTATCCGGTGACCAATAGCACAAGGCTAAGATCTGAACCCGAGAGACTCTTATCCTCTTATCCTCTATTCAACACCACCTAGCACCACCTGACGGACAGAAGACAGTCGCTGATGTTTGCTGAATGGATTCTCCTGTTTTGTAAATTTTCACTACAATGAAAAGAACATTTTCCCCCATCTTGCAATGAAAGTACTCACTTCACAGACAGTAGGCTTGCTCAAAGTCATTTTGTTACTGTCCCTGATATTTACATGCAAACCTACTAGGCCACTAGTATAGTAATATAAAAAGAAGATTCAGCAATTGTCATAAAACATGTTTGAAATACCTTCTAGTTCACCTATTTTTTTGGCAAAAACTTTCAGTTGTTTTTTCAGTTTCCGTACAGTCTTATCTTGCTTTTCAAGTTGTTCCATCAAATCCTAAAGATAAAAATGAGAAATATAACAGCAAGTTCAAAACAGGTCTTCTAAAATGCACAGGAGAAAAGCAGCCACAAAACCACAGAAACAGTGCTGTTAGTTTCACAGAAAAGCTCATCGGTGGAGCCACCACCTGGCTAACACTGGCAGGCATGGGAAATGCAGCTACAACAAAAGCCAAATGTTAAAATATACAACGCAGTAAAATCCTTTACAGCGTGATGGATAGCAGGCTCACTGCGGAGTCTTTTCCAGTAGACTCCATGTGGGCAAAACCGTTAAATGCCCACAAAATGTACTGCTATTCCAGTGGATGTTTTCTTTTAAAGGGGAAGAGGCAAAATAAATTTTGATGGATACACAAAATGTTTTGTGGAAAGTTTTAAGAACAGTCGAACTTAGGGAGGGGCTTTTAACTTCTGACTTCCATCACACTGCAAGCCTAGTGTTAATAACAAACCAAACGTGACGATGGACACAGGACACTGACAGAGGGGACACCACTGGCTGAAAGACAGCTGTAGGGAGAAACAGGTTTTGTAAAAAGTTTTTGAAGAGACCTCCTGGGGAGGAGCAGGCAGCCCCTCAGGTACAGAGGCTAAAAGTAGCAAAGAAGACAACAGAAAAGCATTCTGAGTTTACATACAATCATCCGTTTGTAAAGTGAAATCCGATATGATTGATACTTCTTAGGGTCATCTGCATATAATTCCTCAAAATACTGAAAAAACAGGCACAATGGATATTTGTTTTTCTCTGTGTCTTTGAGGGAAATGCTACCTCTCAGTGAAATTAATTTTAAAATATTTTAAGACTTAATGAAACAGTATATACTCAAAAGTCTCTGATTTATTACCTGCCACTGCCCTCTGACCTATACTACAAAGGTAGTAGAGATAACTCCAATTTTATACATATACACATATATTTTCTCATGCTCAGAGGAAACAGGTCAAATCCAGGATGCCACCACTTAGCAGGTAAACAGACTGGTGGTCTTCGGTCCCCAGGTGAGGCTGTTCTGTTCTGATTTCACTCCTCAGACCCTCTCACCAGTTGCTGCACTTTTTTGCTGCCAGCAGCTGCACCAACAGTAGGGAGTGCAGACAAAACGAAAGTGGAATAATGGCAATACCGGCAACACTCCTGTTTGAAGGTGGGAAGGCTGGCCGGAAGCTGTGAGCCTCCCTTCCCTAGCAGGCAGCCTGGGGGAGGCCTGGGAAGCACGTTCACTGGAGGAGGAAGAAAAACCACCTCACTGCCTGTGTTGGGGGGTGAGTGGGAGGGCGGTGACGCAGGGAGTGTTTCCGAGAACTAAGCCTAGGTTCCCAGCTGCTATAATATTCTGCTCAGGTGCTCCTCCCTAAAATGTGCAATTAAGATTGAGAGACAAAAATGATTTGGGGGTTTACTTTATTTTTGTATGAGCTATGGAAAATTAGCAAGAAAACTAATACTATGGACAAGGTTGCAAGAGAATGCTTAATTGACCTGGTGAAAGAACTCAGGATGTGCCACCCAGAAGCATCTTTACTGCACGGTTTCACCTTGTATTCGAAGACAATCATTTATAAGCAGCAAATTTATACAATGATCAATTGTTTTTATATTATTTAGTATATTTATCAATTCTTAGGGATTTAAGCATTGTTAGTTAAATTTAAGCTACAACAAACCTGAGTAAAGAAATGACATTTCAAAAATAGATCGTGATTCAGAAGATTTCCCCCACAGATCAGTGACATTTCAGTCACTTCGGAAAGAGTCCAACACTGCCCTCAGCCTTCTCTCCCCTCCCACCGGGCGGCCCCGCAGCCTGCTGTCCTCCTAGCCTCGCAGGGACAGACGGGCTGGGAACAGAACACCTTTGGGTTCTGCTTCTGATTAACATAGAGGATAGTTAGTTACACAGACGGCACTAAAAACTATCTGTAATGTAAAATGATCACTAAAGGAGTAACGGAGGAATAACTCAGATTGTTACATCATCAGAGAAAATCCAAACTACTTATTACAGATCATTACAACCCTGAATCAAAACAAAAAAAGACAAAACACTACCAGTCCTAAATAGCTTTTCTCAAAACCAGGCTGACACTACAGTATAGATTTTATATAGAAACATGGGTATCAAAAGCCTGGGATACAGTTGGGTGATACCTTTCAGGCCCTCCAAGTGAGGTCTGAGAGAGCCTTCTGCGAGAAACACAACCTGCACACATGGCTGGTTCATTTCTGCCAGCAGAGTCCTACTTTCCTCACTCCGTCTCTGCCGAGTAAGAGGGTAACAAGTGTGGGGTAGTGAGTTTTCCCCACCAGAAACTAGGAGCCCCCTGCAGAGCTCGGCACTGCCTGCTGGGGAGCGTTCGGGCCAGGCCCCTGTCCTCACCAAGTTCTCGTTGGTCAGCCGGGTGATCTCGTGCTGCAGGCTGGCCTCGATGCGGGCCTCGGGGGGCAGCTGCAGGTTCTGGGCCAGCAGTTGCTGCTGCCGGTTGTTCTCTTCCTTCAGGCTTTGGATCTCCCCGCGGAGGGCCTCGGCCTCGTTCTCGTGGCTCCTCTTCTGAGACTGGAGCTGGGATTCCAGGAGCCTGTGGAGAAGCCACCCAGACAGGAAAGGGAGATGACACGAGTTCCTGCTTGGTGGGGGAGAGGCTCCGTGCTCACTTCAAGGGCAGGAAAAGCGAGGAGGCAAGCAACTGTGTAACTTCTTACCTAAGGTCAGGAAACTCAAACAAGACCAGAAAAGGATGCGAATGCTCACATTTGTGTCTTTCTAAATTGTGGACCCTGCCACAAGAATCAAGTTCTCAAAGGCCTTGAGAAGCAGGGGAGTTTTAGCTTTTATTCTTCACCAGAATGATGAGTAAAATAATCAATTAAAAGACATAGCTTTAATCTGGCTGACTACATTTACAAACTAGCATTTAAGCTAGCAAAGACAGTACCTTTGCCACAAAATAACTGCACAACAGAGCAAGATTACAAACTCCTGGTCTAATTAAATATGTTTTGAAGAATTTCAGCATTTCTAATTTCAGGCAGAGGGTGCAACCAGAGTCCCAATTTTTTACTATCTACTCTTATCTGTGAAGAACAGAAAGGCTGGAGCACTCCTCTGAAATATGTATAGATTTGCCCAAATCTGAACAAATAGTTCTGAAATTTCATATAAAATATTTTAAATTTGTCATCTTCCTTGTCCCCATAAACTTCCATATCAGTAACCTAAATCCTAAAAAGACATGGCTGTAGGCCATAAATATTAATAGGACCAACAAAGTGGATCACTGCTTCTCTGAACACAAGCGCACACGTTAGGTGCCCGTTAGGCAGACCACGCCATTGGCAGTGAGAACAGCGGAGAGAAAGAGCAGGCCCCCATCAGCTTGCATCCCTCACCCGCCCCCAACATTCACCCCTTTTCTAAACACAAAACAAAGTTACAGTTAGAAATTAATTAGTGTGAAGAAGGAAAAGATGTTCTTTTACTCTAATGCCCTTGGTTACCAACTGCTGGGCAAAATGCATGAATGCCATTGCAAGCAAACTGTTAACAGAAGACTAAACATATTTTAGTGAGTATAAAATCTCAAGAATATTTGAACCAGTAACACCACAAAGTTAATGGCAATGGTTTATGAACAGAACAAACAAAGCAGAATAAGCAGAAGCCCCTTGAACAAATAGCATATTAGGTATTTTTTACAACTTAATCACTAAAATGGTTATTTTTATGAGATTCCTAAGACAAATATCACCAGAGCAGAAGAGTGTCTGTGTTAGAAAGATGTTGCTATTTCAATTTTATTTGCTTTCCCCTATACATATTTAACATGTTGAGTCTGGGTAATTATTTTGAGCTGCAGCAATGCTGGAAACCCTGCAGATTTGCTGTTTCACAAATCTGACGTTCACATAAGCATACAGAATGCCAAGTCGTGGGCTACATACTGCTGTTAGGCAGCGCGATAACATTGGGTTGGCCAAAAAGTTTGTGTAGTTTTTTCTGTATGATGGGTGTAGTAGTGCTTAGTTGTCTTTAATTTCATTTGAAAACAATTTTGTTACATTGTATTGTGACAACTGTCATATCAGTGTGCATTAAAAAAACATAAAAAATTGGTGAATTTTTGTGCAGCCATTTTAATATTGAAGATGGAAGAAGATATGCAACATTTTTGGCATATTATGTTTTATTATTTCAAGAAATATAAAAATGCAATTGAAACACAAAAGATTTGTGCAGGGTATGGAGAAGGTGCTGTGACTGACTGAATGCCTCCAAATGGTGCTCATTTGTGCTCATGGTTTGTTTTGGCCAAGTAATTCTTTGCTGTGGGGCTGTCTGATGCACTGGAAGATGTTTAGCAGCACCCCTGGCCTCTACCCACTAGAAGTCAATAGTGGAAGAGAGCTGACATACTCCAAATATCCAAATCAATAAAGTTATTGGTGAAAATGAAAAATGTGTCTTTTATTTTACAGAAAAAGCTGAATGGACTTTCTGGCCACCCGATAATCCATAAGAATGCAGCCACAACACCATAGGCACATATCCATTAGACTGATTATTACTCCAAACAAGGAACTAATACTAAGTAATGGGTATTAATCTCTTCCCCACAGTAGTTTGAGCTCTAGTTGAAAGGTTTTGGTTTTCTTCCAACTCCTGGTGAGATACTCCCAAGTTTTAGTACCTGGGAGTACTGAATGGGCAGTCACTCTTCTACACCCCATCACTCTCTTTCAGCTCTAATAGCATTGCCTAGGTAGGGAGGGTTTTTAGGAAGGTGTCTAGCTGAACGCTCTAAGTTTTACTGACATTTACCTAGGAAGACAATTAATGTACAAGAAATATAGAGTTTAAAGTCAGGAGGCCACCGTTAGTAAGAAAAACAACAAGTTAATAACATTCCATTTTGAGGAGACAAATATAACCTGTTGGCTTGTTTTAACCCTTCATAAACCAGCCACAGCTCTCCATCCTCAGTCAGCTCATGCAAATCCACAGCAGATTGTCTTCCATGCAAAAGGAACAACAATGCAAAACACAAAGGAATACGGGATGGGAATGAGATGATGATGGTCAACAGCATCACATGATATTTCAATATTTTACTGTCAATATTATCGATTTTGTTAATTACAGATAGCTTCAAGATGTTATTACAAAAATTACTTTTGGTTAATTTTTTAAAAAATGTGTAACATATAAATGAGTAAAAAATAAAACAAATAATCAAGAATCTACAGCTATTTTTCCTGCAAAATAAGAAATGACTCAAAAGATGATAAAGAAGTTACATGTTTTTAACATTTTATTCATCTAGCAGAGTGGTCTTATTATATTAGAGACTGACCACAACAGTCACACACAGAGTGAAAGCTGTAGCTATCGCCTTTGTGAGGCAACTATCACAATCCATTTCAAAATGAAGTTCTGAAATTAATACTAATAAATTAATAAAAATATTGTTGAGTGTTTGCTAAGTGTCCGTTTTATTCTATATTCTTCTGCACATATTTTTTCATTTAGCTCCCCCAGTAACCCAATATCTATCATTTGCCACAGTGCAGAGAAAGACATGGAGGCTTAGAAGTAAGACACCTGGAGGTTACGCAGGGGGAACGCAGTGGGGCTCAGGGCTATCTGACACCGGAGTCCAGGTTCTCAGCCCTCCTCCTAGACTTCTGTTGTTGAAACAATGTTTACATAAAACAGATTCCAGGGCATGCTCTTTTATTTTCCACCTACCACCTATTCCTGAAGAGTTCATCTATTTGCATGGTCTCAATTGTATTATTATATGCTCAAAACTTCAACATTTATATTCCAGCCCACATATCTCTCCTGCTTTGTATCTATATTTTCAGATGCCTAATGGATTTCTCTCCTTGGCTGTCTTCCTAGCTCCTTAAATTTAATTTCCGTAAATCTACCAATCATCTCCACCCCATACTTCCCTACACCCAGACCCAGCATCAAAAATGGCATCATCACATACAAACAAGTGTCCACAGCAGACACTTTGAAGTCACCTTTCACCAGTCCCTGTTCCCCACAGACACATCCCATAAAACACAAGGCTTACTGACCTCGTCGTCTGTATCTTTCAAAGCGCCCCATTTCTTTCAATCCCAACTGCTACCAACCAAGTCAAAGTCACCATAATCCACCATTCGATTACAGTAATAGCCTCCTAACTGGTCTTTATGCCTTCAACCTGGTTCCACTACAAATCTAGTCTCTAACATAAGTGCCAGAGTTAACTTTCTAAAACTCCAACTTCATTATATCATTTTCTACTTAAAATCTTTCAACCGTTTCCACTACCACTGAAGTGAAGTCTAAATTCTCTCGGCCATCTCCCCGACGGCCTATGAACTCTGTGAGTGAATTTACCTTGGGGACAGTAGGCTACTACTCCCGGCGTGTGGCACAGGGCCTGGCATGAAACAAGCACGCAGTACATACCTGGTAACTGAAGAGCTGACGGATGAACAGTGCAATCTAGCTATTTTTATACTGACACATTCTTAAATGTGTCACATATAAAATGTGTTATTTATAATTTATATTCATAAATTAAGATTCAAGTTTAACCTAATACTTTAATAAACATTCTCCAGCCTTTCCCATAAAAGAAGCGATTTACTTTGTGAAGTATTTCTATATACTAACTGCGATACTATACATCAGGAGACCCAGACTGTATACTAACAATAGAAATCTCCAGAGCTGCCTTTCTCTGCCATCGTCACTGGCCATACTCCTTTAAGCATGTAGTCTTCTAAGTGCAGAGTCCAACAGCACTGTGGCTGTGTCGAGAAGGTGGTGAGAGGAAGGCCGACAGAATCCCAGAGATGCACTTTATTCTGTGATAAACCTCAGCCACAGAAAAAGCTTTAGGAAAAGTTCAGTCATTCAGTGATGGTTCAAATCCTGCACTCTCGGCCAGCCCGCCTAAGATTCTTGAGTGTAGAGTGACTGAGCTAAGTGCCACCTGCAATTTCATTCATATTTAGAGTAAATGGAATAAAACCAGAGTTAGGATTTTCTTAGAACATTTTAGGGAACATGACAAAAATGTGGTCTCAAATATCAGGGTCCCACCCTAGAAATTAAAGAACCCTTTTAGAATTATATGGCTAATACTAATATTATTCCAGATACTTCATCATTTCTCTTCACATTAAATTTTGATTACTGAAAGCTGCATTTGCCCCTGTGAAACTTCACAAATAACCAGCCTGAACAACACACAAACTTGACTACCCAAGACAGCCAGTCCAACAGTGACCAACTTGGTTTTATTCTCAAGGCTCGGACCTTAAAGATACAGACGCATAACCCCTTGATATAAAGAACTTTTCCCTGACACCACTCATCAAAAATGCTACCCATGTTATGAGCTTTTATTGAATAGACTGAAAAAATTGGATTTCCTTTGAAGGTCAGAAAGCTGCTAAATCAATAAATAAATACACTTTGCAACTGTACTTGAACAACAATAAAAAATGTGAAAAATGAATAAATACTGATACTAACAGCAGTTTAAAAAAGGAGGCTTGACGACTACAGATCAACACAATTAAACAAAAACCGGAATAAACAGGATCAACTTACCTGTTTGTTTCTTTCAAACCAATGTATGCTTGTGCTATTTCGCCTTTATCTTTCATTTTCTGTACATCTTCCAGAAGTATTGTGGAATCTGTCATTGTATTCTGAAGGTGGAAATGACATATTTCCATATTAAGAATCAACTCAAAAGCTTTGAATCACATACAATACATGCATGTGTTTCTGTGTTCCAGCACAACTCTGCCCCTCCAGAGCACCAGCTCCAGACTGCAGGAGTATAGAGGACAGTGGGGCATAGGCAGTTCAGGAAAAGAGGGCCCATTTCCCTGGTTACTATGTATCACACATTATACATATGTATATCACATATATGTTTCTGCACATATACATAGAATATATGTATGTGTGTAATATGTGCAGCATTAGAACAATAACCAGGCAAATGGAATATATATATCTTTCTTCAGCAACACGCACACACGATGTAAAATGCACATCAGGGCTTTATCTACAGGGCTGTGGTATCCCAGAATCTTGACACGGCCATAGCATAGCATTAAGGACTCTCTAGAGAACTGAAGGTTCCTCTTTTTCTGGACTGCCTATGCCCCACTGTCCTCTATACTTCTGCAGTGTGTGTGTATATATAATAGGTCTCATATTATTAAAATATACACATACCTCGAAATACATAAATAGCATTAAAATAAAAACCAGGCAAGAATATTGAGTAGTGAAATGGACAAAGCTATTCTTCCTACTACTTTTGATCAGTTATAATAAAGCAAATGCCCTAACAAAACACTGAGCATTTGATATAAAGCTCATTCTCCCATGAAAACCTCAGTACAAAAAAGGTGGCAATCCAGCATGTGCTTTGGCACACATCTATACATATATATGTAAGTGGGAAGAATTTAGCTCCTTATAAATATCTCCCTTCTGCTGTTATTCAATTATTTTTCCTGTTACAGTATTACATGGTACATAAGCTTTTTGAAATAAATGTCTGGCAGATTGGAATAACTAATGATTTTGTATAAAAAGAACTTTTCTGCTAACATTTTTACTTCCTTTTTAATTTTTCCTTTTTGGTCTAATCTGACAGCCGCTGGAATTTCAAAATTTTGGTGCTACTCAGCTACTCTGGACCTCTCCTAAACAATGGCAAAAACAGACAGTAAGAACCACTGTTCTATAGTCTCTAGAAAAGAATACACTCTAGAACCCCAGGGGCCATTCTACTTGTCTGAATAGCTTATATCTGACCTTCAGTCCATGTCTGCTCTGCAGCCAGACCACACCATGAAATGGTGTTACTAGAATACACTTCAAATAACAGGGTCTTAGAGACCAGTTTCAAGGTAACTTTAATGCCAACCGGAGGCCCACAAATACTTGCTTTTGAATTTTGGTGTTTATTAGAAACATCTTTTTTTAAAAAAAATCTCCTTTTCTCCTAATGCTATTCTTTTGTGAGTTTATAAATGTGTTCTTAGAGAAGACCAAGTATAATCTGATAAATGCTATTAACAAAACTTTGTATTTTACTGTATTTTAAACACAGAGATTCTCTTTAAAAAAAAAGAGAATCTTTTTTTCTCTTTCCCTGAAAGGCATCAATTCTTTCTGCTCTATAAAGGACCATACTCAGATTTTTAAGTTTTAAGCAGTAACTGTCAAAGGCCTAGGTTTTACAATGCTACATGTATTCTCTGATATCTGAGGACCTACCTATCGGGTGTGGTTTTGAACTTTTAGTAAATTAAGTAACTTGATCTAATTAACTGATGCAAAGGAAAGATAGGCTTCTTACTATGACGCTGTCCTGACAGTAAGTAGCTAGTCCTTCCCCTCTCTGGCCTACCTCAGCTAAGAAGTGCTGGCTGCAGCATGGGATCAGACTCAGCCAGGCAGGACTAGGAGGTTCCCAACTCACTGCTCAGTTTGTCTCCCCTAACCAGAGTCCTGAAACGGGGACAACCTGTAGGAAAATCCCACCCTTCCTCGGGTGTGCTCAGCAATTCAGGCTCCTCTTCATCCTTGGCCAACAAACCCATAGCTGGCAGATGTGAGAGCATGGGACAGCCTGTGCTTTTAAGTGTGTTCCACGTTAAGGGCTTCCCCTACTTGTGGATGGAAGACCATACCTTCCCCAGCAAGTCACAGAGCTGACTGTGAATTAGAAGTCGTGAAGACCTCTCTGGGAGCCAGACTACTATACCCCTATTTTCCCACTGACTTCCTGAACAAGAAGGGGTCAAAATAGGAAATCAATTTGTAAATATTAAAATAGACTAGGTGGCCAGAAAGCATCAATTGCATATACTGAGGGATATTTGTAAACTAAAATTAGGATTAAATAGTATTTACTAAAAATTTTATAATTACCTTGTCATCCTGAAAATCGCAAGTCAGCAAGCACAAAAAAAGAGAAAACAATAGACTCTTAGTTCCATAAATAAATTATACCATTGAGTCCCCATCCTAACAAATAAACTGTAAAAAAAACCCCGTGAATTGTTTCTCCTAAAACGAACTCAATAAATTAATATTCATGGAACTGACATGAGGTGGACATTAATATATATTTGTCATAATTCTCAGGGACAAGTGATTGAAATTCTTTTAGCATTTTTTCCTAATTGTAAAGTATTTCTGAGTATGTGAGAAAATGAGCCTTCTGTCGATGTGTATTAGTGAAATTCTTTTCCTAGGTCTGTGAGAGCTGCAGTAATGCCCTGATAGGAGGTCCTTTGTCTGAGTAAAGCCCCCCAGGTGGATAAACTAGACCTGGCTGGGCCGAATCATCACCTTGCTCACCGGGTGTCACCACTGTCCTGCAAAGAAGTTGTGAAATGATGTGTCTATGAGCAAAAACTGAGTGCGATGAAGAGCCCTGGGGTATCTGGGAGATTTCAAATAGCCTCCTGGACATCTTTCCCAGGAGAAAACAAGCTGCTGCCACACGTAAGCTGGGAGCCTGGAGAGCAGAAGCCTTGGTTAGGCTTTGGTTAGTTGTCACATGGAATGTGTGAGCTGGGTAAGTGACAGTGTGTGATCCCAGAACTATGTGTTCTGTTAGATGGATTGTTTTATGTCCTTTGGTTTATTTTTCTTTTTCTTAACTTTTACTGGAGTTTCTTATGAGAATACCAGTTTGTAACAACGGAACCAGATACAGAAATCCTGAGTGTGGTCTCTGCTGCAGCTGGCATGCAGGGGAAGCCTTGTTTCTTGAGTGGTCGTCATGGAAACCAAACTGAAACAGCCCTAAGGAAGGCGAGATGTATGTATGGAGGAGCCAAGCCAAAGGAGAGATTCCATTCTCCAACTTCTCATTTCAGACTTAAGGCTTGTGTTTATTTTAAAATAAGGAAGGACATTTCTTCATAGAAGTCCATTTGTTACTGGGCTATTCCGGAATTTGATATTTTCTGGACCAGTGTTGATCCTAGGTGAGAGTTACCATTATGAAATCCAACCTCTGTGCCAGGTCTGCTATCTTTTTTTTTTTTTTAGATTTAATTATTTTTAGAGAGGGGAAGGGAGAGAGAAAGAGAGGGAGAGAAGCATCAATGTGTGGTTGCCTCTGGAGCACCCCCTACTGAGGACCTGGCCTGCAACCCAGGCATGTGCCCTGGCTGGGAATTGAACAGGAGACCCTTTGTTTCACAGGTTGGGGCTCAATCCACTGAGCTACGCCAGCCAGGGGCCAGGTTCATTATTTTATTCATATGCAGAACTACCATTCTTTAAGAGAAGCACTCTCAGATCTTTCAAGCATCTAGTTCATCATATATCACAGTCATATTTTATAGATCATGTCACGCAGTTGGGACAGTTGATTGCCTCAAGTCTTGGTAACACTTTGCTGCACGGGCATGGGCACAGACACAGTCCAGGCTTCAAGATGATCACTCAGATTTTTGTCTGATGGCAAGTGACAAAAAGGCCCATTTCTAATGAGCACATGGCAGCGCTAGGTCTCAAAATACCTGAAGGCAGGGGAGGACTTCAAGGGGCCATCTACATCCTCTAGCGTGGTCCCTCCTGCTCAGTCACTAAACACAGCCCCTCCCCACTGGGTCGGCTCCTGCAGGTACACGGAACTCCCTGAGGGAAGCAGAAATCGCCTCCAGCTAATCCACTCACTGATCTCACTTCTAATCTTTTCATGTTATCTTTCCAATTAAACAGGCTATTTCAACAAACAATTTTAAAGCTGTGTTAAAAATTTCTCACGACAAGACAATTTATTGATTTTTGTACTTAATAACATTTAATTTTTGATCAAAATTTATTGTGGCCAAATTAGTACAAAAAGTTCATTTTAAAAGCCCTGTGCTCATGAACGAGAGATGAGACTTTGAAAACCATTTGGGTTTCCCTTGCTCTTTGCTCACTTCAACTGACATTTGCAACAGTTTTGAAACAGCATTGAGACTTAAAAAAGATAATATCCTTGTTTACACTAAAAATGTTCCTAAGTGTTTGCTTCATTATAGAATGGATAGAATGGACATAAAGAAACAGAGGCCAGAACCCAAACACCCTCTTTGGCCCCTTTCCTGTGCTTACCTTGGGTTGGATGGCCTCTTTCTGGCTCACCAGCTGAGACCTCAAGATGAGGACTTCCTCCTTGCGGACGTCCAGCTCCTCACTCACGGAGGTCAGCTGCTCCATGAGGACACGGTAAGCCGGTGCACCCGGAGCGGTCACCTCTGGGGCACTTTTCTCACTCAGGGCCTTGCGTAATTCATTTAGCTCATTTTTCAGTTTTTTGTTTTCTGATTCCAGTTCTTGACGCTGTGTGAAGAGACAAAAGATAGTTCATTACAGTCATCCTCAACTTTACATCTGAATGCTCGTCTTTCCCTGAGGCAGCAGAAGAATTCTGCTGGAAAAGATCATCGGAGCTATCCCAGTGACTGTCTTCCCAGGTTCTACGGGGAGCTTTGCTCTGCAAATTAAGGAAATCAGACATCAAGTAGAATTTAGCAAGGTAAATGGTAGTTTGCTTCATCAGCCCAAATTTCTGAGTCAAATTTGTTCCAGGCCTGCCCAGGTTGTGTTCACAGGCCTGGAGAGATTGCCACGTTCCAAGAGATGGGTTTAGCCCAGTCCTAGGTAGCCCAGGTTTTGTTTGTGGGTAAATAAATATAAGGGCAGCTATGGGGGTCCAGCTGGTCAGGTTATTTCCAGTGAATAGTTCAAATGAGTAGATCCCTGAAATAAGAGCAGTATCCTCTTATTTTCTTTGTAAAACAGAATGGGAAGACCACTGAAATCTTAGGTTTTTAACTTCTAATTTAAAAAATTACATCACTTACACTAATAAAATCCCCTTTGGTCTTTCGATGACAACAAGTAATACTTTCTTTACACTTCTTTCCTGTGTGACATGCTTGTGAAGTTGCTGGCAGAAGCTCTGAGAGGTGGGGACAGAGGATGGGCTACCTCCTCCTTCAGCCACCCAGATGGGCACACGCACCCTCTGCCCCCGACACGTGCACATACTGCCAGCTGCCCTGATGCCGCCAGCTGGTGCTGCTCTCTGCACATTCTGCTCTGACAACAGCAATGGGAACCCAGAACAGAGTTCTGACATTAAACTGTGTTTACTGACACTAAAATGCAAATGTCACCAAGTGCCAGCTGAGAAACAGTGAAGTGGACAGTCATGTGAAAGCACCATGGATACATGTGAAAATTATACAAAATATTTTATATTGAATATAAACTGCAGTTAAAAATGTAATAGAAAATAAAACAATTAAAGACACTGTGGTGCTTTATTTAGTACATGAGATAAGACCTTATGATAGTGGACAAGACCTTATGATAGTAGTACCTTGGAATAAGGATATTTTATTGTTTCTTCCAGAGAGGCAAACTGGAGTTTGTAGTCCTACATCAGACCTTTCAACATGTTATAGTAAAATTATTTAAAGTCCTTTTTTCTATTTAAGAAAAAAATAACCCCTTCTTTCATGAATTAATCCATTCCTGTGTGAAAAAATAATGCTCCTTCTTATCCCCAGTCTCCCACCAACTGTCAGATTTGCATTGCTCATTCCTACAACAGAAGGCGTATGACTGTCTTTAACATGACACTTGAACTCTGAAGCAGTGTTTCCCAAGCTTCAATGTACATCAGGATCACCTGGAGGACAGGTTGCTGGGCCCTAACCCCAGAGCTTCTGCTTCATGGATACATGAAACATACTGACAGATCTCAGAGCGGAGAGTGGGGCGGAGGACTTGATAAAAGAAGGTAACGAGATTAGCCGAAGAATATATACATGTAACCAACGGACACAGACAATGGTGGGGTGACAGCCAGGGGACGGGGAGGTGGGGGCTGGGTGAAGGTGGGCAAAGGGTGGGGGCCAACAGGGGCCATCTGTAACAGTGTCAATGATTAAAAAAAAGGATTGTGGGTTTGAGTAGAATAGGGGACAGGCATTCTCTATACCAAGATGCCACACAGGCTGGGGAGGAAGAAGTAACCAGTTCTGGACAGTGGGAAGTAGCAAATCGACAGAGGACGAGGGCCTGTTAATGTGTGTAAATTATGTACGAAATCACAGTGTTAGGAAATAATACATCAGGATTAGACTTGAAGGAATGTTGCTGAAAAATAAAAAAAAACCTTCAGGATAGTTTAGAGAAACCCTAGGAACTGTCAAATATACATAAAGGCTTAAGAATAATATGAGTTTCCAAAGGACGCATGGACAAAAACTAGGGGGGGTGGAAATGGGAGGGAGGCGGGAGGGCTGGGATGGGAGTAAAAGACAGAAAACTATACTTGAACAACAATTAAATAAAAAAATAATTTTTTTAAAAAATAACATGAGTTTCCTTACACTATTTTGTGGCTTTTCTAACTTTTAGCTTTGTTTGGTTTTAATCATAAACTTTACCATAATTTTCCAGCTATTCTAAGACTATACTTTACAAAAGTAGAAATTAGTAAAAACAAATAACGTAAGCAGAAAATATCTGAGAAAAATAAATTTAAGGCCAATAAATTAATGAGTAACCTGGAAAACTTTGGAAGTTGAGGGTGTTTTGAGAGCTGACGGCCTGAGAGCTCAGAAGACTCTGCTTCTGGACAGCAGACGCAGGTGCCGGGGGTGGGGGTGGGCACGGCCTGCTCTGGGCCCAGGAACGGACTCTTTTTCCCCCACTAAACTTCAACTCCTATGTTACCCAAGGTGCTTTGTGTTTCAGGGACTATAGTCCCTAAGCCAGTGCCTTTGCCTCACTCAAGTGCTCTGGGGGCACACAGTGGCAGCTTATAATCGTCTACTTACACATTGCCTTTGACCATTAAGAAGACACAATCTCCACCTTCATCCCCCTGCTCCCAACAGCTGTTTTTTTTTTTTTAAATAAGTTAGAGTGTGTTCCTACTCTTCAAGCTAATGCCTGGCTATCTTTCTTCACAAACACATAGTTTCAGTGGGGTTTGGTGATTAGAGCATGGGGTTTGCCACCAGAGATACCAATGTTCAAATCTCCTTTCTGTCGGTTTCCAGCGGGGTGATCTAAGGGAAGTTATTTATATCTTTTGGCCTCAATTTTCTTATCAGTAAAATGGGAACTAAAATACTGATTTACAAGACTGTCGTTGTAAGAATTAGAGTTGATGTGTAAAATACCTATATTTAAAATGATGATGATAACCATGGCAGCCAACATTTGTTGGGTACTATTAAATATAGTGGTGGGCACTGTTCTAAGCAGGTTACATGGATAAGTTCATATAATCCTCATGACAATCCTATGAGATTGACATTGTCATTGTCACCAGTTCACAGATGAGAAAAGCAAGGCACACAGAGGATGTATAACTTGCACACGGCCATGTAGCAGTGGATCTAGCACTTGAACCCAGGCAGTCTGACCCGAGAGTCCGTGAACTCTCCTACCTTCCCCACTCTCAAACGCCAGCTACTGCTCATGTTTCTGTTCAGACTGAACTCCACTTTATACAGACGAGAACCCAAAAAGGAAACAATACAAAGCTAGAAGTCATGCCTGAGTAAGTCTTAAGCTACGGCCTCAGGTGCCCTGAAAGATGTTCTCTGAGAAAGAGAGGTTCTCCACAGGCCTCTTGGCCCAAACGAGACATTGAAAGCCTTGAGCACAAACTTCCCATTACCTTGAGTGACTCATATTCCAGTTCTGCACCTCTGATTTGCGGTCGTTCTTCTTCCTAGAAAAAATATAAGTTAAAAACTTTACAAAGAAGGAGTTATATTTTAATTGTTACATTTTTATTCAGAATATTTCCTTGCTCTGCAGAAAACAGTGAGGAAGGGTTAGCCCTCGCTACTTGAACCAAACCCTACTCAGCTAAAGTACTTTTGGGCTGAGTTTCCATTATGAAGAGACTGCAGGACTGGACCTAAAGTCCAGCCTCAGTGCTCGGTTTGCCCACGGCCCTGGAGTCGGACAGCACTGCGCACCTTTGCCTTGCTGCGGAGCACCTGCTCCTCCTTGCGGTCCAGCTCATCCTGCATCATCTGCTTCTCTTGCTCCAGCTCCGTGACCCGCTTCTGGAGCTTGAGGAACAACGACATGTCCAAAGGTACCTTCTTCTCACTTGGCTCCTAAACCCAAGAAAAAATAAGATGGTCAAGGCAACCTAGAAGATGTAGAAGTCAAAGAGAAACTGATGAACAGCCCAGCAGAGAAAAAAATCGGCAAGCTTATAGAAGAAACATAAAGGGCCAAAGAATATAGAAGTAATATGTCCAACCTCGCTCATACATGGAGAAATGCAAGTTAAACAAGTCAGTTACTATTTTTCCCCTACCAGACTGGCAGAGACCAAAAAGATTAATAATGCCATGTGTTAGCAACACTGTCCTGCATGATACTGGTAGAAGTATAAGTAAGCTAATAGTTATTAGCTTACTAATAAATATGTAGATAAATATGTCCTAGATAAAAGAATTAAGTGAAATACATTAGGTGCACAATAGTATTATAACCTCAAATTTTGTTAAAAAATAATACAAATATATGGGACTTTTTAACACACCTAGGATATAACATTCAAAAATCTAGAAGGCCATCAATGATTACCTTGGAGAATGGGAGGTATAAAAAAGTTTTGTTTTCTACTTTACACACTTCTATATTTGAATTCTTTTGAATCAGGAAACATATTTTTTAAAAGGTGAAGGGCCAGCATAAATATATTGGATCAGATGAAGACAAAAATGAAAATATATGTAGCCTTAATAAACAGAAAGATAACCTAGCAGCATTTTAAAATGGTAGTATGGCAATTGGTTCTAACACAGAACCACAGTGAGAACTACTAGGATAAATAAAGACACACTAATAAAGCTAGGCAAATGGAAAAAAACTAACTACCATCATGTTAGTCCTGAGAGTGCCATAACTGTTTTACCTTGTATACTGAGTTTGAACTTTCACTGAGGTAAGAAGGGAAAGAACTGTATTCTTAGATTTAATAAATCATAAGGAGTCTCTTTTTGTTGAGAGAAAGAACAGTAATAACATTTACTTAACTAAATGGTCTAAGTATAATTCCTAATTAGCTAATCCTTTTTTTCCAATTGCCAATTTTTAAAGTGAATGTTTTTTCTGATATAAAAGCAAAATAAGTTTTTATTGAAAATTTAGGAAATAAGTACAAAGGAGAAATATGTAGGCATATTCTCATATACAGAGAAAACCCACAATTTTTATTCAGTCATTTTTCTATAGATTTATAGAATTTGAGTAATATTTTCATTATAAATTGTATTGATTTAAAGCTTAGCATTATATTACAACTGTTTTCTAAATGCACAATGTATTGGAAACTATAATTTTTAATGACTGTTTTGACATGTAGTACCATCCTTTGCTTAGCTATTACCTTAGTGATAGGCACTGAAGTTGTTCCTAATTTTTTTGCTATTGAAATATACAAATATAAACATCTTAGTATATAAATATCTAAATTTTGTTTCTAAGTCTGTTAAATTGGTTGGGCTAGTTTATACTTTCATCAATAAACATTATCTTGCCCACTCAGCAATTACTGTGATTAAAAAAAAAATTATTATGTATATTTTACCACCATAAAAAATAGCAAAAAGTAAATAAATTAATTAAAAAATTTTAAAAACACCCCGATAAATACTGGTACCGGTAAAAATGAGGTTAAACATAGAAGAATTTTAAACTTAAAAATGTGTTGCCCTCAATCAAAACTTGGAACAAGAGGCCTTTCTGTCCTGAGTTTAACACAAATTAATTTGCAGCAAACACCCTCACGGCCACGGCCTCCCCTCCCATGCAGGCGCTGCTCAGGGACGTTACACTGAGGCCGACAGTTTGTTAACACGCTGCCCTCAGACCACTGGGAGGAGCTCTCCCACTAGACCAACACATTCTCTAGAGGCTCAGAAGTTGTAATTCTGACATCCTCAAAGGCTGACTTTGTGGGAGTGTCCAAAGATGGCCACCAAGGCTTTCTCACAACACAGACGCCTTCCCTCCCACCAAGAGATGGAGTCTATTTCCCACTCCTTGAATCTGGGCTGGCCTTGACCACAGAATGTGGCAGAATTGACCATGTGCCAGTTCCGGACCTGGCATCTTTTGCCCTTGCACTCTGAGGAGGCTGCTAAACAGAGAAGCCACACGGCGAGGCCCAAAGAAGAGAACCCTGTTTTTTTCTGCTACTGTGCCAGAATCAGTCTATTTCTGGCCATTTTCTCAGAATATGATATAAAAATAGAAGAGCTGTGCCCAAATTACCCATTACTGAAATGAATACATTTTAAAAAGAAGATCTGAGAGTCGGTTTGGGAACAATCTAATTTAAAGGCACTATACTTTTGGAGTTACAGCAATGGGTCATTTTGGGTTTATACCACAAAACACTAAGGCAGATTTATTAGCTATTTTTCATGTATTTTTGTGGAAAAAATTACATTGGTAAGAACTGTCATCAAACAGAGGCAACAGTCTTACTAAACTCTTGGGGACTGGTATCTCCAGTACTCAAGGGCAAAGGGCTTACTTTTTAAGTAATTTTCCTCAGTCTGAAATAAATTTAAGATAGGCTATTTTTTTAATACAAAGATATGTTAAAATGTAAAAGGGGATTATAAAAGAGAAAATCTGGTCATCAAAATTACATTAAGAGTTTAAATGTTTATTGACAAAAAATATATGTGATAAGTATGTATGTGTTGTAGACCGCTCTGCCTGGTTTTAGGAATTGTATGTCAACCCCTTGTGGCTAAGGGCAAGGGATGACCTTTGGAATGTGAGCCACAGGAGACAAAGCCTGTCTCTGGTAGCAAACGCTGCCTCAGTTTCCTCTCCCTGCCCCCAAAGCTTGGTCAGAAGTCAATAACGGGTAAGACCCCTCACAGCAGGGGGGGGGGCAACCTAAGCCAGACTGGTTCACTTGGGAGGCCTTCATGGAAGGACTGGGTGGGGAGCTGCAACAAAGAGCAATGAACTCTTGTCCCCCAGCTTTGACATAGCCGGAGTCCCCATGTCCTCTGGGAGAAGCGCTTCCTGGCTCTAATCCCCTTAAACCTGAATACCTGATGGGGAGAGGTGCAGCTCCTTGCCTGGCCAGAGTGTGCCCTGGGGAAAATCTGGCACCACAAAGACTTGCTGATAAACCTGTGAAATCTGCTCTGCTAAGAGTGCTTTCAGTCATACGTTAAGCGTTCAAACAGGAAACCCTAATACTCTGTTCCTGACAGACTCTGAAGCCCTCAGATTTCTTTGAAATGTTATCTACTGTTTGATTCTTGCTGCCCTGTATTCCTGTGTATTAGAACCCAATAAAAGGCAATGGAGGAGGGGGCTCGAAGCCTTTTTCTCCTCAGAGAAACTGGCCACAGCTGGCCTTTTTCCCTGAGAAACTGGCCACTGACCACTTCTCCTCCCCAAGCAGATCACATCATGTCTTGGTCATATTCACTTTTCATCCATGGCCACTGAGGGGACTTTTGAGAGAAGTCGCCCCCACATGTATGTATACAACTAATTAAGCACCTGTAAGTCACTTATGAAGAATAAAAAGTTTAAAACAAATGATACACGTATGGGCAAATGGCATCTGTTCTGCAACGGAAATGTACTGTTAATAACAGCATGATCGTATCCTACTTTTTGTGATAGGTGTCTAAAATGTACCTCTGTCCTCAATGGAATGTCTTCAGTGTCTGCAATTTCAGAGCTGAAGGTGTATTCAGACTCATTGCTGCTGTGGGTGGAGTCTGTTCTCTTGTGTCCAGGCTTCGGCACATTCTGCAAGGCAAATAAACCGAGTATAACCAACACAACGACATTCAACCTGGCACACTTAAGACAGCATCCACCTTAACTTGGTTTCAATCTCCACGTATTCAATGCTGTTCTCATGGCCAAACCATCTGTTTCCTGTCGTCTGAAGGGTTAACTTCTGAGCTCCTCAAAGAAAAAAGGAAGATGTACCTTCAGGGCATGACAAGAACAGTGGCAAAATCAAATGCTCAAATGAAAACCACCTGTGATTCTTAGCAGAGACCTCTTTGGGTTTTTAAAATCGTGAGTGGCTAGCCACACCGGGTGGAAAATGGGACGATGCCTTAGCATGCACACATTGACTTCAGTGTTGCAGTCAAATAATCCTTAGCAAAGGTTCTTAAGGTATGTTTGATGACAGCGTGGTCATTTTACCAAGCTGTGTTTGGGCAGAGTCAAAAAGAAAAAAGAGGGGGTTCCACAAAGTACCTATAATTTCTGTCACTTTTATGCATGAAGTTGGCTCTCTGGAGTCAGCAACAAGAAGGATGAGCGATGCAGGACAGGCAAGAAAGCTGCCCTAAGAACGTGGTGGAGATCCTGGGGTTATTAATTCAGGGAGTCCAGGAGACTCTTTTATGACACGTGGTACCTGCGATACTGCGTTCAGAAAGCTTGAGGGGAACAGGAAAGTTAAGCAATTGCAGTTCCTTCCTTTCTGTAAAAGGGGCTAGTGAATGGCTTGAAAGATGAAGGAAGAAAAAGGCTGGGTTTGTGCTCCTCACTCCTCTGGTTCTCCCAGCAGAAGAGGTAGAGAGGTTCAGTGGCCTGGATCTCACAGGGTTACTGATCCTGGGAGCTTCAGAAGGCCTTAGAAAACTTCCTGATCTCTTCAATTTTCTTTACTCCTTCCCTAGCTACCATAAAAGAGTCTGAAGCCACAAAGAGTTCCTTTGCTTCTTTCCTTCCAACATCCAGGCTTATCGGGAGCAGATCCATCTGTACAACCAAAGTGAAGCCAGCGTCAGGGCAGTCAAAAGTCTCCCGGGCCAGCCCAACCTGTACTCCAGGGCATAGGGAAGACCCAAGAACACCAGAACCTCTGAAACTATTTAGCAGCTGGGTACACACACAGGAGAGAACCGCCACACATAAGTCAAAGATACTCAGGTTTACTCTCTGTTTACACACAGGCATTCTTACTTAAAGTTCCCAGCCCACGGCAATAGTTGTAGAGGATGATATTTATTTAACAAATTGGCTGTGTCATTAAGAAAAACAGGTAGGCCAATAAATACTAGAACAAAGATTTTAAATAAGCTTATTAAGGGTGAGTGAGACCCCTGTTTTCCCACATGTATGTATTTTTAAGCAACAAATACCTTAAGGTATGAATAGGAGCAATGCTATGCAAATAGATTTTCTATTTAATGTAACTTCATATACACAGCAACGACTACCAGTAAGCGTTCTGAGTCAGAAACAGGAGAGAGCTGGGTGGGAATCTGCCACTTACCCACTCCCTGTCCAATTTCTCCAGGCCTTACTTTCATCATCCAGATAAGGAGGATCTACTTCATAGTGCTTATGTGAGGATTAAGTAAGACAGCACAAGTAAGGAGTTTACCATAGGGCCTGGGATACACCAAGCACTCAATTAATGGTACCTGATGCTGCTTTTAATTGTTAGGACCCTGCAGTAATTCAAGTCCCTTAGTGACCGTCCAGTTTTTGTTCAATACGCTATTAGTTTTAAAAGGACAAATTTATGCCTTGATCATCATGTTCTCCAGGATCTGCATGTGGCACCGCCTCTTCTCCTGTCTCTTGTCTCCCATAATTCCTTTTCTTGAATCTGTTTTTACTCCCTTTGTCAAGATTAATGACCCTGTTGTTGACATGCTGAATTCCCTCCTCCTTTGGAATTAATTTATCTTCAAACACTTCACAAGCCTGGATTCGCTTGCCTCATTATCCTTTCATTGTTGGCTTAAAACAATTTGCCCTTCATTAGCCCTTCACTGCCTCAGCCCTGCAACTGAATGTTCCTGGAGAAAAATCCCAAAACATTTCTTGGTCCCAGGGAAAAATAAATCTAGACCCTAGTAATCAGTGGTACTATCTGAGGCAATCCATCAAGTTTCCCTGCTTAGGTTTCCCCACCATCTATTTGAGGAGTCTATTAACTGCAAACGCTTCATTAGCATCGTGGCAGTGAGAGCTCATTTGCAGAACAGTGTCAGTGAAAGATTAGTACCCATCTGTTAGTTGCTCACTTCTATCTAAACATTAAAATAAGATGTTGCTATTAACATTTTAATTAGCCCTAAGTTATGAAGTCATTTTTTCATTCTCGGCAAGCATTTTCTGTGAAGACGCTGATCCTGATTGCATCTGGAGCTGGGAAATGAGACGTAACGCAGAGCTGAGTAGGAAGCAAGCAACCTCTGCAGTTCCTTCTTCTGCTATTTTCCCCTTTCCCTTCCTCTGACCATTTTGTTACCAAAGAGGAATGACAATGAGTCACAGACATCCAGTGGAGAGGGTAACAGGCTGAGAAATCTGAGATCAAGCAGCTAAACTACCAGTGGATCTTGGTTACATCTTTCTTTTTCCACAGCACTGCTGGAAACAAATAAATAGCAGGCAGAGACTTGCTCAGCAGGAAGGACTAGGTCTGTTAAATTGCTGGACCACAGAAATTACTGGAGGGCCTTTTCCAGAGATGGCTGCTTCTCTGACTAAGGAGGCCCATTAACCACACAGATGTCTCTGGCATGTGCTCAGAGAGTATTATAAATAGCTTCTCTCATTTTATTTTCTGAGGTTTACAAGGCACACAGTATTAAAGCATCCAAAAAATATTACAGAAAAAAATTTGTGTATCTCTGTTTAAGCAGGTTGATCCCCACATTTATTTAATCTCAATCATTTCTTTCCCCAGCGCTACTTCTTAATGTCCCAAGTAACTAGTGGCCTCTGAAACAACCAGTGGGATACAAAGTATAGCTCTAGCCATAACTAAAGTATAGATTAACCATAAATGTTGGTGTGGTTATCTAGTAAATAGAATACAATACATGCAAAAATGGAACTCTGGGGAATGTGATGTTGAAAGACAGAGGAAAAGGACTCTAGAGAAAGTGGAGGATGTGAATGAACAAAGGTTCCCACAGGGCCAAGTGCAGCAGGGAGATCATAGGAGATAAGACTTAATGAGGGTCCTTCCCATTTGTCCATTGTATGGATAATGGTGACTTACTCTTACTTCTAATTTCTGTTTGTCACATACAAATTCAGAATATAGTAGTGAGATCTGAAATAATGGTCCAACTTAAATTTAAATTAGCCTTTTGACCTCTTTGAGACTAGACTTTCTCACTTGCAAGGTGGTAAATTTATTTCATTTCTTTTGTTATATCATCTTTTATTTTGATATTTTAAATGTCATATTTTTAAAGGATCCAGATTGAAGCAAAATTTGAAGTACTGAACCTTGTTGATATAAATTATCTGTTTTTATAAGATATTTAAGAGCATTTCTGGCCATTTGTACCATGAGGTTACCTTAAAGGCTGACACTTTTAGGAAACAAGAGAGCCATGGAACTCTTTCATTTCCTGAAAGCAGGTGAAGTACAACAGGGAGGGTATGAAGACTATTAAAAAGTACCTTGGCAGATGCGGAAGAGTCCTTGAAATGGATAATTTATTACGAATAGAGGCTGAAATTTCTTTTTGTAGGACTAGATCTTTGATATTATAATAAAAGCCAGTGGAGGAAAATACTCAATTATGTAAATATTTGCTGTATATTCAAATTTTACACTAAGTCATTCAATATATATATATAACAAAGCCCAGCTATATTAACTTCATACTATTGTATAGTCCAGTCTTTACAGTGTTTGACTTTATAAAGTATTTATAAGTAAAGTTTTATACTTTCTGAGATTTGCTTTGAAACAATCCAATCCATTGGATAGGATGGGATGAAGGGGCAGAAAAGTGTTTGCCATTTTGGAATCAGGCAACAAGTACATGGAATACTTGGGAGTTCAGTTCATATAGTTTTACTGTTCTACCTACTTTTGTATGTGCTTAAAAATTTTCATTTAAAAAAAGCAAAAGCATTTGACCCACCACCATCAGAGTCATCTCTTCCTTGAGGTCATCATATCGTTCTTCTAAGCGACTAAACTCATTCAGAAGGTTTTGATATCTCAGCCTTTCATCATTGAGATCGAGTTCCAGTTGTTTTGTTTCTTCTACTAACTTCTTCTCCATAGTCTCTGAAAAAAAGAAGAGGGAGAAGGATATCAAAGATGCCTCCACAAAATACAGCAGTACGAACACATACACTCACTTCCAGATTCTCCACAAGGGGTTCTCACTTTAGCACCACTATGATCTATGAACAGTATCTTCATAATCAATATAGGGAAGAAGGAAATATCATGACCATAAAACTGAAGTAATTATTAACAATAACAACAATCGCCTATTGAGTTCTATGTACTACAGACTTAGTACCATTACTTAACTCACTGGTCATAGCACATCCTTGATAACTTCCAATAGTCATCGTTGGGTAACAACAGTCATTGTTAGTCACTGACATTCATTGTCAGTCATTGTTCATTCATTCCAGAACTCACGACAAATGCCGAAACACGAGCATGGAAGGATGAAGCATTTTTTCTTGCGGGGCAGTGTCATAACTCTCTAGCAAGTGTGACAAGTCTTGAGCAAATGCTCAGTGCTGAAACATTTTTTTGCTCATCAACGTGCAAGGCATACAGGGTTTGATGAGTTCTGAAGCTGATGAGTACCTAGGTATGACTATACACATTTTTTATTCCAATAGTATTCTGTTTTAGGCTGTTTATAAATTCTTTTGTCCAAACCAGTGCACCCCATCAAAAAGTCAGATATTCCTCAAGTGTCCGAGGGTAGGGCGGCTTCCCAGTAGACCTGGCTATCCTATGGCACAAAGTCCACTCCCCTCAGCCTCTGGGTTCTATGGAGCAATTTTCAGCACTCTGAACTCCCCACTGTCTTATTAGGTGCCCATTTCTAACCAGGTAAGCTCCCCATGCCTGGACATCTGTGTTACTTCTCCGGCATGCTCCTGAGCAATCCCTCACCTTTCCATTTACCTGCTCCACCCTAACCCTCTCTCTTGCCAGTAGCTTACATGTGCCTAAAACAGCATGTGGAGACTGGAAATTAGCCCCTGATCGCGGATAAAGCAAAATTTTAAAATGTTCAGCTGTATGTTTTAGCTCGATGAGCCTGCTACTGACATTTATAAACATTAAGCTTCCTACCTCTGTGGCCCATTTTACCCTCATATTTTGTGGCTAAATCTTATTCTACCCTGTCTGTTTCTATTGTTCCATCATTTCTTTCTCTGTCAGCTCCAGGAGGGCAAGGGCTGCAAAAGTCTCGTCACAACTGCTTCCTTGGTGCCCATAATAATGCTTCCCTATCATAAGGCGTTAATAACTTGTAAATGAAAGATTTCTCTCTATAATGCTCTATAAATTGGCTTTTATTCCCACCAGTTTGCAGAAGGTGCCCAAGGCTACCAACAAATTTTTCCTAGGTAAATCCCTTATCATTTCTTTGTTCTTATTGTTCAGTTTCAGATAACACTGTATATTTTCCTAGAAGTGTTCTCATCATTCTGAATCTTTTCATCACATTCTGCACCTTAGCAGCCTCATCTCCATGTCTCCAGTGACTTTTCTTTTCTCCTTCTCTTAATTTTTTTCTGGCTTCTTTTTTCCCCCTTCAATTTATTCCTTACATACGGTCATCCTCTAAGGCTTACTTCCAGACTGTCTTCTCTTTCCTTTACATTATTCCCTTTAATTGGGAGGAAGGACACGGTGTCGAGAAAAGTACAGTGGGTTCCCTTAGCATCACAACTTTCAGGCATACCTTAAGGCTCATTTCTTTCTATCTTTCTTCTCGGTGTGCTTTCCGAACATCTCTATCTGGAGGCCCTAGCTGACAACCAAAATTTAACACTCTCACAACCGATCTCATTAATTTTCCTCACAAGCAGGTACTTTTATCTCTCAGTTTCCCCATTATTAATAATATATTGTTATTGCTTTGATATATCAAAATTTTAGAATATCTTATTCCTTTTTTGAATACCACATCAAAAATAACATTCTGTTGATGTTTTCCATGTTATATATCCCATCCCAATCCATTTCTTCCATTCCATTTCCACTGCCAATCACTGTAGTTTAGATCTGCATCTTCTTATCTCATGTTTATGAATATATGACATTCTTATAAATTACCATCATTCTAATCTTTCTCACAAAGAGCAAATACAATAAATGTCTACATGTAATTAGTTTTCTATTAAAAAAAATCAGTGGGCTTTTCTGTTTGTTTGGTAACAAAAAGTGGTTGATCTTGAAAAAATAGTATCCACTGATTTAGCAAAAAAGAAATAAAATACATACAAACATGTATACACATTAACATATTAGCTCAAGAATTTTTCTAAATCAACATGAATCCTTTAAGCCATAACTGATAAATCATACATGAAAAACAGTTACTTTTTAACTTTAAATTCTTTTTTAAGAATTTTTTAGTCCTATGATATTAACTAAACATGAGTTCACATTTATACATAGAGAGACCAGATTTCTAAGTTCACCAACTAATTCAACCAAAATATTTAGAGCGCTTGCTACTTAGAATATTATACATTTACTGATGACAGCCTCAACTTTTTAAAATATTTAAGTTCTAAAACAAAGTTGTACCTTATAAAACACTGGTCTGAAGTTGGCTGGCATGCATTGGTGTGAACCCACATGAGCCTTACCTGTCATCTCCTTAGCCTGTTCCACAATGAGGTGATTGAGGGCCTCCTTTTCCTGCTTCAGCAAAGTATTTTCTTCCTTAAGATCTGATACCAGCTATAAAATGAAACAATAAGCTGAGATGGCTGCAACAGACAAAGCAAGCCAGACACTAAGTATAAAAACCACACGTAGCGGTCACTCCTTACTGCCACATTTCTGTGCCTCATTTCTTTGCCTAGTTACGTCTAGTCACCTTTCTAATTTGACTCAAGCATTACCCCCTCCAGAAAGCCTTCCTGAAAATTCCCTCCAAACAGATGTCTCTTCTCTAGGCTACTACAGGACTCTGTATATGCCTCTTTATAGCCCTTATAAGTGATTTACTTATACTTCCATAGTAGACTAGAAATTTCTTGAAGACAAAGATGATTGCTGCTGTTGATTTGCTTTATACCTTAAGCATATAACAGCTGTCTGGCACCTCGTAACCATTTGCTCTTAAAGCAACGAGAATGCCTCCTCACCTCAATAGCCTAGCACAAAGCTTTGTGCACCCAGGATTCAAGCAGAGGGATTAAAAGGATTAAGAAAGATATGGAGGGCATTTTCATTCTGGAAATTCACTGAATATTTTCTAAAGCTCCCTGCTATATGTCTAATTGTGAAAGGTCGTAAAGTCCCTTTATTCCACTTTAGACATTGACCTATGATGGTGAATGTACTTAATGCCACTGGTCACTGAAAATGGTGAATATGGTAAATGTTGTGTTATGTATATTATAATCACGATTTTTTTCTTAAAAAACATTGACTTAACTTTCTAGCGTCTAGTTGGGTAAAGATTCCCAGGAAGCAAAAATCAAAACTAAAGATAACTTTGCAAAGTTCATAAGTTACTCAGTTCATCTCTGCAATAAAATGTGTACTTGTGATGAATGAAATCTGAATTCCTTTTCTAAGCATAAGTTGAAGGGACTCTAAAAGTGACAGTTAATAATAAAGAGAAACATCGGTAGTTCAGAGGAAAAAAAGAGCTTTGGAAGTAAGGATCCTGAAGAACAGGGAAGTTAGATGACCCCATGCCACAGCAAAAGTCAGTCCAGAAGGAAGGGATGGTCCAGGTTCTTCCCTCCACACTGATATGGTCTTCACATCCATCCTCAGTAGAAAGGCCCCAGTTCTCTATGTGCTTTTGAGAGAAGCTGGTCTATGTGCTTTTTCAAAATAAATGTGCTGAGCCCACACTCCCAGACCTTGGGCAGGTGTCTTTGTAAAACCTATCCAGCGGATTCTGATGCACACTCCTGGTGAAAAAAGCACAGTTCTGGTGTGCTCTCTAGTGTCCTTGATCAGGCTGATTGGAATTGTCACAGGGAACTTTTTTCATTCTCATCCATTACTACACTCCAAAAGAATCAGTGATAATGCTTCTAGCTATCCTGTGAAAAACAGAGGATAATAAAAAAAGAAAGGAGAAATCTAAATCTGCTCATGGGTACTGTTCTATCAGACTACTAAGGTATGAAGTTGACTTTGAAGAGGAAAAGAGAATATTCCTACGAAGCTTAAATACTCTATAGATTCAGATGGAAAGCTTCTGAGGACTCAGGAAATGACATAGATAGATAGATAGATAGATAGGTAGATAGATAGATAATAGATAAGAAGGAACTTAAACTCAAGATTATTACTTTGAATTCGTATCTGAATTCTGACAGAACTTACCATTTAAAAATAACATATTAATGGCACTGCTATGTCCATAATACAGAGCCTAGATCTGCTAGAGATATAGGAGAAATTATCTTATTAGGACCCTGCATGCCATGGCAGGACTGGAATTTTATCAGCTGTACTACCTTACCTGAATTGCACCTAAGCTCCTTCTGAGCTTCTCATTCTACACCTAGTTAATGTCAGAATCCAGCACAGAAACAGCATATTGGGATTCTTGCTCAGAGTTACACCCAACACAGTCAACTCTGTTTTCATTTAAAGACAGTCAATTACTTTCTTTCCAGTAAGCCTTATATTGAGATACTTTTATTTTGTGTAAACAATGCATTTCATTACTGCTTGAGAACCTTAATTTTTTCTGTCTTTAGTAAAGTTTTGAGATAAATTAATAGAAATTTGTAGTATGGAAACACTGATCAATCTATAAAGATTTTTTCTTTCTGTTTTTTGGTTCTATGTGCATAGCAGCTCTTGGCTATAATCAGTATGCAGACATTCGGATTTCTCCCTTGGACTTCTTAGCATAGTCTTAATTCAGCCTTAACTAGGGAACTTTCCATAAAGTTCCCTAGTATCAGCTATTGGGAGTTCATTGTTTGCTTTGCTTCTTAATCATGTTAACCCAAGGACAAGGAGTGCAGACTCCTTTTTAAAGAAAAAGAGTGTATAGTAGGGTTCTCATTAGAGTTCAAAGATCCTACTAAAAGACCTATAGCTACTGACTCATCATGTGGAAGAAATGCCTGGGAAACACTAGTAATAAAAGTTGTATTTTGGCTTTGACGGAAAGCAACAGAGAGCCACAAGGGCCAGGTAAAGATGACAGCACATTTTCTTTGTGAAAATGTGAACATTTAGTTCCTTCCTACCTGCTCAGTTTCTTGTTTGTATTTATCGGCACGTTCCTCAATGGATTTTTTCTCTGACCGAGTTTGTTCCAGGTCTTTCCGGAGCTTGGCAATTTCTTCCTGTAGACTGAGGACCCGTCCAGTGGCAACCTTAGCTTCCTCTTCACTTAGTTGAAGACGCTCTAGGTCACTTCGTCGTTTCTCAGTCTCAGAGTTGTATACTCCTTCCAGATTGGTCAGTTTCTCCATGAGGCATTTATAGTCTTTGTTCTTTAAACACACATAAACAGTAAGTAAGTGTACATACCATTAAATGTATTCGATGAGAAAACTGGGCTTATTCATCACATTCATGCCATATCACCATGATATTGTTATATCTAACCAAAATTCTAAATACAACATTTATAGTAACATAATCAATACTCTCTTAGTGATATAAAGAGAGAACGGACACTGCTATTTCTGTTTTACAAGAGGTGAGTTACCAAGTACTTAATTTCCTGATCCTTACTCTAGAAATAGGAAAATCTATACCTACCTGCCTTTGAAAACAAATCACTGTGCTACTAAAAGCCATGTGTTAGCCAGGTGATATGCCTAAAAATGATAAAATGGCCTCAGAATCACCAATTTCTTATCAATTTTTGTTTGCTACCTCAAAACTCCTCCTCACTCTTAAAAAACCTTCCATTATTTATCTTTTTAGGATTTTATTTATTTTTAGAGGGGGAAAGGGAGAAAGAGAGGGAGAGAAACATCATGTGTGGTTGCCTCTTGAGTAACCCCTACTAGGGACCTGGCCTGCAATCCAAGCATGTGCCCTAGACTGGGAATTGAACTGGTGGCCACCCTTTGATTCACAGGCCGGCACTCAATCCACTGACCCACACCAGCCAGGGCCAGAAAACCTTTCTGATGAATTCTGTTTCATTGTGTTTTTAGCTCTCTGTGGTATTTACGTATTACTACATTTATATCATTAGCATGACCTAAAATATTACTTAGTAACTATCTCTAAGAAATCAAACTTTTTTCTCTGTAAATAGGCTATAGATTCTTCAGAAGCATCGATATCTTCCTGATTCTTTGGCCACCTCAATGCTAAACAACTCATCTGCAAAAGGAACACTATACTTTATGCAAATGGACTGTAATGGCCAAAGAGTTTTGTGAAGTATAAAGTACATGATGGCTCTTGGTCATAAAAGTTTGGAGCGCTAATAAAACTAGCTGTGTTCTCAAAAATAATCTCTAGCCTTAGTCCTTGTAATCTTACCTATGAGCTTGTCACTGTACACTCATTACTATCATTATTATTTTACTCTCCTGCTAAGACCAAAAGGTCATGTCAGGGGAGACAAAGCTGACCATATCCCAGTGGAGTTCTTTGGGCACGCTCACTTTCAGGGCTCCTGTTTAAAACACACCTGCTCATCAACTTTGCGCTGCAGCTGCATAATCTTGTTTTCCATGCCAATGTGGAGTTTCTTATAGCGCTCTACGGAGCGGGCCTCAATCTTGAGCTTCTTCAGCTCACGCTTGGCCATCATCCGCCGAAAGCAACACTGAAGGTAAATGATGGCATGCATGGTCTTCTTGTAGCAGGTGCGAGCCAGCCAGCCCCGGACCCACTTCTGAATGATGACCGCTTTGTGCTCACGGAGTATCTACAGAGAAGCAGAAGAATAAATAATGTCAGACCCTGGACTAGATTCTATCAACCTATGGCTATAAGTCATGTATTACCTAAAGGGAAAGATACAAAAGTTGAGGTAACAATGTATTATGTAGATTGTACATATCAAAAATCTATGGAAGCATAAAATTATTTTAAAAGGCAATTTAAAAAGTTGATTTTAAAGGGCAACTTGAGAAACACAGAGTATACATGTAGAAGGTGTCTAAATAAAAGACATCAGATTATTCAAAGGAAAACAATTCTAAACAGAAAGAAAAACCCATTAGGTTTCTTATTGGTGTATGATATCTGTCAGCAACAAGAGATCCTCTATAAAGTGAGGAGAAGTTGGCACCCTGTGAATTATGTGCTATTAACACAAAAGACTTGGCCACCACCTGTACTGCGGGTACCACCTCGCTATGCATTATTTCTGCGCTTGACGACATAGGGTACAACCAGTAAGGTGGTTATAGAGGCCAACACTTGGAACGCTACAAAGTTTATTACTGATTTATTAATATTTTGCCAGAAACAACAACAAAAAGTGACACTGTTGGTTGCCCTATTTCAGGCATACCATTCTAGTGATGAGTCCCTACTGCTGTTTCAAATGTAATAGGAACCTACGTATGGGAGTCAAAGGTAGTAGAGATAAAGCTTTGAAAGGAAAGCTAAAAGTAAGATAAAGGGAAGCACACAAATCTTAATTTTGATTTTGTTATACTTGCTACAAAAAAATATACTCCCCTAAACTTATAAACAACTTACAACAAAAAGGTTGCCTTATGAGTTTCTTATCATGAAGACCTTCAGGCAGAGACTGTGCACACAATTTCCAGGAGTAATGGAGAAAAAATTCTTGAAATTAAATAAAGGTTTAACTATCAAAACTGTCTAAGGTCTATGATTTTAGCTCTCCTCAGTCTATAATTTTATGAAACTCTTGTGTGACGTAAATGATATTTAAATGTGTGCCCATAAGTACTTATTAGTAACTGTTACAAATGGACACAATGTACCTCTTATAAAACTTCTTAAATGTAAAAGTTTCTGAAACCATCTATTCCAATAGATAGCAGTTTAAATGGTTCCTATTTGTAAATTACAGACCTGAGAAAATCAATGAAAAAAATGTGCCATTCTAGGGAATACATTTAAGAAATAAGTGGTTAAACATCAAACCATCAAATGCAAAATAAACGTTGCTGTTTAGACCTTAACAGTATCTTCGCCAGATCACGACCGCCCTTTCTGGCTGCTGACCGAACACTACAGCAGTCCTCACATTCCACTGAGAGTGGCTGCCGTGCACCGCACTGCAGGGAAGTCAGGCACCTGGAGCTCTCCCAGGACATCGCTGTCCTCAGGGAGCCCCTTTTCTTATCGGGATGAAGAGTGACCAACTAGATAAGACTCAGTAATGACAAATTGAAGGCTTTCAGACTTTCGAACTCCAGAAGCACACAGTGGCAAAGTTATTAATGTCAATTTTCCTATTCTATTTCCTTCTCTCCATGTAACTTCAGACGTTGGTACATTTCTGTAATTTCAGTCAAATGGAAACAGTATATAATTAGATCTTTCATCCTCAAGCTCATTTCCATTAGTGAGTTAGAAAAATTCAACTATACCTGCTCTTCCTCAGACTCCCAAGCCCCATGAAGGGGAAGCTTGGGCTGGAAACACCAGAAACATGACCAGAGTGGGCACCAATGGGGTGATACTGGACCACAGGCACCAGCCTCTGGCCTGCCGCCCCTCCTTGCACTGTTGCGGTTGGAGCCAAGCCGGCCAGAGACTGACACTGCTCGACTAATGGCCTCAAAACCCAGTTCGGATGTTCCTGAAGAGAGCAGTGAGGAAATGTGTACCCAGTTTGGTTTATCTAAAAGGTCAACTTTAATAAGGCTTTTCCTTCCCCTAAAGCTCATGTCTGTAGAGAAAGAACACTAGATTATAAAGCTGGTGTGGCAGAAAGAAACGCCTGGAGTAACTGTTTTCAAATTTTCTTCAAAACACAGCTATGAAATATGCTCACTGAAACCTCATTAGTTTTTCATTTTTCTTCATTGTCTAAAATTACTTCAAAATAAGAAAGTAAAATGCGTATATGAATACTGCCTAGGTCACCCTCACCTACTGCCTGTTATTAGAGACCTGCCCCTCAAATCACTCTGGTGATGCTCCTTCTAACAGTGGTACCCACAGGGCTCTGAGACTCAGACTGCACAGAATTCTGGACTGTTAGGGATGGGTCATGAAGGACAGACTCCAAACCTTGCCAAAAGGAGAGAAATGTCTTTCCACTAGATCATATAATATCAGAGGTGATGATTAGGATTAATCTGGTGACCCATTATCTACAGTCATGTTGATTATTGCCAGATATAAAGACTACTTGTCAAAAACTTTCAGAGTATTATATTCCAGCCAATATAAGGGTAACCACATTAATGTTATTTATCTCCTTTTCACCACAGTAAATTTTTTCAGGGTTATTTCATTTCTTGAAACAATCTTCCACCCATGTGTCAGATATCGTACCTAGTCAAAGCTCATCTAGGACCCCCAATAGCAGATCTTAATCTCTGCAATCTGTTAGTGTTACCTGATTTGGAGGAAAGGTCCTTGCAGATATGATTAAATTAAAATCTTGCAATAAGGGATTATACTGGATTATCCTTTCAGGCCCTAAATCCATCATGAATACTCTCATAATGACAGACAAAAGAAGCGAAGTTAGGCACACAGAGATGGGAGGGGAAGATGAAGGTGGAGGTGGAGCCATGTGGCCACAAACACTGGGAACCATCAGACACTGGAGGAAGCAAGGTATGGACGCCAACCCCCCCCCCCCCAACCTCCAGAGCTTTTGGAGGGAGTGCAGCCGTTGCCGATGCCTTGATTTTGGGTTCCTGCCCTCCAGAACTGAGGGAGAATACATTTCTGTTGTTTTAAGCCACCAAGTTAATGGTAAAGTTATTATAGCAAGCACAGGAAACTAATACACTAACTTTTCAAATTGCAGAGACAAGGAGGGAAAAATGAGGTAGATTTTCTTTTTCCATTGTCTTGTTAATAAATAGATGCACTTACTTAATATTTAAAGATACACTTCACTTATTGGTTGTTTCCATATGAGATGACACTGGACCTCACATGTGCCAGCTTCTGACTTACCTCCCCCACCGAGTCCTTGCAGCTGGAGCTGAGCCGGCCAGAGACTGACAGTCCCTGGGGTGACTTTGTACAGATGCAGAATACGAATAATATTAATTGAACGGATAAACAAAGTTGAAAATAATGACTCACCCTGCGATACCTATTTCTGGCCAAGTAGCCTCGCAAATAAGACTGAAGAACAATAGTGGCAGCTCGTGTAATTCTGTACTTCCTGCAGACTACATACATGCGCCAGTACTTCTGAATGATGGTGGCTGCCTTGGTTCTGCGTAGGAACTTAGTGTAGCTGGCCAAAGAAAGAAGCGGTGCGTTTGTTAGTAATCAGAAAAGCCCAGGAATACATTTTGTAGAGACTTAAAGCACCAGTATCTCTGGCCTAACTAGTACCTCCTTTGTGTTATTCTAATAATATAAAGTATTAAATCAACATTTACATTTCTTATAGTTGTATCACAATTTGCAGTTTCTCCAAATATTTTTACATTCATTACCTTATTTGAGCCTTCCCTAACCTACAGGTAAGGATGTCCCACTTACCTGACTTTGCAGTAAAGAACGTGACACTCACAGAGGGTCATTCCTTGTCAGACAGTGAGCACGGCCCCGGGCACTGCCCCCGGCACAGCAGACCCCTACACCGTCATCCCTCGCTCACCCCTCACCAGCTCTCTCAGGTCTATCCATCGCTAAGCCCAATACTTTTCAAACTCTTTCTATTTGGGCATAAACTCTTCATTATTAATTCATTTCTACTGATATTTCTAAATTAAAATTATCTTCATATGTAATCATACTGAAGTATAATTCTAAAAAGATCTTCACAGTTGAAAACTCCTCAACTGAGTCATTATTAACCAGTGCACCTTCATGACCGTTTTAGTTAACAGATAATTTCTTCAAGCCCATATAAAAGTATAAAAAAAGATACTGAAGACATGAGCACGCAGTAATTTGTAATTTTTTTGAGGATGAATCATAAGGGTGAGTGAAAGTTTATTCTATTTAACTGTCCTTATGAGTTAATTTGTTATTCCTTGAATCTAAGAAGAGGTGAGATGTTGCCTTCTCAGGTAGGGTGACCACTCAAAACCTCCCTGGTTCGGACAATGAGTCAGATGAACTCTGCAGTCTTAGGGGCCATGAGCCAGAGTGGACGCGTGTCCAGGAGACCCACCATCGCGCCTGGTAGCCTCGCACGTATCTCTGCACGGTGACGGCTGCCTTCCGCATGCGCAGGTACTTCTTCCGCTGCAGCCACCCTCGGATTGTCTTCTGGATCCGAATGCAGGCAGCCCTCAGCTTGTCTGCCCTCAATTTTTCTAGGTAGGCCACTTGACCGGCACGGAAAAAGATCTTTGTCTTACCAAACTGGTATTTATCCTTGTCCTGTTTTTGGAAGAAATTGTACACTCAGAAGTAGAAATAATAACATGTAAATGAAACTTGAAAAGAGGAAGAAATACATCTAAAAGCAGAATCAGTGAAGAGATGAATCTATTAGCTAAAACTTGGGCTACGTGATTGACTAGTAGAGCCAGATTTTTGATCCTACGCAAGTTGAGCAAATAGAAGGGGTTTTAAGGAGAACTGCAGTTTAAGAGTTATTTTCCAGAATTATTCTACCTGGGATGATTATCTGAGGCAAAAACCTTGGTTGTGGGTTAGAGGCAGCTATTATTTGCTTGTTTGTATTTTATGTATCTCAAGGAGATGGAGATGCTGACACCCCTCTGACTGACCCGGGCTGCAAGGCCTGCATCGGGTTGTGTGTTCCACGGGGAGCTGAAGGGACGGAAACCAGTATAAAGAATAAGGCAGGAAGTAATGCACACAAAATAAAAATTAAAAAAACAAAAAACCTTAAGCATTCATATCAAGAGTTAAGTTTCTTGTTATAGCTTTGCTCTATCAACAGTATCTGAAAATAAGCAAAACCCTATAAATGTTTAAAATACTTGTACAAATTTCAAAACTCCTTTTACAAAAATAAAAAAAAATTATATTGTCCATTTACTTTTTCTCTTTATCCTCATTCGAGGACATGCTTACTGATTTTTGAGAGGGAGAAGGGAGGGAGAAAGAGAAGGAAAGAAACACTGATGTGAGAGAGAAACATCCATCAGCTGCTGTTCCTCACACCAGAGTGTGGCCAGATCGCACCCAGACCCGGGACCAAACCCACAACCTAGGCATGTGCCCTGACTGGGAATTGAATCAGTGACCCTTCGGTTTATGGGATGACGCTCCAACCAGCTGAGCAACACTGCTAGGACCATTTACTTTTGATCATAGGCAGAGTTGAGTAGTGAACACAGATATGCATGTGATATTTAGTGTATTACATTCTGATCCACCTTATCTAGAAGCATGCATGTTATTAACCATTCTCCTATAAAATGAATAGTGGAATATATTTATAATAATCACAACTGTGATCTGAAATTGTGTGAAAACAGAAAATTCCCTTTCTCTGTAAGGAGGTATCTCCTATCTTGTACATGAAACTGGAAAATAAGAAATCTCTACATATATCTAAAACACCTAAAATTATTTCAATTTTAATCAATAAAATTTACATGGGAAGCCCTGGTTGGTGTAGCTCAGTGTATTGAGCACGGCCCTGTGAACCCAAAGGATCGCCAGTCTGATTCCCAGTCAGGGCACATGCCTGGGTTGTGGGCCAGGACCCCAGTATGGGGTGTGCAATAGAAAACCACGCATTGATGTTTCTCTCCCTCTCTTTCTCCCCTTTCCCCACTCTCTAAAAGTAAATAAATAAAATCTTTCAAAAATTTTACATGGGAAGACTAGCTAGAGATATGTAAAGAGCTAGCAAGCAGTTTCCTCTCTTTCTCCCTGTCTCATCTCAGCCTCCCCCACTGCGCCCCATACCAGCCCTGCCCTCTGTGCGTACCTCTGCCCTGCAAAGCCCTGAACCAGCCTGGAACGGTCTGGGGGAGGAGGCCAGGCCTAGGACTGTTTCTCCCTTCTGCCCTGCATTCCCATCTGAACCCAGGTTGGAGCAGTTGGGCCAAACTCAGAAAGCATCTGATTCTTTTACACATTCTTAAGGAAATGGTCTTAGCTCTCTCACACACACACACAAAAATGTTATTATACAGAAGAGATATCACATTTAGTTAATTTTGACTAACTACCTCTGAGTGAGATAATCCATCCAAACTAGTGTCAAACAAGTGAAAATATTTTTTTAAATCTTTCATAAATCTTAAATTCTCGAGGACTTAGATCAGTGGTTCTCAAAGTGTAATCTAAGACGAGCATCAGCAAGTTACTGGATCCAGCCCAGACCTACTGAGTCAGAAGCTGTAGGCGTGGGGTGATGAAATCTATGCTTCTCAACAAGCCCTGCAGGTGACTCTGACATGTTCTAAAGTTTGAGCCTCCTTGGCTTGGAAGGCCAGACTCTCCAACACCAACCTATGCTTCCTAAATATTTCCCTACTGTCTCACACACTAATCCTAAACCGCACAGAAACTACATTACTGCTTTCTGAGCAAACTCTATGCTTTCCTACTTCTTCACACCATGCTCCCTGTTAAAATATTCTTCTTCCACTTTTATAAAATTTTACCCACTCCTCAGGGCTGGACACAAAACATACACCTCCCAAGACATTGTTCCTCTTTTCCATAGCACATGTGGCTTTGCCTTGCTCTAATTTCCTGTCTCACTCACTCAGCCCTTGATAGACATTAAGGTATATTATATTTACCTTTAAAATTCATTAATTTCTAAGACAGACTATGTTAATGAGGAAAGGACTTAATTTTTCTTTGTCACATAGCATCTTACTTATTCCCATAAGTAAGCACTAGGTAAATTTTTATAGATAATGATCAAACTCGAAAAAGAATGCGTCTCAAGTCTGGGTCCAGTGTGATGGTGGACCACCACCTTCACTGGTCAGGCTGAGCTTCCCAAATACAGGGAGCCTCGACCTCCAAGGCAGTGTGCCCCTCCACGCTCCCAGCCCTGAATAATCTGGATTAGTGTATTTGGATGTTCCCAGGGCTCTCACAGACTATAATCACAAGGCCTTTGGCCATAATCTGTTCAGATAAAGATAAGTGAAAAATTTTCTTACCAGAATCAGTTTCTCTAATACATTCTTACATGTCTGCTTTCTGTCACTCAGTACATCTTTCTGCTTCATTAGGACACGGTAACGGCTGAAAAATTCTTGGTAAGTCCACCTATAGAAAGAGACTCACGTTAGCTTATTTAAAAAGTAGGAACCTCTCGCACCAGGATCCCTTACATCTGAAGAACGCCAAGCTCACCGAGAGGGGAACCCCGCCGCGCTGATTCGGATGGTCTCCAGGACACCACACGCCCTCAGCTGCTGCACTGCCCTCTTCTCATCAAACCTACACGTACAAATGCAAGTCATTAATACAGAGAAGCCCAGCTGCAGCCCCAAATTACTCTCCTCAGTCCAGAGATTAAATTCTTCAGTAGAGAGCCAAATGGATGCATGAGAAAAGAAAGCATTCAAAAGTTGGAGGAGTTATCAAAATGGAAAACTCTGTGTGAGAATGGGGAGGAGACAATTAGCAGTAAAACGAAAGAGCTACAAACATTATCTGTCCTTTTCTACCACAACTCACAGGAAATGCCATGGAGAATATTAAAAACAACAGCAAACAAACCACCCCACTCCGGTCCTTTGCCCGTACTCATTACATGGCTTGGCTTGACTCACCATTCTCATAATTCTGTAATTCTCTAGCTCACAGTCTCCCCTAGAATAAAGACTGGCTGGCTCTGGAGATTTCTCTAACAAGAAGGACACATTAAATATATCCCATTCAGTTATCCTTTTAAAAAATTATTGGTGTTCTAAAAGCTATTCAACTCAGTGGAATATGTACATTCTAAGCATTTATAGTGTCCACATCAATAAAAAATATTTTTGTTTTGTATTCTGTCTTATATGATTTATGTTTATTATACTCTAAACAACTGGCATCTTAATGTTAAATTGACCCTAAGAGAGGAAATGGTAAGACCTGCCACCTGCTGGATGATCACTCCCTTTACTCCCCCCGTTAAGCTCCCAGGGTCCTCTCCGACCCTCTGCTGTGCTATTTTCTCAAGTATTCTGGTGACCTGGAGAGCGGCCCAGGGCTTGGCAGCTTCTTCCTGCTTCCCACTTCCTCCAGAAAGGGCTTCCCGGCAATGAAGAAGATGTATCAGTTTTTCAGAACTGCCCTCCAGTGTGAGGCAAAACACCCAGAGGGCAGAGTTGGCCGGGGTACAGGTAAAAGAGCACCCCTACACTGTTGAGTGGGAGTTGGAGTTACTGTAACCGTAGGAGTTACCTTACTGTAACTGTAAGGTAAATATGCCTTATCTTTGACCCACAAATTCTACTTCTATAAATGCATGATCCTAAGGAAATAATCAGGCAAAAACACAAAAATGTTTGGCAGAAGATGTTTATCACAGCATTGTTGGAATAACCTAAAAGCACTTAGTAGGAAATAATTCCAATAAATAATGGTATGTCTATACAATGGGACACTGTGTAGCCACTAAAATGATGATGTGGATTTTTATTTACTAACATGGACAGTATCCACCATTTATAAAGATAAAAGCAGATACAAAACAGCAATTATAACATGAACCCTGCCCTTTTATTAGTGTGTGTCTCGCTCTTATTCTCTCTTTTATTCTCTCTCTCATACACACACCCACCCTGAGCAGGGAAGGAAACAATGTTGGCCATTAACACCCAGTTATCTCTCGGGGTATAATATAATGCTCTTTTAATTTATTTTAATAATATTTTACATTTCCTGAACATTGTTTTTACAATGCACATATATTACTTTTAAAATTAGAGACATATTTCCCTTTTGAAAAAAACCTTTTTCCTCCATATACGGTAACTGATGTGGAACAACATGTTTGGTAAAAGTAGACGTTCTGTGATGGTTTCAGCAGCTGAAAAGTGACAGGGGTAACTGTGAGCCTTTGCCAAAGCAGTCTTACCCGCCCAGCTCTGGTTTTAACTAATGTCCAAATTAACAAAAGCCCAGGAAGATCTTAAACTGAAGTAAATTCAAAACAGAAAATAGAGCTATGAATGCTTGCTTAACCTCAACTTTTAGAATCTTCAGAAGGCTAACTACTAATTTGCTCTCACATTCTCAAAAGGGAACAGAAAATGAAGAAATGCACACAAAGCAATCCTGAGAAAGAACAACAAGGCTGCAGGCACCGCACTCCCTGATTTCAAACGCTGGTATAAAACTACAGGATATGGGCAGAAAAACAGACACGCAGATCAATGGAACAGAACGGAGACCAGAAATAAACCCACACATATATGGTCAATCACTTTATGGCAAACAAGCCAAAAATATACAATGAGGAGAGGACAGTCTCTCTGACAAATGGTGTTGGAAAAACTGGCCAGCAATAAGCAAACAATGAAACTGGAGCACTATCTTACACCATGCACAAAAAGGAACTCAAAGCAGATTAAAGACTTGATCATAAGACCTAGAACCATAAAATTCCTAGAAGCAAATATAGGTGCTAAGGTCCCTGACATGGTTCTTGGTGATGATTTTTTGAATCTGACACCAAAAGTAAAAGTAACAAAAGCAAAAATAAATAAGTTGGATTATATCAAACTAAAAAGCCTCTGTACAGCAAAGGAAACCATCAACAAAATAAAAAGGCAACCTAGTGAGTGGGAAAAATATTTGAAAATTATGTAACCAATACAGAGTTAAGATCTAAAATATATAAAGAACTCATACAACCTAACAGCAAAAAAAAAAATCTAATTTAAAAAATGAACAGCGGATCTAAATATATATTTTTCCAAAAAAGACATATGGATGGCCAACAGGTACAAAGACGCTCAACATTACTAATCCTCACAGAAATGCAAATCAAAACCAAAATGAGATACTACTTTACACTTGTTAGAATATCTATTACCAAAATGACAACAAATAACAAGTGTTGTTGGTGAGGGGGTGAAAAAAGGGAACCTTCTTTCAGTGGGAAAGTAAATGAGTGCAGCCAGTAAAAAAACAGTAATGGAGATTCCTCAAAAAATTAAAAATACAACTATGGCAGCATCCAGTAATTCCACTTCCGGGTATTTATCCAGAAACAAAAACAAAAACACTAACTCAAAAAAAGACATATGCATCCCCATGCTCACTGAAGCATTATTTATAATAGCCAAGACATGGAAACAACCACATCAATGGATGAATGGATAAAGAAACTGTTGTATATATACAATAGAATATTATTCTTCAGCCATAAAAGACAGTGAAATACCACCATTTGTGGCAACACAGAAGGCATGTCACTAAATGAAATTAAGTCAGAGAAAGACCAATGGCATATGATCCCTCCTACATGTGAAGTCTAAAATACACAAAGCAAAACAAAACAACATATACATACACACACACACAAGATGCAAGCTCAGATTCAGAGAATCAACTGTCGGCTGCCAGAGGTAGAGGTAGGTGGGTAAGAGAAATGGGTAAAGGAGGGGGGGCCAGAGTTAAAAAAATTTTTTTTTAATTCAGTGAACTAGTGGTTTCCCTTTACAACACATAAAGAATTATCTAAATAGTTTTTCCTTCTGCTAGTTTGGCAATCCTTATGAGATATGGATACTTTTAAATTCAGTGGTTGAAAAATACTTACGTGAATGGGAACTTGAAATCATTAGGCTTAATACAGCGCACATAATGAGGGGTAGTAGCATTGAGGGTCTCCATTAGCAGATGAAGGGAATTTCGGAACTGCACAGAAAAGAGCAGGAAGGGGCATCAAGGTTTTGTCAAAGCCAAAGATAATGTGAAACAATTTAAACTTTATTCTAACAACATTAGTAGAAACTGACCCATCCTTCCAAGGGGAGCTGATACTAAACAAGAATTCTAGGACTTGAGATTAAAATTTGCTTAAGTTCTACCATTTGCATGCTTACACTTGCTCTCTCCCACCCCTTTTCCTGACCCCCCTTTTTTAAATAGACTCTACTTTCTGAGTATACTTTTAGGTTCACAGGAAAACTGAAGAGAAGATACACAGATTTCCCATACACCCCTTGTCCCACACACGCACAGCCTTCCCCGCTGTTAATCTCCCGCCACAGTGGTACATCCTCACAACTGGCGAATTTACTCTGGCACATCTTAATCTCCCAAAGTCCATCGTTTACATCAGAGTTCAGTCTTCCCACTGCTCCCCTTTTAATAGAAGTTTCTGCTGTTTTCTATTGCGAACTCAGAATTCTGACTAAAAGCATAACTGCTTTAAGAATATCAAGACCACTTAATCATGTACAGTGGGAATTTTGCTGTAAGCTAGTGAAAAATATTGCAGATGACGTGAGAGTATATAGGGCCATGGCTGGTGTGGCTCAGTGGATTGAGTACCAGCCCGTGAACCAAAAGGTTGCCTGTTCAGTTCCCAGTCAGGGAACATGCCTGGGTTACGGGCTGGGTTCCCAGTCGGGGACGTGTGAGAGGCAACCCATCATAAAAAGAGTATAGGAAATGAGGGGAGAACGGGAGAGTACAGCAAGGTTACCACTGTGGATAATATGGACATTAAGGACTAGAGGCAGTGGACCCGTGTTTGGCCCCACTTCTTGTCTGTACTGGGCACAGGGTCCTGCACACAGGAAAACAAACTGACTAGTGCTCAGCCTCCTGTCAAAGCCCCGGGCCACCGATCAGGCACTAAGCATGTATGTCACACTTCCCACTCCCCACAGAGCGTAAGACGTCCAAAAAAGGAGAGGGCACTATTCCAGCTGAAGGAACTGATGCTCTGCACAAACCCAGGGAGGAAACATCCAGAGAGTAAATAAAACAAGTCAGCAGTGTTCTGGGAGGGAGTAGAATGAAGATGTAGAGAAGACTATTTTGGGAAAGGCTTCATCAGAGTCACAGGTCTGAAGCTAGGTGAAGAAATGGGGGGGCTGTGGGGATGTGAGGGGGTGGAGTGGACAGGGAAAGCTGTAGTCTCTCTTCACCTGAGGATCCCACCTGGGAGGCTGAGAAAGGAAGACCTGAAGCTCCAGCTGAGCTGGAGGGGAAATCCGAACTCACCTGGTGCCCCACCGTTTTCTTGTGCTCTTTGGCCGTCTGACCTGGTCGACCTTTGGTGGGCTTTGCAGAAAGGCGAGTGAGGGGTGTACGCCCTGAAGAGGTGGCTGAGGTTGGACTAATGGCCTTCTCATCATCTTGAAATAATTCTGGTAGCATCTTAAACTGAGTCAGAAAGAACAAAAGGAAATTATACTCTAAACTCAAATGTAAACCTTTACAGAAACATTATGAAGATTTGCGATCCATAATGATTCCTTTAAGTAAACGCTTTCAGAATCACATTCCAGAAATAATCAGAATCTGTGTTGAGAGCCAAAAGTGTTAAGAGGACGGTGCCGTATATGCTGAAACACAGGTGGAGAAACGCAGTACTTCTACAACCGTGTTTGGGGAACAAAATCGGAACTCCACCACTAAGACTTGAAATCCTAATCCACTCTAAACATATTACTGAGTTTGAACTATAGTTATTTTATGAGCAAAACACTCACTGAAAGTCCTGCCTTTTACCTTAGTTCCACAAAATATTTTATCACCAAGCTTCAGTTGTCCACCCACTAATTCAAATGGTGAGCACTAGCTAAAAAGTATCACTGAAAATCCCAGCAGGAAGGTGTCAGGAACTAGTTCTGAAGTATTAAAATATTAAAAAATAGTTATGAATTGATCATAACTTTTAGAAAATAAACTGGATTACGGGGTTGGGCGATGAGGGGACAAGAGAAACAACCCTGTTCTTCTCCTGTAAGCTTTTGTATTTTGTTTTCAAAGAATTTATAACTTGATTGCATACTTCTGTAATCAATTTTGTGTTCTAGCAATATGAACAATTATCAAAATGTTTGGTACTTATTAAGCAGTGGATGGTGTCAGTCACTAGAGTTGGGAAAAATTTTTTGGAACAAAAGAGACTTTGAACTAATCCAGAGAAACATCTTGTATATCTTTATAACAGTGCCCCATTCCACATACATAAAGTAAATCTTTTTCATAAGTGAAATTATAATTGCAACTACCAATTATTTGTCTAATAACCTCAAAATATCTCAAGAAATAATTTTCTTGGAGGGTTCTTTCATTAAAAAACAAAATCAGATCATTTGATTTTCTATTAATTTATATATCAATCATAAGGGTAATTTAGGAAATAATTCATGATGTTATACATAACATACCAATAATGGTTCCTTTCTACACAAACAAATGTATCCCTTGCTTTATAGAATAAATAATATATTTTAGCTTGGTTGGCTACAAAGAGGGGAAAAAATGTTTTAGCATTATCTCATATTACAACATTAAAGCTACGCTTCAAAGGGGAAAAATAAGAGTTCCTAAGATTTGATTTGAAAACTCAGCACAGGGTTAAGATGCTAGGCTACTCAATTATAGGTCAAGTACTTAGGAACCTTCTCTACTGTATTCAATCATTCTCAAATAGATTGTTAGCTCGACATTAGCATTGCCTACCTAAACTTTGTTCTTCTCTGTTCTGTGAGGACTAGTTAATAGAGCTGGGCTGCAATATCATATTTAGTAATTTACAGCACCCAGTAGGTACTACAAGTTAACTTAATATCTACATATCTATCTTAAAACTGCTTAGTGTTCAGAGTTCAGAATACACACACACACTACACATGCATGTACGTGTGTGTGGCTTCCTCCTCAGAGCAATCCTAAATTCAAAATTCTCCAAATTAATTTTTCTTTAAAAAAGGGAGAGAGTTGTATTAGAAACTGCTCTATAATTTCTTCGTTAGGATGTTGTTCCTTATGGGCCACTTTTCTAAGGTTTCTTTCCCAATTCCTCTTCAGGTCTGCCTCTACAAGTCGAAATGTCTAAAGGCTCTGGCCTTTCTGTATTTTTGACCAAGTCTCCCTGAGCAATCTCATCCAGCCCCACTGCTTTAAACCAAGAATTCCAAATTTATGTCACCTACTCTGACTTTCCCCATGACCTGCTGACCTTCATATCCAACTTCTTATACAACACGTTCACTTGGACTATCTAACTGCCTTCTCAGGCAAAGCATGAGAAGAGTTCTGTCCAAGGCAGAACCCTTGATTCTTTCTCCCCAAAGCCTGATCCTTCATCCCAGTTAATAACACCAACATCCATCCAGCATCTCAGGCCAAAAACATAGAAACCATCCTCAATTTCTCCCATTCTCTCACTCTCCACTCAATCCATCAAGACCTGTCAACCCTACCCACAAATTATGCACCAGTTCCACTGCTACAATCCTGGTACCTCGGTACACCACCTCTCACTGGATCACTGCTGCGTCATCTCCACTCACCCTAAACACATCACCACCCAGTAGCATATCATTCCCTGTATGAAAACCTTCCAGGCCTCCCACGGCAACAGGAATAGTGGCCACACTCTTTACTCTACTTCCCTCCAGAAGGTAGCTCCTGTCTACTCATCCTACACAGCCTACTCACCTACCATGCTCCAGCCACACTGGCCTTCTTTTTTGGACCCCAAACACAAGCATCTTAGACAGCCTATGTGCCCCTCACCTGGTGTGCCATCCGCTTTAATGTGGCTGTCTCCCATTTTTCAGGGTACAGCCTAAATCCCTGCCCAAGCTTAGTCACCTCTGGCTTGGTACCCTGTTTGACTTTATAGTATTCACCACTTTGATATAATATTATCTAAATATCTGATTAAGTGGTTATTACCTAACTCCACACAAAAACAGGGATCTTTGCCCATCTCATGTACCTTGTTTAACCTGACTAAATTCCTAATTTTCTGAAATCATTTATTGAAGAATTTATCCATTCCCCACTGACTGGATGCCAACTTTATTTTAAGAGAAACAAATTCACAAATATATTAAGTAGATAGATACGCCCAGACATTCCATTTTGTTTCTTTGGTTTGTCTATTCCTAAGACAGGGCCCAGAATTGCTTAAGACTGAGCTTATATGTCTGGGAAATAGTGTTAATGAAAACAGAAGAATCCATGCAGCAGCTTTATGAAGACGTGAGAAATCGTTTCAGTAATAACAACAACGGCATTATTCACTAAGAGTTTTCCTATGCATAAAGCACTACTGTAAGGTCTTAAAACCAATTTAATACTCATAACAACTCCTTAGATATTAATATAAATTCTATTTTATAGATAAGAGATCTAAGGCATAAACTCAGTACATAAATTATGCTTCTCCTCATCAATTAGCAACATGCAAAGTAGGGGTTATAACTCTTTTTAATGGTATTTCGTGGAGTTCCAATTTAGTAGTATTTAGTCAAGTTTGTAATTCATTTATATACTTCCTACTATTAGATAAGGGAACATAGATTATATTTTTTTCACCAGAAAGAACTCAAGACACTTTTTGTTAAATTTATAATACCTTACTTCCTTTACAAGTTGTAAATTTGGCTACAGGCTTCAAAATTAAAGGGAAAAAAAGACAAAACACACACACGCTGTATTATCACAAAAATAATTCTATTTAAAACACACAACACAAATATTAACCTTGTAAGATTGGTACATCCAAGAGAACAAATCAACACGATAGTACACTTGCTCTCTATCAGGTGCAAAGACATTAAAATATAAAGTTCACACCCTCAGGCTGGGTTTCCAGAGGGCGGGTTACTGACGAGGAACAGGGGAGGCCTGTAAGCTGAGCAAATCACACAGGCCCCCATTCCAGCTGTGGCAATGCTACCCAGACTGACTGTCACCCAAATGATTCCTCGGAAGGCACTGATAGCTATCTTCTGACAGTTGAATGGTAACGAGCCAGTCAGAAAAGCTCAATACAGACGCAACTGAGTGTGAGTGCCCAGGGACAAGAACCTGTGACTATTCTATTTCAGCTGATTACTTAGGCAGAGCAGTGACATTAGAATTTCATGGTTTCCATCACTATTCATAAATCAAAATGATTTCTAATCTTTTAATTGAATAATATGCAGAGACTACCCTGTGAGAGAATCTTAAACATCAGTCCCATAAGCTATAAAGCATTAATGCCCAATGCCTATGAGGATAAGTCAAAAACTGACTTTTTCTAAAGACATTTAAATTTATTATTTTCTGAGGGTTAAAACTGAAATTTAGTATTTATATAAACTTTCTAGTATCGCAATAATTTAAAGTAAAAATTTTTATTCTAAAAACAAGAGTCAAAATGTTCACATAATATTTCACTGAAATTAAAAGGACTGTTTTAGAATAAGCCAGAACAACTGAGTCACTTTCAGAATAAAACAAACAAAAAAAAAGCCAGACAGCAATCTAAGAGATTCTGATGAACATTTTTAGTTTTTTATTGAATATCTGAATATTCACTTTGCTACCCAGAGTAACTGGCTTCCTGGTTTGCTCCCTGCAGAATGAAACTGAGCTGGGCTTCCCTCCCTTTCTTCTCCCGATGAGAGTAGAACAGTGGAGAGTGGGATCAACTTCATACACAATCCAGTGTAACCATCACAGTTCTCTGACATCTGGAATAGACTTCTCCCACTAGAAAACATTGTTTCTAGAGTCCATGCCTAGGAAAAATAATCCCAAAGTGCTTTGGGCCACACCTGCAATCGCACTCAATGATCCAGAGATCAACCTCCCTCTGAACAGAGTGCATAAGGCTATGCTTCAAGTGAATTCCCTCAAAGGACACAGCAAAAATTTCACACGAAACTGAAAGACAACACTGCACAGTGGTGAGGAATGCAGACTCTGAGCCAGAGAGCCTAGCCTTTAATTTGGCTGGAGAACTCCCTACCTGTGAAGTCCCTGTGCCTCATCTGTGAAAACAGGTGGAGCAATGACAATGCCACCTTATTGTGAGGACTAGATGAGTTAACATTTGTAAGGCACTGAAAACAGGACCTAATACACAGTAAGCAATATGTATTTAATAAGTTAAAAACTGACAATAAAGCTGATTCTGTCAGAAAAATCAGTACTGCTTTAAAAAAGCTAATGCTTAAGTAATTAACGTTTTTATTGAATATATCCTGACTGCAGAAAAGCATACATTGTTGTTACCTTGCTCGATTTAAGAACTTTAATTTGTTCTTCAAAAACAGTGTCTTTATTCTTTTCCAGAAAGCCTTCACACTGGTATTCCACCTGAAAACACATGGAAAAATGTCCTTAACTAATAAAACTTTTGAATAGATATCATAATCATGAACAACAAAAAAATGTGTTAAGCTCAGGCTATACGAGTGGCAACCAGTGAAGTGGTTACCACTGGCTTTATTCTAAGAAACTAGAAACTTGGTAAGAAGTGCGTGAACCCTACAGTAACACTCCCCTGTTCTCCAAGGGAACAGGGGTAATGCTTAGTAACTGTGGTCTAGCAGAGCCTCCCAACCACGGGTGAGCAGACACATCTGAAGTTAATTCTCTGCTCCCCTAGTGGCCGCTCCTCTAAAGATGACCCAATGTATCTCCTTCTAACCTAGTTCACGGATCAACAGGGGTAAATGTCCTCTTGGGAGAAGAGAGATTAAAGTGGGAGAGAAGATCAGAAGGAACAAATGACTGTCAGACAGAAAGAAGAGCTGACTACAAATGCAAGTGAAGGGTGGTAAATGCTGTATGATTTGGTAAGTGGAACTACTTGAGAACGGACTATTCCTATTTCCAAAACTCCAGCAGCTTCAGCCACTCAAGGGGCTCCCAGCCTGTACCACAAAGCTCTTAGGTGGCTGTACAGTCAGTCCAAGGTTTCCAGCCAGGATTAAGGAGGACTCAGAAGGCCCCAAATCCTGAAGGAGACTCTGACAAGCTTACTCCACAGGCTACCCCACAACCTCCTTAGAACATACATTAGTCTTACAGCTCCTGATTTTCTTAGTAGACCATAGAGCTTGTGGAGTGGTGAGTTGGCCTGCCTCGTTAGTAGGGACCAGTGAGTCAGTAACAGAGAGTGACACAAGTCCACAATTTCTATTCTGAAATCCTTGGGGTCGGCTGTGTTTTACAACTCAGAATTTTTCAGTAAAGTCTAAAGCAGCAATCTGTGGTCTAATACATTATCATTTCTACACTGAAATATGTAAATATACAGCCTAACAGGGATAAGTAGACTATAAATAACCTGCTAGTTCAGGTCAGAGATCAGGTTTAGCCACTAAACGAATTAAGAAAAGACTTCTGGTTTTCAGAATTTCTTGGATTTTACAATTACAGATAGAGGACTGTAGACCCATTTTATTTCATAATTCCATTTACATTAAAGGAAAAGAAAGACAACAAGCCAACAATGAAGGTTACTTTTCTTGTAAGGCCCTAAAGAATGCAAACTTCAACCAAAAAAAAGAGATACCTCTTGACTATTGATTTTTTTTTCCTCTTTGAACTTAAGTATTCAAAAAGAAAATAGATAGCCCTGGCTGGTGTAGCTCAGTGGATTGAGTGCTGGCCTGTGAACCAAAAAGTCACTGGTTTGATTCCCAGTCAGGGCACATGCCTGGGTTGCAGGCCACGTCCCCAGTAGGGGGTGCACGAGAGGCAACCACACATTGATGCTTCTCTCCCTCTCTTTCTCCCTCCTTTCCCCTCTGTCTAAAATGAATACATAAAATCTTTTAAAAAAGAAAAAAGATAATAAAGCTTCCTTACTTTGTCAGCAAAATGTTGAATGATGAAAGCTTTGTTTGATAGACGGGGTTTTTCAAAGAGTGCACATTTGTTCAAATGTGTGTTGTACAATTTTTGGGCCCAAGTGTCATCTGTGCCTTTAGGCATCTAGATTCAATGAAAGGAAAAAAAGAAAGAAAACAAGGTAAATATTGTTATGAGACTCTTCTGATGCATTTTAACTAAGAGACCATTTTGGGGCTTCACTTACCAATTCTTGTACATTTTTTAAATTAAATTTATTGGGGTGACATTGGTTAATAAGATAATATAGGTTTCAAGTATATATTTCTATGAGTTCAAGTAAATCATTTCTATGATTCAATGTGCATGATTTGTATACTGCATTGTGTACCCACTACCCAAAGTCAAACTTTTATATTCAATTTAGGAACTCATTTCTTCCACATTCTCTCTTAGAGGCCAAAATACAATTATTAACAAAAAACAGTGACTGAGACCTTCCCACGGGCAACTCATTCTGCCTATACCAGCAGCCCTTAAATAAATATTCAATTTGCTCTTAAAGCAATAAAAGCTTCACAAATAAAAGATGAAATATCAGGACTATCATGTATTTTCTAAAAACCTGTTTAAAAAGGTAACACTTGCACATAGTGAAATACTTATATAATTCAGAAAGATAAAATGGAGAGCAGTCTCATCTCACCACTTACATCAACTTCATCTTTTTTGTCTCTGAAGGCATCTAAAGGCATGTACGCAAACAGAATCATTCCATAAACTCACTACAGTTTTGTTCTCTATAATAGCATTCTTGTATTTATGGCTACTAGGTTGTTACTGACTTTTGTAACAATGACTTTTGTAACAATGCATACATACCTTAGATATTTTGCAAGTATATTCATAGGGTAAATTCCCAGCAGTTCCACTGCTGAGTCAAAATATCTGTGTATTTATAATTTTGATACATATTGTCAAATTTCCTCTAAAATATGTTGTACTAATTCATGCCCTACATTGCAATATATATGCAATAAATATTTACTTGGTAGTATCAAATGAAAGTTGTTATTAAATTTAAATTTCCTGATAGGTAAAAAACAGTATCTCATTTTTGTTTTGATTTTATTTAATTTTGAGTGAGGCTGAGAACCTTTTCATTACATGCATTTTGAATGTTGTAAAAAACCTGGGTGCTTAGGAGGATCAATCTATGTTTCAGTTTTAACTTATGGCATATAAACTAAATAAAGAGAAAGATAGGTTGTTTGTCTAAGATCATTCAGTTAGCAGTAAAGCTGGGGATCCCATTTTTTCCAGCATGCTGCATCTTCAAACATTAAACCTAAAACTCCCTCCCCACCATACACAGCAGTAATAAAGAACTAGTCAAATTTTAAATTATGAATATTTAGAACCACTATTCAAAATGCCTTTTGTAATTTCTTGCATTTCTTTAAATATATCATACCATTGAACAATAAATACCAAATATAAGCATACTATTTAATAAAAGTGGCTAAAATTGGTAGTAGCTGTATCAAATGCAAATTTTTCACGTAACTTAGAGTCAGCTGAAAAGAGAGGGGAAATTCTCCTGCTCTCATTTGTATTTAAAGCCCTTTGGGTCAAGTGACTGCAGAATGCAAATTAGGTGCCACAATGGCATCTTACAAGATACTGTGAATATCTGCTTAAACCCATTTACCTTCTGACCTTGGTATATCTGGCACATAGCAGACTAGCTTTGATAGACTAAGTACACACATCAGGGAGTCATACTTACTTTGCATTCCTCATCCAGCAAATCTAGAATGCCCAGCTTAGACTCTATAAGATTAATGCAAGGCTGATTATCATAAAAATCTATGAGAGTCCATGGAATTTGTTCCTTCATATATTCTTCTTGTTCTAATTTGAAGACATGCTGAAATAAATGAGAAAGAAGTGGCATTACCAAGTCATTATTGTAAACAATGTTAGTCAGGAAACAACCTTTATATAAAACACTTTCTAAGATACCAACAGCAAGAACAATCTTGTGGGAAAAACATGATTTACACACAGAGAACAATAAAATAAAGCAAATAAAACCACAGACAATAAAACCTCAGCTATGTAAACTTCTTGATAAACAAGTAAATCTAGGCATGTGAATGTTGTAAATAGCTCATAAATTGCCCTGGCCTGGTAGCTCATTTGATTAGAGCACCCTCCCAAAATGCCAAGGGTGAGGGTTTGATCTCTAGTTAGGACACATAAAAGAAGCAACCAATAATGAATGCATAAAAAAGTGGATCAACAAATCTATATTTCTCTCTCTCTTCCCTCTTCCTCTCTCTCTAAAAATCAATAAATAAAATTGTATTTTTTAAGATTATTGATTGATTGATTGATCTTTAGAGAAAGGGGAAGGGAAGGAGAAAGAGATGGAGAGAAACATCAATGTGTGCTTGGCTCTCACGCACCTGCTACTGGGGTGTTGGCCCGCAACCCATGCAAGAGCCCTGACTGAGAATCAAACTAGCGACCCTTTGGTTCGCAGGTCAGTGCTCAATCCACTGAGCCACATCAGCTGGGCCCAATAAATAGAATTAAAATAATAGTTCAATAAATAAAAAATTTTTAGTACAGCATCACAACACAGTGATGTGGTTGCCCCACCCTGACACCTAAGGTTCTGCCTCTATCTAACAGGCATGCCAAGACAAAAAAAAATGTCCCAAATGAAAAGAACAGTTCAAAGCTCCAGAAAAAATACAACTAAGTGATGAAGAGATAGCCAACCTATCAGAATCACAGTTCAAAACACTGGTAATCAGGATGCTCCAGGAATTCACTGGGTACTTCAACAGCATAAAAAAAGACCCAGGCAGCAATGAAGGATGCATCATGCGAGATAAAGAAAAATCTACAGGGAACCAACAATGATGAGAAAGAAACCAGGATTCAAATCAATGCTTTGGAGCAGAAGGAAGAAAGAAACATTCAACCAGAACAGAATGAAGAAACAGAATTTAAAAAATGAGGAGAGACTTAGGAACCTCCAGGACATCTTTAAATGTTCCAACATCCGAATCCTAGGGGTGCCAGAAGGAGACAACAGCAAGAAATTGAAAACTTATTTGAACAAATAATGAAGGAAAACTTCCCTAATCTGGCAAAAGAAATAGACTTTCAGGAAGCCCATGAAACTCAGAGAGTCCCAAAGAAGTTGGAACCAAGGATGAACACACCAACACAGATCATAATTACATTAGCCAAGATTAAAGATAAGGAGAGAATCTTAAAAGCAGCAAGAAAAAAGGAGACAGTTACCTACAAAGGAGTTCCCATCAGACTTAAAGCTGATTTCTCAAAAGAAACCTTGCAGACAAGAAGGCGCTGGAAAGAAGTATTCCAAGTCATGAAAGGCAAGATGACTATCTAAGATGACTCTGTCCAGCAAAGCTATCATTGAGAATGGAAGGGCAGATAAAGTGCCTCTCAGATAACGTAAAGTTAAAGGAGTTCACAAAACTACACTACATACTTTTTGACCTCCTACTTAATAAATTATTGCACCGTGTTGTTAAAAGATAGGCTTGGAAATGCCTTCACTGACCTTGACCAACTAGGCAGAGTGGATGCCCTCTAGACTACTGAACCATGCTGGATGATGCTTATAGCATAACAAGGTAATTCTCTTAAGGGCTGTGGTGTTGAGGTTCATGTGCCTCAGAAATAGGTAAGTTGGTGTTTTTGTCTGCCTTGATTGTTCTCCACAGTCATGAAATCTACTGTTCACCCTTCTATATTCTATATCCAACTCTGTAAGCAGCTGGAACCACTATCAATTCATGCTGTCTCTGCTAAATGCTTCAGCCAACACCCTCACCATTGCTTCTAATCTCCATTCATTCATTTCAGCAAAAATATGTATTGACTGTCTACTATGTGCCAGTCATCAAACACTATTAACAAAATAGATATGAGCTCTGCCTTCATGGAGTTTGGAGACTAGTGTGAGAAACAGGCAGAAATCAAATAATCACACGGAGTATAGTTATGAACTGTAATGTTAGAGAGAAAAATAATATGAGCTATGCGAACAAGCACCCTCATCTAGTTTGGACATGGAGTGGGGAGAGGAGGTTTCCCTGAGGAGAGGCTGTGTGATCTGAGCTCTGCAGATACAGGGAGCCAGGTCGGTCTAGGTGGGAAGGGCAATCCATCTCTGCTGCTGCTCCTGCTTCAGGCCACCAGCCCGCGCGGCCCGCCCACAACTTCTAGTCTATACAGATTCTCAGGACCTCCACTTGTTAGTCCTCGGGCATTTCTGCTTTCCTTGACTAATCTTTTTTGTCTTCCTTGGTTTGTGCATACATCTTACTACTTTTCTGGAAAGATCAGCTCTGTGGCTATGACCAGACAACACATATTAAGAACCCAAAACTCCATAAAACTGAAGTGTCACCAAGATTTCTGATACACACTCTTTTATAATGCTGCTCTTGGCTCATATGCAGCATTTGTAGTCTAACCAGCTGCAATAAGCTTTAGTCAAAAAAGAAAACCCGGTCATCTATATGAATATTTATGTCATGCTAATTAGAAAATTTCTTGTATTCTTTGATTAATGAGAAGGCAAACGAGGCACTATGTGTCAGCAGGATGCCCTGACTGATGGTACCAATATTTTCTGAAACAGTAAACCCTCTTTTTTTCACTCATTAATTTATACGCAGTCCCCACACTGACAACAGAAACACTGCTCCGGGCTTTAAACGGAGCTTTCTTCTCACAGATCCTGTATCTACGTTTGGAACAAGTACATGGGCCCTCAAAATTCCTGCATGCTCAGCCCTGGCTGGTGTGGCTCAGTGGATTGAGCACTGGCCTGTGAACCAAGGGGTTGTAGGTTTGATTCCCAGTTGGGGCACATGCCTGGGTTGTGGGCTGAGTCCCTGGTTGGAGGCATGCAGGAGGCAACCACAGATAGATGTTTCTCTCCCTCTCTTTCTCTCTACCTTCCCCCTCTCTAAAAGTAAATTTTTAAAAAGATTTTATTTATTTATGTTAGGAAGGGAGGGAGAGAAACATTGATGTGTTATTGCCTCTCACACACCCCCTACCAGGGACTCGGCCCGCAACCCAGGCATGTGCCCCAACTGGGAATCGAACCTACAACTCCTTGATTTGCAGGCCAGCACTCAGTCCACTGAGCCACACCAGCCTGAGCTAAATAAAATCCTTAAAAAAAATTTTTGGATGCTCAGTTGTCAAAAGACAATGTGGGCATGAGGTTTAATATGGCCAGAAATCTTTGATCAATATGGTAATCCCTCCAAACACTAAACATGCAGGATACCATGTTTTTCATGCCCATGTCCCACCCACAGTCACTGCTGAGGGAGCAGCCCTGAGCAGCCAAGTTCTATACTGTGAGACCTGGTGTGCCTAGTCACAGCTGACTAGACCAAGTATGGGTACTTGAGGGCACTCTGTTGCAGGGACCTCTGACAAACAAATGAACTGGGTTATCAGTGGAAGCTGCCTCTGAAAGAAGTCAGGAAGAAGGTGAGTTAAGCAAGAAGAATGGGAGGTGCCCTCCGACCACTGTTGGGTACACAGGAAGTTCAAAGTGAGTAAGCAGAAACCTTGAGGTAAAGAAAATACATACAGAATAGAAAGAAAAAATATGCCATTTGATACTAAGGAGTGGAGCAGTGTGCATGAAAGCTAAGAAGCAGTACGGTGTGGGGGTGCTGAGGGGGAGTAGGGGAGGAAGAGAGAGAGAGAGAAACAGAGGGATAGAAACAGAAAAAGAGAAACGAGAGCCAGAAACACACATTCAGACAGCTGAGGCCCTTGAGAAACAGACACCCCAGCGAGTCCCCGATGAGACTGGCACTGGTTCCGTATACTTCTCGTCACCTTGTACCAAAATGTACTAGGAGAGAGCAGAAGGCTGTGGCCTTGATGACAGTATTAAGAAACTTTAAAAAACCTTGAGAAAAGATAATGCTCAATTTAGTCTCTCAAAGGTTTTTATCAATGTTCCTTATGCAGAGATTAAAAATACAGCCATCATATTCTTAATACCTAAGATTTTAAGATCACCTCTACACTATTTCACTCTGCTAAGTAGCTTAATTTGCTAAATAAATATGACCCAATTTTTTATCAATGTGTATGCAATATTTTTTTTAAAAATCCAATAGCCTGAAGATTTCATGATGACAAGTGAACAGTCCGTGTCCCATCTCTCCCCAACCTCGGTCTCACTGCCTGGTGGCAACCAGTTTTATAGCTCCCTCAGATATCACTTCTGATACTTATCTTAAAAGACTATGCTTATCAACTATGTTTTAATTTATTTATTTGAAATATTACCTATTGATTTCTTCATTAGGTGAGGCTAACTTCACACATATCACCTCTTAACTGCTGTTTCACACCCAATATTACTGGTTCTAAATCTTCTCCTGGTTTTTCTGAATTTAACTTAAAATATCTTTAGACTTCTATTTTTTCTTCATCAACTTGACCTCTCTCCTTGTAAGATGAAAATATTTATTAAGGGTTCTTTTCTTGTCCTTCAGCTCTTTTCTCTTCCATGAATCTTCCAGTTCCTACGGGTGATTCATTTTTAATATCCTCTTTCTTCAAAACTAATAACTGCCCCTAATCTTGTACTTACTGTGCCTGTCAGGCAGTGTGCACTTTACATATCCTAACTCATTTCGTCCATAAAACTATGCGCAGTAGGCACTACTATTGCCCCCATTATACAGTTGAGGGGACAAAGTCCAGGAAGGTCAATTAACTTGCCCAAGTTCCCCCTGATCAATGCAGAGCAGGATTCTAACCCAAGAAGTTTAGCTCAGGGGCACTGGGCTCTTCATTATTGCAATCTGGTACCCTCATTTTTAAGTGCCTCCAAATCCCTCAACATCATGATAATGCTCTCATATATTTGACATTTCTACTTCACAAGAGGTACTCTCAGAACATGCCCGTTGCCCTTGTCTCAGTAAATATCTCAAAATGTTAAAAAGAAAATACCGTATGTGAAAAATATGTAGGAGCCCTGGCTGGAAGGCTCAGATGGTTGGAACATTGTCCCGTACACCAAAAGTTTGAGGGTTTGATGCCTGGTCAAGGCACATACCTAGGTTGCAGGTCCAGTCCCTGGTTGGGGGACGAACAGGAGGCATTTGATCAATGTTTCTCATCTCATTATTTTCCCTTCTCTCACCCCCTCTTTCCCTCTCTTAAAGTCAATAAACATATCAAGTGAGTATATAAAATATGTGGAAAAGAGAATATGTTCTGAATTTCTGTTCTGGTGTCTTGCTAATACAACAAGTAAGAGTTAAGCAAGTTCCAAGTCCACACACAGTTAGCCTCAAGCACCACAAACTGAAGACTGTCCCTAGGCTCAAAGCTCTGTAAGTGTCTAACACTTTCTGCTTCTCTCGCTCAAGTTATTTGTACGAAGTTTTTATTATTCTCAGACAGCAATCCAAGGATGACCTTGAATCCTATCTGGCCCATAAATATTTTTCTAATGTTGCATCACTTATTAATCATAAATTCCTTAGCAATTTAGCTGTCCTGAACACCAGATAACAGTTGTAATTTATAACTTCATTTCAGGAACCAGAATATAATAAGTGCAGACTAGGAATTTAAGAAAATAACTGAAGGCAGAATATTACTCAAGAAAGAAAATTCTTACCATATTGAATTGTTGCTGTAGTTTTTCATTTGCGTAATTTATGCAGAACTGTTCAAAACTGTTTATCTCAAATGTTTCAAATCTGTAAAACCAAAAATAATATGGGAAGAGGAGAAAAAGGAACAAGTACCTTGTAAAAGTACTCCAAATGTGCGTATTAGAAAGAAATAGGAAATCCCCCAACATTGGGAAGTTTTCTTTCTACATCAGTGAGGATAAAGGTTTTTACAAGTCAGTAAATGGGACATGTGCCCAGCAGACAGGCCTCAGTCAGGATGCAGAAAGGTTTTTAAAAAGACTCCAGTGTGTAGTTGTTTCCATCAGCATGAGTTTTGGAGGGGGGGGCTAATTCATCCCCAAGGGGGAAACACTCAATGTTATGACAAAGCCATTTCTCTTGCCAATGTACAGACTCAGTGTTTACATATGCACAGAGGGGAACTGGGAATAGAGATCTCATAGGTTCTTTTGAAAAACTGAACCTGATAATGAAAAATTAGGCATCAAGAAGCACACATGTACAAGAAGGATTTTAAGAGTTAAAGAAGGGTACTCAGAGAAGAAAAACTAGCAAATGAAATTAGAAAAATTTTTAGAAATTCTCTTCTAAGTTTTACTTCTTACAAGCAGGAGACAGAATCAAATACCCATGTAGAGTGCCTAGAAAATCTCTAGAGAGAAATGCTCTCTGGAAGGTCACCGAGCCAAGAACACTTACCCATAAATGTCCAGCACGCCAATAAAGGAGTGCTGTTTGACAGCAGAATGGAGAGCCTGATTGACATGATCTACAATCCAGTTAAAGAGCTTGGCATAGATGTGCTTGGACAAAGCATCACGGGCATTCGTAGCCTGCAGCTTGGAGATGGGCTTGATGTATGTCTCAGTGGCGGTAGCTAGCTTCCGGTGGCAGAGCCAGTGACACATCTCCTCATAGTCCACGCCCATGAGGTCACAGAAGATGCTGAGAGGTTCATGCTTGGGCTGCCGAAAGAGCATGGGTTATTTCCTATGACCAGATCGAATATGAACTTACTGAAAAATGCTAACCAAGTGGTAGCAAATAAAACCCAGCCATTTCTTTATTATAACAAACACCAAGATCACTGGAAGCTGATCAGTGACAATAATCAAAATCACCCATCAAACCAGCAACTAGACAGTATCTGCAATCTCTTCTAGGGCTCATTTCAAAAATTATCTTGTCTTTTCAGAATATTTGTTTGTACCTCTTTTCAGACATTCATATTTACTGAATGCCTACTGTATGCCAGTAAACAAAAACAGACATGGTCCCTGTCCTCCTAGAAGTTAACAGTTCTAGGGGAAATGGATATTCATCAAATAGCTACTCCCTAAAATGCCATACAACTACAAAGGAGAAGGACACCACACTAAGATCCCAGGTGAGATGAGTGTGCCCTTGTCAGGGAGGCAGGGGACAGCTGCCTTAGACATGGAGCTCAGATTTGAAAGACGAAGAGGTGTTAACTTGGTGAAGCAGCAGAGGAGGGTCTTCCGAGCTGAGGACACAGCTGATGGAAAGTCCTGCGATGAGAGAGTTACTGTCAATGTGAGGGACTGAAGTTGAGTGAGGGAGAAGGTGTATGAGATAAAGTGGGAGACAGGCAGAGGCTGGACCTTGGCCGGTCTTTACCCTGAGAGCAATGGGAGGTCACTGAAGGGTTTTAAAGAGTAACTTCTTACATTAGAATCTCCGTAATCACTTTCATGACTGGGCACTCAATAAATATTTCTTTAATTGAATCCACATAGTATATTTTTCAAACCTTCACTTGCATGTTTCAATTGAATCTGATAACATTCCTGGGGAGTAGGCAGGATGACTCTGCAATGGCTAATTAACAAGTGAAGAAATAAGGGCCAAGAGAATAGCTCATCAAAAATCAGATGGCCAATTTATGTCAGAGTTGTCATTAGAACCTGGGTTTCTTGACACCCTCATCCTCTTGCCCTTCCGTCATCTCCTCTTCTCCCAGGTAATTATTTCATCATCAAAAAGCACCATTACCAACAGCACAGCTGAACTCCCTCACCTTAAATAAGCTGTTTGTTTCACTCATACATATACAAATGACTTGACATCATTTAGAAGTGGATCACTATGGTGAGTCAGAGACGGATTTTCTTTTATTTATTCTAACTGGCATATTTTTTTGACTTTCCAAATCTGTGGTTTAATGTCATTTCATAAGTTCTAAAATTTGTTAGTAATTATCTCTTCAAATATTATGTCTGCCTTACTCTTTTTTTTTCCTGTTAGGAATTCTCATTAGATTAAAATTAGACTTTATTACTCTATTCTTCATCTCTCTTACCGACTGTTTTTAAGTGCTTCATCTCTGGGTCCTATCTTGATTTTGGATCCTTTTTTCACATCTATCTTCTAGCTAGCTCATCCGTTCTCTCCTCAGTTGTGCCAAACCTGCTACTAATTTCTTTCTTAGAGGGTTGACTCTGCTATTCTGTTATATTTCCTTCCATTTTGTTTCATTCTGGGATTTACAATTTTTTATTATGAGCCAGTAATTCTTGTAACTTCCCTCACAGAACTCTACTGAGGCCTTGACTGAAAGTGGATCCTCCAAAATAAGCTTGCATTTGCTTCTGTGTGGCATCTAGAGTCTACCATTCCAGGACAAATTCAAGCTAAGTGTTCTGTATGTAGCTTTCTGGGGTCATCAAGGAACTATGAAATCAGCCTGGGGGTATGTATGATGTTCATTGCTATACATTTTTAACTAACTATTTTTTTCCACCTCTAATTAGCACCAAGGCTTGAGTCATATTAGTTTTTCTTTGTACTCCTGGATAGGGTGGTAGACAAGTTTATAATTAGCTCCCCAATTAGGGTCTCAGTTTTAGACAGTGGTTACCTTATTTGTTCCTCTGTTTACATAAGCCCTAGACTTTATCTTTACTCTTTTCCACAGCATCTGGCTATGAAAACCTAAGCTCAAGGTCACTCGGTTCTGCAAATACCCTCAAGGTGAGCCCTAGCTTCAGGGTTACGCTTTGTTCTCTGAGTTCTATTGTCACCTAGTTTTTAGCCTCTGAGTGGTTCTTATGTATTTATTTTTTAAATATTTAAAAAATAATTTATTCAGCATGAAGGTCAGCCAGAGCACCTAGTCCAAAACTGTTGTTCCTCATCTGTAAAATGTAAGAGACTATAAACTGAGGTAAGAAGCAAAACTACTTACTCAAAACACAGAATGAATAAATAGTAGAGTTGGGCTTGAACCCAGGCAAAGATACTAAAACATATATTTCAAAACAAAAGTTGAATTTATCTAAATTTAAGTCACACAAGTTAATCTACATGTAAGTTTGCTAAAATCAACCCAGGTATCTGAAGAGTGAAATGTAAACCTCAATACTGTCTTCTAGCCCTGTGCATGTAGCTCAGCTGGTTAGAGCATCATCCTGATAGACCAAGGTTGTGGGTTCAATCCCCAGTCAGGACACATAAAAGAATCAACCAAGGAATGCATAAATAAGTGAAACAACAAATCAATCTTTCTCTCAACTCAATAAAAAAAAAAGATTGCCTTCAATTACAATCTTTGAAGAAACAGGTTGGAAATAAAATTAATTATATTAAAACTTCCTCTATTTTAATAAAGTTAAAAGATACGTAATAAATAAATAAATAAACAAACAAATAAATAAATACGAGGGGACCCCCAAAACACCATAATCATCTTCCAGAGGGTGGGCCCCCTGTAGTACAGGCTTCCCCTACTAGGTGGATGTTCTAGGAACCCATCTGTATCATGTATCAGCTGGTGTTGTTGTGAGAGGCTGCATTTGGCTTCAGTGAATTTTTTTGAACACTCTTTCAATGCATTTGCCCATTTCTTGATTTACCAGCACACCTGCCCATACAGCACTGAGTGTTTTTTTTGACCAAAAAATGGCCTGACCCCCGTGTCCCACCCTCCCTATTCACCCAATCAATTTCGCCCTGCGTGACTTTTTTTGTTTCTCTAGATGAAAGAAGCCCTCAAAGGGAAATGTTTTGCTGATGTGGAAAAGGTGAGACAAAAAAAATGGCAAAAGCACTACAAGTCATCAAAATTGAGTTTAAAAACTGATTTGAGCAGTGGGAAAATGTCTCAATATGTGTACTGCATCAAATAAAGGGTACTTTGAAGGTGACAGAAGTTTAAACATGTAAGAATTAATACGCAATTTTTTATAAATAAATTCCTGATTTCCTGGGTCCCCCCTTATGTATGTATGAATGTGTATGTGTGTATGTGTGTGTGTGTATGTTATCTTTGATGGTAGTGATCAGCAAATACTGCAAATGACAAATGTCCAACGAGGACAATTTGGACTGTCAGGTTTGTCATAGTTGAAACAAATGTTTCCACATATGCAGTTGGGTTTTAAATCTCAGTGTGCTGTTATCACTATATGTGGAAGAGATTATAAATCATAGTGAAGACAACCCATCTCACAGCCCTCTATTCCCTCTTCCCAGGAGTAACCACTGCTCCCAGTTTCTTCAATAGCTTTTAAACCATATATTTCCAGAGCTAAAGACAAGAAGTTATCAATCCTTGGCACTTGTGCCAAATAAACCCTTCTCTCTAGACTTACCAATCCAACGTTCACATGTTTCTCACCTCTGTTCATATGGATCAGACATGTCTCCAAGTCTGAGTCTCCTACCCTGTCTCTCTCTCTCTCTCTCTCTCTCTCACACACACACACACACACACACACACACACACACACACACACAATCACTGTGTACCAGGGATTAGAATCCACATTTCTTTATTTTCAACTCAAGATTTTACATCTGACAATGGTAATAGAGAGACTTCAAATATATTTCTTCCATAAAGAATCAACAACTCTGAAACACAACTCTACTACCATCATGGTAAGCTTGTTCCGAGCTTACAGGTATTGTGCAGCTGTCTGAATCTCGAGACGTAAATCCAACGTTGCCTAAGTGGAGAATGCCAGCAAGTATTCGGAAAATTCCCATCTGATAAGATTCACTAATTCCTGAAACAACAGAGTAAATGGACATGTGATTCATTTTAAAGCGGGAGCTAAACAATTATAGCAGACAATTTTAAGCCTATTTTTAACTCTTAAATATCACCAGATGTTGTGCACATTATAATGTGTCAGTTAACAATATTGCTGCCATGGCTGAGAGCATGACGTGTGAGGCGAGACAAATATGGGCTCAAGGCCTGGCTTTGCTCCTGACCTGCTGTCTCACCTGGGCAGGTAAACTCATCCTGCTATGCTTCTGTTTCCTCATTTGAAATATGGGAATAATTGTGACTATCTCAAAGGGTGTTTATGAACATTAAATGAAAAAATTCACATAGTGTATTACACACTATGTGGTATGGTCAATAGTAAACAAATTATGTCATCATTGTCACACACCAGATTTAAGTATTTTACTAACATTACTACCTTTTCTATCTATCCCTACTCCAAATGCAAGTTGTAGCCCACTAAGGGTGTTTTAAATCAGAGTATTTAATTGCTTCTTTTAACTGTAGACCAAGTATAAGTCAAAGAGGCCCCTAAATTAGAAGTGCTCAGGCTGGTGTTGTACTCCACCCTGATGAGTGAGTGTCCAAAGGCAGGATTCGAGCAGGACCTGAAGCTAAGGGAAGATAAGAAAACTGCATAGCTCTTGGCTTTTGGTCAGATCTGGCCTCATTTTTCAATAAGGTAAGAATTTCCAGAATATTAGATATAAGTATATGCAAGTAAAAATGGTAAAATTATTTCCAAATATATAATCATACCCAGGGTGACTGAGTGTTGATCATATAATGAATGCTTTCCCCATCTCCTGCATTATGGCTTTTTCAAATTTCTAATTTTTTATTTACAAACAGATTTATGCCTAGATGAAGCAGTGTTTTTCAAAATTCAATATGCATATGAATCACCAGTGGTTCCTGTTCAAATCTGTTAAAGTCCCTTTAACATTTCACATAATAAAGGCTTGGTGATGATAAACTCCTTGAACTTGACCTTATCTGAGAAGCACTTTATCCGTCCTTCCATTCTAAACGAAGGGACTGACTCAGGAGGCCTGGGGTAGGGTCTGAGATTCTGAGCTTTTACAGACACTACAGTGGTCCTAGGCTGTGGTCGGGTTAACGACGTTTTAAAATTAAGTTCACTTGAGGGCTCCCCTCAAATTACCAATATATCATTTTAGATTTACTCATAATCTGAGGTTTTTAGAAAATCACTGAAATCATACTCCACAGTTCTACAGATTAATTTATTTACATCTAGACCTGATATTTTTTAAATATTAGGAACAAGGCAGCGGCCTCTGAACCATGTCAAAGACAGTATAAACTGCATGTACTACATGGTTTTGTCACCCAGCTGCTCAGACACATTTCCCAGGCACACAAAGAAAACAAAAACAAAAACAAAAACCCTGCGAAGTGTGAGTTTGTGAAGGAACCTGTTTTATTTATCTCTAGGTTTTAGATTTTGTAAAAAACTTAAGCAGTTAGTTAGTCCTAAACTCCCTTGATGCCCTGAATGTGTGTTTAAATAGCTTTACTGAGGGACAATTTGCACACCTTAAAACTTACCTGTTCTAAGTATGTGATTCAATGATTCTTGGTAAATTTACAAAGCTGTGCAACCATCACCACAATCTAATTTTAGAACAGTTCCCATAAACCCAAAAAGAAACCTTGTGTCCATTTGCTGTCAGATATATTTTATAAGGAGTGTTAAACCTCTCAACAATACTCACCATTTAATATGAAGCTAACTCAATATTCCAAACAAAAATTGCTTGAGTCAAAAAGCTATTTCTTAAAAGAGCTCAAGATAAAGTCACATTACCCAGCAAAGAGCAGGCCTGCCTGGTATGTGCCATCTCCTTGGCATCGTCGACTCCTTCGATCACAGGACTGCCGCCTTGCTTCGTGTAATGGAAGTGATTTGCATTTCCTGCAAAGAAGAAAAGATTAGCAGTTTATGAAAAAGACTTCTATTCTTTTGTCTCCTCTCAATCAGGAGCAATGACAGTGCAATTGAGTGTATAGAGTCAGGAGTTCTACTGCCTGTGTTTTCAGTTATATTTTAATATAAAACTCAAAATTAAGTAATAAAGTGAAATGTTTATAGTTGATTTATCTTAATTGATGAAATGAATGGTCCTTTCCTAAAATGTTTTTATTCCAATCAATGTGCTTCAAATACCTTACTCCCTTCATTAGAAATCTCACAGGCCTCCATTACATAAATTCCTTTTACATTTTTTTCTTTTAATCAAGGCAAATTTCAAACATATACAAAAGTAAATAGACTAACATAATGAGCACCTAAGTACTCATCATTCATCTTAAACGAGTATCAACTCAAGATCAATCTTTTTTTTAAGGTAGCTTCATTTTCTTTTCTTTTTTTTATTTTTTAAAATATATTTTATTGATTATACTATTACAGTTATTCCAATTTTTCCCCCTGTGCCCCCTTCCACCCAGTTTCCCCATTGCCTCCAGCAATCTCCCACCCCTTAGTTCATGTCTATGGACCATGCATATTAAGTTCTTTGCCTGTTCCTTTTCCTATACTGTTCTTAACATCCCTTGTCTATTTTGTACCTACCAATTTGTATTTCTTAATCCCTGTACCTTTTCCTCCATTCCCCCTCCCAAATGATAACACTACCAATGATCTTCATATCTGTAATTTTGTTTCTGTTCTGCTTGTTTACTTAGTTTGTTTTTTAGATTCTATTGTTGATAGTTGTGAAGTTATTGCCATTTTAATGTTCACGGTTTTGATATTTTTTCTTATATAATTCCCTTTAACATGTCCTATAATAATTGCTTGGTGATGATGAACTCTTTTAGTTTTACCTTGTCTGGGAAGCACTTTATCTGCCCTTCAATTCTAAATGATAGCTTTGCTGGATAGAGTAATCTTTTTTTTTAATTTTAATTGTTGTTCAAGTACAGTTTTCTGTATTTTACTCCCATCCCAGCTCACCCCCACAGTGCTCCCTACCTCCTTCCCATTCACACCCCCCTTAGTTTTTGTCCATGTGTCCTTTATACTTGTTCCTGTAAACCCTTCTTTCCCCTGAAATTCCCTCCCCTCTCCCCTCTGGTCCCCGTAGGTCTTTGCCTTTCATGACTTGGAATACTTCTTTCTGGCCCCTTGTTGCCTGTAAAGTCTCTTTTGAGAAATCAGCTGATAGTCTTATGGGAACTCCTACATAGGTAACTTTCTTTTCTTTCTGCTTTTAAGATTCTCTTTTTATCTTTAACCTTTGGCATTTTAATTATGATGTGTCTTGGTGTGGTCCTCTTTGGGTTCATCTTGTTTGGGACTGACTCTCGTATTTCTTGGACTTATATGTCTATTTCCTCCACCAAATTAGGGAAGTTTCCTTTTATTCTTTTTTCAAATAAGTTTTCAATTTCTTGTTCTTCCTCTTTTCCTTCTGGCACCCCTTTGATTTGGACGTTAGTACGTTTGAAGATGTCCCAAAGGCTCCTTAGCCTATCCTGGTATTTTAAAATTCTTTCTTCTTCCTGCTGTTATAATTGAATGCTTTTTTTCTTCCTTACGTTCTGAACCATTGACTTCTTTGCTTCATCCCCTCCACTATTGGTTCCCTGTAGATTTTTCTTTATTTCACTTAATATTCATATTCATTTCTGCCTGGGCCTTTTTTATGCTGTTGAAGTACCCGGTGAGTTCCCTAAGCATCCTGATAACCAATGTTTTGAAGTCTGCATCTGATAGGTTGCTTATTTCCATTTCATTTAGTTCTTCATCTGGGGTTTTGTTCTGTTCTTTCATTTGAGCCGTGTTTCTTTGTCTCCTTATTTTGGCAGCCTCCCTGTGTTTGTTTCTGTGTGTTAGGTAGAGCTGCTTTGACTCTCTGTCTCAGTAGTGTGGCCCACTGTAGAAAAGCACACCCATAAGTTGTATCGGGTATAGCCTTAGGTAATCGCCCGGGCAGGGCAACCTCTGTTACTACTCTGTGGTTTTGTGTGGGGGAGGGCTTCGACAGGGGGCAATGCTGCTGCCTGGCCTCTGGTGTTTTGTCCAGAAGCTGTCCCTGGCACCCATCCTGATGCCAGATATTTCCATTTCTCCCCGTATGCCACTGGTGCCCTTCCAGCTGTTACCCTGGTGCTGAGTGAAGTCCTAAATCTGCTGCAGGCCCTTTAAAAGGAATCTCCTAAGAACCCTTCAGTTTCTTCTGCTGCCCCAACCTTCACTGGTTTTTAAAGCCGGAAGTTGTAGAAACTTACCTCCTGGCACTGGAACCCTGGGCTGCATGGTCTGGTCTGCGGCTGGGATCCCTCGCTCTCGAGGTGTCCTTCCCAATTTTTATCTACCACACATGGATGGGGGACCACCCATTTTTGTCCCTGCTCCTCTCTGTGCCACTCCGCCTGCTTCTCTGCACCTCTCCAGCTCTCCAAACCTCTCTGCCTATCACCACCTCTCTGCCCATCACCGGCCCTCCACAACTCCTACCCATCTGAATGAATGTGGCTTCTTTAAGTCCTTGCTTGTCGGACTTCTATACGGCTCAATTTTCTGACTATTCTGGGTGGTATTTGTTTTGTAATCTAGTTGTACTTTTTGTAGTTGTTTGAGAAGATGAGGGTTGTTTACCTACACCTCCATCCTGACCAAAGTCTCAAGACCAATCTTGTTTCAATTAGGGAGCTACTTCTTCTTCCCTATCCCTTGGATTATATTGAAGCCAACTGTAGACCTCTTATGTCACCAGTAAACATTTCAGTATAATATATCTCCTTTTTAACAAGTAAGCTTATAAACTCATAATTATCATAAATTAACAGAAAACAATACTGTAGTACAAGAAATCTAATGCCATATTCATACCTAATCGCAGCATCTTAAATTCAGGTAACTTTGCTGAGGCACAAAGTTGATAAAAGATATGATAGTTTCTTTCCTCTTCTGCCTTTAAAATAAATAAGAGTTTTCAATTACAGCATTCTAACCTAAAACTAAGAAAATTCAATCATAAAATAAAGTTTTAATACTTAATTATGTCAGTGCAATAAACTGTCCTTTCCCAAATTTCCTAACATGTATTTATGATTACTGAATCTCGTGATTCACTAGCCAGGTACAAGTGGGTGAGTGGGCATCTGCTGGTCACATTCACCACAAAACATTTGACAGTGATGCTTTCTGAACCCCTGAACAGCTTTATACGTGGCATCATTATAAGAGACCATTGCCTCTGAAGAAAGCTAAAACCATTTTTTAATACTCAATATTTCTCATAGTGCCTCTTAGATACACAGTCTTCCTAACACCTTTAATGAAAAAGAATATCCTATTTTTTCCATAATTTAGACTGGACCATCTACTGTGGTTGTTTAACATTTGTAATAATACTGTAATAATATTCATGCAAAATTGAATTCTTATACCCTAATATCATATCCCTGAATTCTCCAGTGTATTCAGCAGACTAAAGAATAGTGCAAGTAAAGCCAAGGTCAGGTTTCATTTTCACGGGGCCTGGTGTCTGCTAAAGAAAATCTATTACAGGACAGAAGATATGAAACGAATTAACAATATACCAAATGATCATAAGCATGATTAGGCAAAAGATCAGGTAATTTGGCTCATAGACAACTAGAAAAGCAGGTGGATCTACAGAAATGCTTTGGTCCTTCATACGTGAAGGACAGTATAAATTATGGTCTGGATGACTCGTTTTGACATACCAAATTTCCTCAATATTATTTAGCACTGGGGATTGGGAACAACTAGAATTTCTTTAATATCTCCAGATAACATTGCATTAGGCCTTAATGGTTTGTCTTAAGCACTATTACTGGCCTCTGGTCACCATATCCACTTAACCTTTAATTGTTTACCTATCAATCAAATCTGTACTACTTAAACCCAATCTTTTCCTAGATCTACATATTTCCTCCATTCTTTCTTTTGGCTACCAAACATTTTAAAGAACAAAATCTATACAAATATACATGTGTATGTATTAACATTGCTCTGTGTGAACCCACATATTAAAACAATGGAGGAGAGTGACTATTGCTTTATTATATAAAAGTCAAGTATTATACTTATGTGGCCACAAATTAGGCACATCCTCAAAGTCAAAGCCAGGGTAGCTGCAGGCTGCCGAAATTCATCATTCTGAGTATGTCCCAGACACTTTCAAAAGCGTAACAGGCTTGTGCAGTGGAAACTGTAGACACTGCTGAAACTTGTGACTCTCAGTACGTCCCAGACACTTTCATAACCTCAACAGACTTGTGCAATGGAAACTGTAGATGCTGCTACACGGCAGTGCCAGGGGAATCTGAGCTTCAGTGCCTTGGGCATCCAGTCAAGAGGCTACAGAAACCCTGATCTCACAGCATGCAGTGGGCCAGAGCCCTAGACTGGGAGTTTTCCAATGATAAGAACACATTTCCTCAGTATGCCTATAAATATTAAATGTATGCCTGCCAATGCTGTAAATCTATAGTGTTTCCCACTCAGAGATAAAAAAGGACCATGAGTAAATATGTGAATGATATTCTGCATGGCATGTAGACTTGAATGTGTTCTTTGACAATTCACACTGAGTTGTGTAACTCAGGAAAGAGAACAAGGGTAATTTTTTTTTTCTTGAACTGAGTTCAAGCTGTCACTGATTGAAGGTATAAACCAATGTCGTTCCTATCAATTGAAATACACAAGCATCTGCAGGAAAAAGTAAAAACTATTAAACCTAAACCAGTGTCCAGCCTCAAAGACCATTAGTCTAATGGGTATTCCCCCGCTTCTGACAGGCATCATTCCCCACATTCCAGTCCAAGTGTGGTCTGTAGTAATACTGTCATAATATACTCAAGCATATCTGGAAATAAAATGCAAACCAGCAAGCATGAACTCTGGAATTATATGGCAACCTAACACAAGTATGTATGTCTACATGCCCAGCTTACCTGGAACACCACTCGGGATTTCTCTAAAAGGTAAGTTCTCATATTGGCACCGATGATTCGATATCTTTTATCAAAACCAATCTCAATATACTTCCCAAAACGGCTGCTATTATCATTCCTGGTTGTCTTAGCATTTCCAATGGACTAAGAAGCAAGGGGAAAAATAAGATCTTAGAAGTGCAATTCATGACGCACATTTACAAAGTCAGTTCAGGGAAGGACAGAATAGAACACAACCTTTTCTAACTTGACTATTTTAAGACCAGAACCAACACTGCCTCTCCAGGCGGCAGTGTGTGTTTTGCTCACTGCACAACCACACAGATAGATACTTACTAATTGTTAGTATATGCTTTGTTATTCTCACAGAAATTACTTTCATCGACAGTAACCTGAACCGGCAGCTGGGAGGCCTGCACACACCACGTGAGGTACCTGAACACACGCGTTCACGCCGGCAGAGAACAGAATGGATGGCACTGGGGGCGACCAAGGCGCAGACCCTCTCAGTTAAACATCAGGGTTTGGATTTCTTGAAAAACTTAGTCTGCTTTATGTAAATAAGCTGGCTAAGCCAAGTTAATATTTTCCTGAAAATGTTGCTCTAGTGTCCAGAATCTCTTTAGCTGGAAGTTTCTATCATCTCATCCTGGGACAACAAAGGTCTGGATGGACTGCTAATTTGAGAATTAGTCATTTCTCACTCTCAATTCAAACCCATTTTCAGAAGCCAGAGACAGCGAAGTTTGGCTTTGGATTTTTAAAAAACTTTTTTAAAAAAGATTTTATTTAGTTTTTTCTAAAGAGGGGAAAGAGAGGGAGAGAAACATCAATGTGCGGTTGCCAATCGTGTGCCCCCTACTGGGGACTTGGCCCAAAACCCAGGCATGTGCCCTGCCTGGGAATCGAACTGGTATCCCTTTGGTTCGCAAGCCAGCATTCAATCCAGTGAGCCACACCAGCCAAAGCTGGCTTTGGATTTTGATAGTTGTAGCTAACTTGTAAAACATTGGCTATAGAATGCAGAGAATGTAACTTTAAAAAATTAAAAAATATAATTAAAAAATTAAAAGGGCACACATATTGCTTTCTGATATGGGTAACATCCTTCTATACATTTTTCTCTCAAGAAAAAGGAAAAAACATGGTATAGTTAGAAAGGCAAGTGTTCATATAATACTGATATTAAATATTTAATAGGAAAACAATAACATAGCCACAAAAGTCAACATATTAGATTCTCTGCTTCATAAAAAAAGTTTTTTTCACTCTCTGAAATACAGGGCAGGTATTGCTCTATTCTTTCTGGCAATAAGAATACTGCTATATTTCAGATTATCATTTTTAATAGAAAGTGACTGAAAGCTATCTTCCCAGCAAAATAACAGAGCAATCTAATATAGCCTAACAATTTAACAATACAGATATTTACTCAGATATTCTGCTTCTTGATATTTCAAAAAGCATAGCAGAAAGTCTCCATGTAGTCTCATTATTTTTATTTTATTTAGAAAAAGAAGTTAATGATAAATGCAGAATTTTCTTTCAACACCATAGATTCTGTCAGAGCAGATGAAGGGTTCCATGCAGTAGCACTGGCTGCAGAAGCAGCGGTTCCTGACTGCTTGCCAGGCTCTGTCTGGAGGACTGTCCTGCCAGCATCGAAGCAGCGTAGCAAAAGGTGAGCCTCAGCTTCCCCTCTTTCCCTGACTTACGTGCCTTCCATATGGTAGCTCTCTCCCCTCTACTCAGAGTGGGAGCTAGAGTGGCCAGCCTGTCCAAACAATACTATACTCAGTGGGAAGAGACAGTGAGTAGGCAAGGGTTGAACCACACCCTTCTGTCTTTGAGTAAAAGGTATTTATACATAGAGAAAAGAGTGGCAGAAGCAGCGAATGAAATAGAAGTCTCAAGATCTGGGTATCAGACCAGTCCCCACTACCAATTTCCATCATCTAATCCTTTGTGGAACTTTAGTGTCTCCAAGTATAATTTGATTAGGATAGATGAGCTCTACAGTCCTTTACAAAAATGAAATGATATGATTCTAAGCCTTGAACCTGATATCAAAAGGAGGTTCTATATATAAACAGTACCTTTTGTCCACTCTCCTTAATTATTCCCTCCACCTTATGAGTATTATATTTACAACACCCTCCCTTAATGCTATTTTCTTTCAATCAGCAAAAAATTGCTAAAGGAAAAGAGAAGATTTGTGCTCTTCATTTTACTATTGATTTTGGTAAAATGTTGAGTGATTTACTCTTCTTTACTAAATGGAGACAAAGATCTTCAACTACAGTTGCTGAAGATGAAAAAGAACAATTAAGAAAGACCCAGTGTGCCCCAAGAACATTCCCTGTCACCATCGTAGGACCAAAATTTCCAGGAGAAAAGGAAAAAAAGAAAACGTGACAAAATAGACACAAAAGAATCACTTCCTTTTACATCATTTACATTTTGCAAAAGGACCCATACTGAGGATGAGAAGCTTGCTTTTTAAAGGAGAATGTGCAAATCCCATTAGGCACTGGGCTTTGATGTTAACCATGAATAATGCTCATTGTCCAATGAGGAGTTTCAGCGGGTCAATGGAGTCCCAGACTCGCCTTTCTTGACATCACAGTAGAGATACAGAGACATAATCTTGAGGTAGGTTTAAAGCTACACATTTTCTGGGCCACATATTCAATAATTTGCCTGTGTTTTTTTTTAATAACTGTAAACTCTTTGCCATCATTCTTCAGCCCCATGTTCCATTTTAATCTTTCAAATTGGGATGACTTCACTGGAATTGTTGAAAATTAGTTCTCTCTTTACCAAGTTTTCTTACTTTAAATTCTTGTAGAGAAACTAAACAGTATTCTAGAAGGAAGTAGCTAAGCATAACTGATGCACTTATCTTTTTCGTTCATTCTAGCAAACAGAGTATACTCCTTGTAACAGCATATTAAAAAGTAGCATCTGTGGTCCTTCTGAATTATAAATGTCACTCCCACTAATATAATATAGCAAGGTAATAAAATATTTCATTCAACTTGACATGTTCTAGGAGGTGCATTCCAGACTTATATTATTATACGATCCAGGCCTATAAAAGATGGGATTCCCTGATTCCATCACAACGAAGGATCTGGCAATCTAACATTAGGGACTGAGAACAGTCTAAACTATTGTCAAATATCAAGAATTCATTGTCATGACCAAAACAGTCAAAATAATGGAAGCAAAGCCCTGTTGTTTCCTAAGCCAAATCCTAAAACTGGCTCTATAGACTGAATTCCCCCAATATTAATACTATGGCATCCACTAATATAGATTTAATTATTCAAAATCTTCATAGTTGCTTAAAATCTTTACTATGGTCTTTTGGCATAAACATCTGTTTCCTCCTGTCCAGGCTATTTCAGAAAAAACTTTTCCAGTTCTCTTTCCACTATGCACCCACCCCAGGAGGCCTCTTAACTTCCCCAGTGTATCCGGTCCTCTCAGCCCCAAGAATAAAAGTCCTGCTGCTCCAGGAGGAGGCCTGGAGGCCAGGGGCCATGGCATTCCGTTCCGAGTGTCACACACAGCACTGCAAACCAGGCACAATTACCTCTGGACTGAGTACTGCAAAAACCACTTGTACCACAGGTGCACCAGGCCAGTTTTAAACTCCATCTGTGTTTGGGTGACAAATAAGGCTTGACAAAGGAAAAAACAGGAATCAAAAATGCCGATTTGAGTTTTAATAAGAAAGGTTTATTTCTGCAAACTAACGTCTCTCCATGTAATAAGACTTACTTTTCTCCATCTAATGAGACTTACAGAAATGTACCTCTCCTAGAATCATATTAGACAAATAATTCTCTGGTTACACATCCTAAAATACTCAAATTCTCACATAAATAGGTCCGTTTTCTTTGGCATAAACATTTCTACTCAATATATATATTCTACTTTTAAAAGGACCTCCTTTCATAATTCTACCTTTCAAGAATTTATAGTCACTGGATCTCTTTTCCAAACCTAAAATTATGTGATGTGCTTAACAGAAACAGGAAGAAAAATGTTAACAAGATCATGATTTAAGTTTATAGTTCATATCTGGAAAAAATTAAAATTATACAGCTAAACGGGTTGGACAAAATATGAAAAATGAAATGTGGGCAAAGGAATAATAATACAACTCATTTATGCTTGAATGTAGCAAATCCTGTGTTTTAGAAGGAGGTTAAATAATAATCCAGGATCGAGGAGAAATTAGTAACTTACACTTCTAGAACAAGGAGCAACAGAAATAAGTCAACTGACAAGGAGAAAGAAACTTTAGGAAATGAAGTACCTTTGCCAGCTATTTAGAGGCAACCATTCAAGGCTAGGTTAAAAATGCAGGATTATGAAATAAAGTAGATTTTTTTAAGGCTGAACATTGTGCAAAATAGCTACCTTCTTGAACAGCTACCTACTTTTCCTACATCTCTTACTGACTTGTGAAGAAGTATTTTCCAACTTTTAGTGGATGAAAGATCCCAGACTTTCTGACATGTGCTGTATCAAGCAATTTTTTTACATGTTTCTTAACAGAAGAATATAATAAGAAGGCAAGGCTGCTGCTGTCTTACCTCCATGATGGGGTTGGAGGCCAAGACCTTTTCTTCAACATTGGCTTCACTGGCAGAACCACTTACAGTTGCAAAGTATCGCATGGCGTACTTAGCTGAGACTGTTTTTCCTGCCCCAGACTCTCCACTTACAATGATGGACTGATTTCGTTCATCTCTGTAAAACAAAGAAGAGTAACTGACAGTGCTGCCCACTTCTGAATGTAATTAACATTATTTCCTCCGTGTTTTCATCAATGAGTCATGGTGAGTCTCTGCTGGTTCATATATGCAACAATGTGGGAAAGAAATTAAGAATGATATTTCCTAATAAAAATAACTACTTTCAAACTAACAATAAACAGGGAGAAAAAAAATATCAAGCATTAAATTAGAAAGCATCACATCTAAGAATAAATCTGTACTCATGGGGCTCTGAATTTTTTGTGTACACATATCTTAGACGTATTTTTTTATCCCTAGAAAATCATTTTAGTATATTATAATACTGTTGTCAACTGCCTCAGAAGAGAAATAGCAAAGGACTTTAGAAAAAAATCCTATTGAATTATAATTACAGCCCTGCCCTGGCTGCTGTAGCTCCGTAGATTGAGCGCGTGCTATGAACCAAAGGGTCGCCCATTCGATTCCCAGTCAGGGCACATGCCTGGGTTGTGGGCCAGGTCCCAGCAGGGGCAAGTATGTGAGAGGCAACCACACATTGATGTTTCTCTCCTTCTCTTTCGCCCTCTCTTCCCCTCTCTCTAAAAATAAATAAAATCTTTTTAAAATTATAAATTGTTTACTAGTTAATATATCATAAAGTAGAGTCTCCCACAAGCTCCAGCTTCTACTAAAATATCCTCACTATCAGAGGAAAAGTGCTTCATTCATGCTTGATTTGTTCATATATGTCAGAACTCAGAGACTATCACTGTTACATCTTTACTTCATTCACACAATGACTCAAAAACTCTAAGTGATGAACTTGCTCAATAAGACTGTCGTTTCTGTGAGGATAAGGACTAATGTCATCTTTACCTTTAATATCCAGCACCTAGTCCAAAGCCTGACAAATCACAAATGTTCAGTGAATCTGTATTGATCATAAGTAAACGGAACTCAGGAACAACTGGGCCTAGGAAACAATCTCTCTGCTCTGGCTACGATTTTCCTACTTCTAGGACAGAAGTAGGAAACCCCCACTTCCTGAGACAAAAGCAGTCGTCAGCTTTAATTCATCAAAATAAATGAGCAAGTACATAAAGTTGGTATCATTTGGGCCCTTAATTTACAAAGAGTCAAGATGACTTTCAAAGGTTTTTAGGTGGAACTATCTTATATGGACACAAGATAGGGCAGGTTATTCCATTATAGATGATATTTTTATCTTTTAAAAGAGATTTATTTATCCAACAAATATTTATTAAACACCTACTACTTGACAAACATTATGCTAAACACCAGAGATACAAGTTACGTACACCATGATCTGCATCCCCACATGGTTGATGATCCAGTAGGAAAGACAGACTACATTTCAAGATTATAATATCCGTGATAACACATTAAGAGAAGCAAGAGGAGATCAGGGAAGGCTCCCCAGAGCTGAAACTTAAGCAAGGTCAAGCAAGAAAGAAGGAGTAGGAGAAAGCAAGCAAGAGATGAGACAGTTGGGAAGGGAGTATTCTAGGGAAAGGAGATAACATAAATGAAACCTCAGATTCATGGGAAGTGAGAAAAAGGCAGATAGTTCACTTTGGCTGGAACACGAATTAAATACAAATAAGATTGCAGAGCTTAGCAAGAACTGAATCATAAAGGCTTTACATGAGAGGTTAAAAATTTTGAAGTTTAACTAAAGGTCACGGAGTGCCACTGCAGGGGTTTTAAACAGAAAATAACAACTCTTTTAGTAAGATCACTCTGGCAGCAATATGGAATATGGATGGCAAAGGGTCGAGATGAAAAGATTGTGAAAGTCTGAACACAGGTTGTTGTGGTCATTGAGAGAGGCAGATGGCTTAAGAGATACAAAAGTGGTAGGAATCAACAATAGTAATTGGTAATAAACGTCCAAAGTAGAGATACAGCACTTTTCTAAGGAAAAGGTTCTTTCTTTTTTCTTTGAGAAAATGAGCGTCACTGCCTTATTTTACAGACCTGGAAAAATACAGGAGAAGTACAGTGCAGGCCTAACTGAACACATTCAGACACCACCAGGGCCACGTCGCCACCCGTTCCTGACGCTTGGACTCCCACGTTGTGGGGAAAATCGGGAGGACCTTGGTGACACACTAAGGGACATCAAATTATTACGGAACAAGCTTGCACGTAATCCTGTTTTACGAAACTACCTTGTCCTTCATTCTCATCATCTCATTTCCTTTTTATTTGACTTTCTAGACTGTACTGGATAGTCCCCCTACCTCTGACTTCAAGATAAATCACTGCAGCAAAACAGTTCTTGTGGTGCCAGTGGCCTTCCTTTTAGTCATCTACAGTGTTCTCAGAATTTATATTTCTCAACACATTAATCAAGAAACAGTATCAGCAGTCTTCAGATTACCTTCTACAATAGGACTAGAAAAATTTTCCCCTAATTCTTGCATGATCCGGTACTGTCACTACGCCCCGTGCGACAGCTAACTTGGTGAAAGTCTCCCAGCATTTCCAATGGCAAATAAGCCAAGAAGGTTGCCGCTCGTCTGATGAAAAGGAAATACGAATAGGAATTGTCATCCTAAACTGTATTGCCACCTTTGAAAAGCTTTACTTCAAGTTTTAAAAAACCTACAAATTCACATGAGTCCTTTCCTATAACATGGGGAAGAAAAATATTAGAAGCAACAAAATCAAGGACTGTTCAAACAAATCAGGGATTTGTACAAATGCACACACACACACACACACACACACACACATACGTTCTGATGTCAGGCATGTGCCAAATAGATTTTCTTTTCCCTGATTTACAATCTTGTGTTCATATAACCAACAGTTTTTTAAAGGTTTTTAAGGGACTTTATTATATCTTTATTATTCCTGACTTTTTGGCAGAGAGAATTCTTTTTTTCCCAAGCCTAGTAGAACATTTCCATATATAAACGAGTACCACTCTTCCATTATACAAACTTCTCTGAACCCAGATTCCAGTCCTAGCTTGTCCTTTACCAGTTCCAAGGCTTTGAGCAACAGCATGGCCTCTCTGGGCCCCAGTTTCCTGTCTTTAAGATTAAATGGCACCTAAGGTCCCCTCAAAAGCTGAAGTACTGTGATCTAAAAGTCAAACTAACTTTTCAACTGGTTTTTAGATATTGGACTGGTCATTAGCCTGCACTGTAAGCCAGGGCAAACTCTTGGAACAACTAGAACAGGGCTGGCCTGTGATACTCAGGCCATCCTGAATGACAATACATGAGATGGGCAACACTTCTTCTCTGGAGAAGCCCTGAATTAGAGATGGCCAAAATCAGTAAAGAGCTACAAAGAGAAAAATTTAAAATAACCCATTGACTTGCTTTTAAATTAAGAACAGGAATCAGAAATCTTTATAAAGTAAGTACAAAAAGGTCTTTAAAATGTTTTTCAGTTCTATGTGGCCTTTGGAAGAAATGAAGAAACTAAGTAATGAACTGATTCATGTAGAACACCATTCAGTGCATCCACCCACGGTGATATTTACTCTCTGGTAACCACCCACTGAGGGCTGCGGCCTACCTGGGTAAGTACACAAGCACCTAGGCCTAAGTTTTAGCTTATAAACAAACACTGTTTGTGAAACAAAACCTAGAGTTCTATCTTTTTGCAGGCACTCAGCCTAGTAATTTCTCCCTTTATTTGATCCCTCGTTAAAAAAAGAAACAGCCCTGGCAGGTGTAGCTCAGTGGACTGAGCGTGGGCTGGGAACCAAAGGGTCACCAGTTTGATTCCCAGTCAGGGCACATGCCTGGGTTGCAGGCCAGGTCCCCAGTGAGGGGCACGTGAGAGGTAATCACACATTGATGTTTCTCTCCCTCTCTTTCTCCCTCCCTTCCCCACTCTCTGAAAATAAATAAATCTTAAAAAAAAAAAAAAAAAGAAAACATTTAGTGCAACATAATGCTTTCCTTCAAAGCTGTGTTTTTACTGTGGTGACTTACAGATGTGGCCTCACTTGATACTCCCTTATTAGAGAGATGCTAAATTTTCCTATGTTATTCTTCTCAAAATCAAGCTACTCTGCTATCTCTCTCTGATTTCGGCTTTTGATCAATCCCCCCCAAAAGATTTAGATTTTATAAAAAGTTTATACCAGACAATAAGCTCATAATGACAGTATTAAGTATTATTTGTAAAGTGTAAATATTTACTATAAAAGAGTGTGCTGGCTCTGGCGAAAGCTGTGCTTAGAGAGGCAGAGACACGGACTGTGCAGGAAGTGAAAATACGCGTTTCCTAGAAATACACACTGAGGTCATTTCATTGCTGGTAAGCAGCCTGTCACATGGCTATCAGATCCTTTCCTGTCAATCTAACTTTTTTATTCCATCAGTACAGAGCCTCTGAGATTAATATAAAGATCATAACAGATGTAGTAAATTATATTTCCTTATAACTTTTACAAACTCTTATACTTACTGTATTTTATTCCTGCTGCAACCCTATGAGGAAGATGTACTCAGCAAGTCTCAAATTCATATAATAAAGATTCTGAAGAGGAACCATTTACTGGGAACTGAGGTGGTCTAAAAATAAAGTTTGAATGAAATCATGAAGAATAATAGAAATCAGGCAGATGAAGGAGCACAAAAAGGATATTCTAGGCTAACTGAAAGGTGCAGAAATAGAAGTATGCCGTGTTAACGGGAGGGAATGGGTGTATTAGAGCAGGGCCACCCAGCTGAAAGTAAGAAAACTACATGCCAAAGAAGAAAGGCTTTGGAGTCGCAGAGCTGGATTCAAATCTCAGTTCCCAGACACTATTTATTAGTATGCTAACCAAAACAAGTTACTTTCCTCATCTGTCTGCTCCCTGCGATGTCATGAAGATTAGCGGGAACATTTGACACCATGCTTGGCACATAGTAGGCCATCCAAACATGGTAGCAATTAATTAATGTAAGTTAATCTACCTTTACACCATATGTAAAACTCTTATCAGGTAGCGTGCATTACTTCAAGTCTGTCTGCATAAATAGGATATGAGCCCCAGGTGGTTAGCAGTATACAATTGTCCAACCTTTTTGAAAGTCTGAATTTTCCCTGGCTGGTGTAGCTCAGTGGATTGAGCGCCAGCCTGCGAACCACACGATTGCGGTTCAATTCCCAGTCGGGGCATATGCCTGGGTTGCAGGCCAGTTCCCAGCAGGGGACTCACGAGAGGAAACCATACATTGATATTTCTCTCCCCCTCTCCTTCCCTTCCTCTCCAAAGATAAATAAATAAAATCTAAAAAAAAAATGTCTGAATTTTTTTTAAGTTAAGAAAACAGAAAAGGCAGCTTTACGATGAGGCTCCCTCTGAGCCTAGAACATACACCCTCCGGCCCACCCGGCATTCTGCACCTCCTTTTCTGACTTTGTTTTTCACAATATCATATTAGTATGTGACAGCCTGTGTATCTTTACTTTTGCTGTTTATCATGCCTCACTTGACGATGGTAAAACTGTGACTATTTTGTCTAATTCATTTGCTGCTGTGTCCCCTAGGCCTCAGACTGTGCCGGGACAGTGCTCAGTGAAGACCTGCTGAACAAGCAGTGACCTGCACCTTCCCTGAAGGTGCGAGGGGCCTGTCGGAGCACCGGTAATGCTCCAGAGACCATGTCTAGTAAAGATGGCAATCTTCATTTGGTAAGAAAAAAAACAACATCAATTCCACACTATAGGTCTAAGCAGACGTGGCCTTATTTAGCTGTTGTGGCACATTTTATGCGTGTAGATTTATTCATATACAAGGTAAACAAAATATCATAACTAGTTGAAGCATATGGTAAAACTGCACAAAAAAAACTGAACAAAGAAAAAACCAACAAACAAACTTAGAGTTAATGAGTCACACTGAGTGGCTGAGCTACAGAGGAATAATGAGGAGGCGGATGTTAGAAAGCCAAATCTAAGGGTAAAAGGCAAGAAATATTCATATAAATCTAATACTATCTGTGGATTACCAATAACAAAGATGGTAAGAGCCAAGCTTTCATGTATACAAAGAGCATTTTCAAAGAAGTCATATAGTTCTCTACGAACGGCATAAACTTTCCAGAGGTTACTTTCAGGTTCTGGCCCGGCATGCGCCTCCCTCTCTGCCTCGCTGCTCTCAGGCTGTGCTCACGCGGGCTCACTGTCTGCAGCGCTGCAGGACCACACCAATACAAACTGGCGGGCTTTTGAACTTCGGGAGGATACAGTAACAGATGGAATTTTTTCAATTTTAAGCTTAAAAAAAACCCCAAAGTTTCTTAAACTTTTGACAGTTTAATTACTATTTTATAGTAGAATCTGGTATAATATGGCAGGTTACATAGTATAAAACTCTGGTTAGTCATTTTATATTTAATATGTTAATTTTTCATAGTATCAGATTAATGAAATTTGAAAACTAGTTTTCCTACTTATGTGGCCTTGGGAAAGCCATATAACTTCTCAGCAAAATGAAGATTAATAGTAATACCACCTCAGAAAGTTCTAGGTTTGTGAGGCTAAAATTAGCTAATAAACAGAAGGCAAATAAACAATATCTTGCACAAAGAAAGTACTTAATAATTATTCGCTGCTCTTAAGGTATCAATAATATTTTATTAATAAAAGGGCATAATGTTTTCTATGGACTGTCGTTGAAAAAATTCCAAAAAGTTCTGTCACATGGAGAGTAAAATTCTGTCAAACTCCCCCTGGTTAGAAAGGAAAAGGGAAAAACCTCTGCAGTATTAGTTTTCTTGCCACCTCATGAAGTGTTTGAGGGTTTCCCATATCATTTTTATAGTATGCCAAGTTCTTACCTGTAGGCTAGAAATACCTGTAGGCTGGAGAAATGAGTTAAATATATACTATTCTTCTACACATCCAGTTTTGAATTATATCACATTATATTATTAAGAGTATGATCTAGACTTAAAAGTAGCCTTTTCCCCCATTCTCTTCTCTTAAAATGTTAGGCTTCCATGGCTAATATCAAAGACATTTTGCTGATGCTACTGAGGATCACTGATGCCCTAGTATACAATGCTAACATCAAAATTCCCAATTTCCTTGATATTTATCTCTTTAAGATACAGGCAGATTTCTTCCAGCACTTAGGCCTTTTAGTTCTTGTCAGCCACTCAGCTGAAAGACATTGGGGCAAGACATTCGATACCACCAAACCCTTGGTCTACTCATCTGCAGAACACAACATCTCTCCTCGCACAGTCACAGGACCATGATGAGATTCCAATGGCAATTTTAAAAAGTCGTATATCCTTTTACGAATGTAGGCTATTTAACAACAATGCAGGCCATCTAAGACACACCAGTCAAGGCTGTTTAATAATAGTTTATAAGTTGTCATTCACTGTATTTTAAAATATCTGTGACTCTGCAAAAAAGAAATGGTCACATCTAATAAGAATCATGAAATAACAGCCTTACCAACCTGGCCATTTGCTTATAAGCTTCTTCAGCAACTGCAAAGATATGTGGATCCATATCACCCATGTTCTGACCACTATATGCATTGATAATATCTTCTCCATAAATAGGCAGCTGCTCATAAGGATTTATAGCAACTAGGACTATACCTGGAAAAGGGGGTGAAAAAGCAAAAGAAGTCAATTATATTCTAATGGGCATATTAAATTAGTTAAGTGCGAATCATAGTGGGCATATTAAACTTTGTTAAGTGAGAACAAATTTCTATTTCAGTTAATACTGATCAAATTGTTAAGAATAAAAAATGCCATGCATAGCCTTTGCCTTGGAACCCATTATATCTAGTCCTAAATACAACACCATTTATTTTTCTATTTTTAATTTTTTTAATCCTCACCCAAGGATACATTTACTGATTTTAGAGAGAGGAAGGGTGAGAGAAAGAGAGAGAAAGGAACATTAATGTGAGAGGGAAACATCGATCAGTTGCCTCCTGTGTGCACCCAACTGGACAAAACCTGCGACCTTCTGGTGTACGGGACGGCGGTCCACGAACCGAGCTACCTGGTCAGGACTAAATACAACACCACTGAAAAGCTACACTAGGTTATTTAAAATAATGACAATTGTGGTAATGTTAACAGAATTCTAAATATTTTCCTAATATTTACATCAAAATTCTACTTCTAGAAATTTATCCAAATGAAAGAATCAGAGATTCGTGCAACAGACTTTTTAAAGGTGTTTATCATAATGTTATCTATAACAGTGAAAAGTGAAAATAAACAAAGTACAGAATAGAGTGGTTAAATACATTTTGTCACAGCCAGAGGAAATACTGGTGTGCTACCACAACAATCTTTTTAAAGAATATTAAATGTCATAGAAAAACATGACACAAAACTATACAGAAATTGATTCCAATTTTATATCCAATTATACTCTCTTATGTTTACACACATATAGCATATAAGTCACAATGATACTGGTTATTTTTCAGTGGTGAATTACAAGTAATTCTTTTCCTTTTTAATAGTTTTTTTGTATTTCCTTAAATTTTACAGTATGTATATATTAACTTAATGAAGTCACTCATTCGACAAAATTTTTTTTAGCTCTAACTATGAGGGGGGACCCCTCACACACACAAAAAAGAATTATCTTCTGGAGGATGGGCCCCTTGTAGTACAGGTTCCCCCTGCTAGATTAGTGTTCTAGGAACCCATCTGTATCCGTGTACCTCACATCTTCAGCTTCAGTGAATTTTTTTGAAGATTCTTTGAACACATTTGTGCATTTCGTGATGGGTGGGTTATTTACTAAGCTGAGTGTTCAGCAGTTTTTGACCAAAAACAGCATGACCCCCATGCACCACCCTCCTATTCACCTGATCTTACCCCAAGTAACATTTTTCTTGTTTCCCCCTGGTTGGTTTACAACAGTAAACAAAAAAAGAAATCTTTACCCTCATGGACCTTATTATATTTTCGCAGGACACTGAAACAATTAGCAAGGTAAATAAAAATGTATGTATTATAGGTCAGATGGTGGTAAGGAAAAGGAGAAGATTTAAATGGAAAAGGAAGACATACTAAGAAAACAAGGGGTTTATGATTTAGGTGACAGGGTAGGGCAGGGAAGGCTTTATCAAGAAGGTAACATATGTGCAAAACAGATTAAGGAAAACCCTGGCTGGTGTAGCTCAGTGGATTGAGTGTGGGCTGCAAACCAGAGGGTGGCTGGTTCAATTCTCAGTCAGGGCACATGCCTGGGTTGTGGGCCAGGTCCCCCGTGATGGCCAACCCCACACTGATGTTTTTCTGTTTTTCTCCCTCCTTTCACCTCTCTCTAAGAATAAATATTTTTTACAACCTTAAAAAATTAAAGAAAAAGGAAAATTGAAGAAAAGATATATTCAGTTAATACATAGGGAAGAAAACAGTTAATATCAAGGATATAAAAGATAAATTGTCTTTTCTTTATTTTTTTAAATTATACCTTATTGATTATGCTGTAACAGTTGTCCCAATTTTCCCCTTTTGCTTCTCTCCACTCAGCACCCCCAACTCCCTCAGGTAATCCCCCCACCACTGTTCATGTCCATGGGTCAAGCACATATATTCTTTGGCTTCTCCATTTCCTATACTGTACTTTACATCCCCATGGCTATTCTATAACTACCTATTTGTACTTCCCAATCCCTGGACCACTTCACCCATGCCCCCATGCTCCCTCCCTTCTGGCAACCATCAAAACACTCCATATCCCCGATTCTCTCTCTCTTCTTGTTTGTTTAGTTTGTTTTGTAGACTCAATTGTTGATAATTATGTATTTGTTGCCATTTTGTTGTTCATGGCTTTGATTTTCTTCTTTTTCTTAAATAAGTCCCTTTAACATTTCATATAATAATGGTTTGGTGATGATGAACTCCTTTGGTTTTTTCTTGTCTGGGAAGCTCTTTATCTGCCCTTCAGTTCTAAGTGACAGATTTGCTGGGGAATCTTGGCTGTAGGTCTCTGCTTTTCATGACTATGAATATCTCTTGTCAATCACATTTAGCCTGCAAAGTTTCTTTTGAGAAATCAATTGACAGTCTTATGAAAATTTCTGGTAGGTAACTAACTTCTTTTCTCTTGCTGCTTTTAAAATTCTCTCTTTATCTTTAACCTTTGGCATTTTAATTATGATGTGTCTTGGTGTGGGCCTCTTTGCATCCATCTTGTTTGAGACTCTCTGTGCTTCCTTGACTTCCATGTCTATTTCCTTCACAAAATTAGGGAAGTTTTCTTTCATTATTTTTTCAAATAGATTTCCCATTTCTTGCTCTTTTTCTTCTCCTTCTTGCATCTCTATGATGCAAATGTTGGAACATTTGAAATTGTCCCAGAGGCTACTTCCATTATCTTCTTTTTTTTTTTTTTTTTTGGATTCTTTCTTCTTCTTGTTGTTCTGATTGTTTTGTTTTTTGCTTATGTTCCAAATCATTGATTTGATACTCAGCTTCATTCACTCTACTGTTGTTTCTCTGTAAATTGTTCTTTATTTTAATTAGTGTATCCTTCATTTCTGGCTGGATCTTTTTAATGCTATAGAGGTCCTCACTAAGTTCCTTGAGCATCCTTATAACCAGTGTTTTGGACTCTGCATCTGATAGATTGCTTATCTCCATTTTGTTTAGATCTTTTTCTGGAGTTTTGATCTGTTATTTCATTTGGACCACATTTGTTTGTCTCATTTTGGCAGCCTCCCTGTGTTTGTTTCTATGTATTAGGTAGAGGTGCATGATAACCTGTCTTGGTAGCGTGGCCTAATGTAGTAGGTGTCCTGTAGGGTCCAGTGGCACAGCCTTGCCTATCATACAAACTGGGTATTCAAGGTGTGCCGTCCATGTGAGCTGAGTATACCCTTTTCTTGTAGTTGAGTCTTGATTACTGGACCAGGAATTGAACCTGCAACCTTTCAGTTTATGGGACAATGCTCTAACCAACTGAGCCGCACCAGCCAGGGCAAAGATACAAATTCTGTTAAGACAAAAAGACAATGACTGGTGTCAATAAGTTGGTTGGGCACAAAGTAAAAGGTCACCAGTTTGATTCCCTATCAGGGCACATGTCTGGGTTGCAGGTTCAGTTCCAAGTTGGGGCGTGTATGAGAAGCAACTGATTGATGTTTCTCTCACATTGATGTTTTTCTCCCTTTCCTTCTCACTTCCATCCCCTCTCTCAAACAAACAAACAAACAAATAAATAAAATCTTTTTAAAAAGAGGAGAAGAAAAAGAAAAGGCATTTGTTCCTGTCCAAAAAAAGAGGGATAATGAAGAAATGGTCATCAATGTGCAGGGCACCCCAGGCAAATAAACTTAGAAGGAAATGAATGGAAATAATAGATCTAAGACTTAGGAAAATGATTAATGAAAGAAAAATGAGAAGTTAGTAGAGAAGAAAAGCCGGGGATATGAGAAAAAAATAAAGGATAAAAAAGAAAATAGAAAAGAGGGAAAGGAACCCAAATGTGCATACATGTGCATGCTTCATTTGTAAGACAGAAAAGAATCCTGAGCTGGGCCCCTGGCAGCTAATACTACAATAAGCAGGGGCCTAGGCAAGCAGATCAAAGAAGAATTGCTACTATATCCTTTTGCGACAGTATAGATGGTCCTGGAGAGTACTATGCTAAGTGAAATAAGCCAAGCAGAGAAAGACAAGTACTATATGATTTTGCTTACACGTGGAATTTAATGAACAAAATAAACAGACAAACAAAACAGAAACAAACTCAGATATATAAAACAGACTGTTAGCTGACAGAGGGGAGGGGTTTACAGAGCTAGATGGAAGAGGTGAAGGGAGGGAGGGAGGTGGAGAGGGAGGGAGGGAGGGAGGGAGGGAGGAAGGAAGGAAGGAAGGAAGGAAGGTAGGAAGGAAAGGGAAGGGAAGAGAAAGGAAGGGAAGAAAAGAGAAGGGAAGGGAAGGAAAGAAAAGAAAAGAAAAAAGAAAAGAAAAGACAAGACTCACAGACACAGACAACAATACGGTAATTACCAGAGGGAAAATGGGTGAGGGAAGGTAGAAGTTGTTACGAGTGGATAAATGGTGATGGAATAAGACTTTACTTTGGAAGGTGAACATACAATATGATATACAGATGATGTATTATAGAACTATATACCCAAAACCTATATAATTTTATTAACCCAATACATTTAAAAAAATAAAAATGGCTACTACAAATCAAGTCGGTCCTGCATTTCTAAGTCATTGAAAAAAGACAACACTAAACTTCTTGTACCAGCTCCAAAGACAACTCTTTAGATATCTATTCTTGATGTATTTTAAGAGAGATGAAAATAACTGCCACATTGGCATTTAATTTGGTATATAAATTCAGTGGAGGGAATATCCAAAAGAGGAGCTTAGTATTTTTTATTCTGATGGAAATTATGTGAGTTCACAAAAAGAGCTATTCAGCATTAAGTGCAGTTGGTTAATGATCACTCTGAAGTGAAATTGCCTGTAAGAGAAAATCCAATCACATACATTCCTCATTCCCCAGGCACAGTATTTCCATGCTTATGCCCATTAGAGGAAAGAGTTCACAGTTCACTCAGACAGCAAAGTACACATACCACAATATGTATAAATAAGTTTGGAGTCAATAAAGCGGACTCTGAGATTGTGGAGCACAGCAGGCTCATGAAGATAGCTGAGGGCCGTGAGGTCATTTTCACCCACAAGTATGTCAGGGTTTCTTAAGTGAGGCAGTTCCTTGGTCTTTGGATCTAGACGATATTCCAACTCCTGAAAATGCACAAGACACAGCATCTGGATAAATCAGGCAGTAAACAAGAAACAGGGCCATGCATTTTGCTTATTTCCTATTTCTGACTTGCTTCTCAACTATTAAATGCATTATTTTCCTGGCACCTTCCAAAACCACAGAAATGGTGAAAATGGCAAAAGAAATGAGTTTTCTTTTTTACTAGATGTATTAAATCATATTAACAATTTTTGCTAATATTTTAAGAAGTATTAGCCTATATCTTCTTTTACCCAGTTACTGAACCATTAAGTATCTAACCTTTAAGTTCTTCTCTTCACCTAGGATAAACTGAAGACAGTGTAACACAGTGGTTAAGAACTTGGCTCTAGAGTGAGATGGACCTGAGTTCAAATTCTAAAACTGGTACTTAATTCTTTTGTGGTCTTGGGTATGTTACTTAACCTAAATCCTTCACTTGTAAAATGGGCGTGACAGAATCAGTTCACAGGGTGTGGTAGAAATTAAAGGAGACAATGCCCAATACATGGTAAGTACCTGAGAATACTGAACCCCAACAGATCTAAGAACCCCCTGAAACTAGCTATAACTCTGTAAGTGTGTATCTGTAAATATATACATATATATGTACGTTGTTTGAAAGACAGTCCATAGTTTTATTTTGATTTTTAATGAGATGTTTGGTCCCAAAAGTTAAGAAGTACTACTCATTTTAAAGACGAAAGAATATGGCTTTATGGCAAAGCCAAGCATGGAAACTGTGACTCAGCTATGTATTAAGGACAAATAACATACAAGTAAAAAAGGAAAAATGCAACTTAATTGTAGGGAGGGACAAGCTGGTTTTGTAATAAGTCACCTTTGTTAATACTGAAGAGCTATACAGAGGTCAGATATTCAAATGTGGTTGAAATGAACTATGCTAAATGGTGAGGAAATTTTGCAATCTGGTCCTCTACCTCTCCCTGCCTGCTTATTAGGGTAAAATGCTTTTCCCCAAAGCTGACTGGCCCTTGCAATATACAAAAGCCACTTCTGGCTGTGTGATCTCAGGCAGAACTACTTAATGCCTCTGAACTCTGGCTTCCTTATTTGGAAACTAGTTATAATATCACCTACTAACCCACAGGGTTGCTGTGAAAATTAACAAGAAAATATAGCCCAAAGTACCTAACATGTACCTAATATTGAGTAGATGATCAATAAATGTTGAATAAATTGATTCCTTAGTTTGGCATTCAAGGCCCTCCTAATCTGGCCTAATTCTTCCCTACTGTCTTCCCAACTATTCTTCTTGCCTCTGTGTTGCTCTCCTGAAGTTTATCCTGCATGCTGCTATCAATGAGGCCTTTCTAAAACACAAACCTGGCACCCTCTTTTGTTTACAAACCCTGCAGTCCCTCCCTGTCACTCAAAATACAGATAAAGAGACGTTGAAGTCTTAGAGTTTTAGCAGGAAAGCAGGCCTTCTGTGATCTGGCTCCCATCCCTTTTGCTGGTCCTGTATTCTCACTTTATATACCAACAAAATGAACTTGTGTAGTTCCCCAAACACACAATACTGTGCATGTCTCCCTGCCTTTGCCCATGCTTTCCTGCACCCTGAAATGCACGCCCCTTGTCTACTCATTCCTCAGACAATGCTTCTCTGACTCTTTACCTGCCCTGGCCCCCTGACCACTCCCCCCGCTCTGTTCTACTTTTGTTCCTCGTTTACACTTATTATGAATCACACTATTCAAAAGTACATCTATTTCTCTTACTTGACATTGATGTCAGAGAGCATACCTTTTGCCACCTCTTAACATGGAATACAGCCAGTACCTTAATATTCAAGCCCTGAATTAGAACACAAACCCTTTTAAATCTCTATTCCAATCGACTTGTTATAATCACTGTCTCCAAAATGCATCCCAATCCTTACAGAGTCTACCCCCTTTCTCTCTGTCAATTCAAATTCTACCTACCTTTTAAGACCCAGTCAAAATCCTTCCTCCTTAAACCTGCCAAAGCAGCCCATAATGAAATGCCCCTCTGTGGGGAACCTGAAGTCCTCACAGTCTTTACAGCATAGTAGAGTGGTTATGAGCACAAACCAAGAAGGCAAATTTCCTGGCTTTAAATCCCAGCTTCATCCCTTAATACCTTTATAACTTGGTGCAAGTCCCAAACTCTGAGCCTCAGTGTCTTCATCCATAAAGTTGTAATAATAATAGCCTCACCTCATAGGCTTGTTGTGAGGATTGGATGAGTTATAGCAGATAAAGCACTTACTAAGTGCTCAATATCTGTTAACTGTCAGGATAGTGTTAGTCAACTGGTGGATCATCATAAACTTACCTTTGACATCTTTGTGGTATTGAACTATTCTATATATACTGTATTTTACTTAACTTTTCATGTATTTATACCTAGTTTCCCTGGCTAGATGACAAGTTGCTTAATGGAAATTAATGTCACACAGGTTATTAAGAAAAAGTGGGATGTGCCTTGTCAAACACAGTAGAGATTAACAAGTGCGGCACCATGACAGCCCACTCATCCAGTGAATGCAAATAGGGAAATATAGAGACACAATTGGCTTTAAATTTTATTTTTTAAGTATTTTTCAAATAAGTAGTTCCAACAAATACCAAATCTCAGACTAGCTCCTTAGATAATATAATGAATTACAGGGTCTGGCAGCAGTAAGGCCTGCTCGAGTGTGGTTGGTATGGTAATAATATGGGTGTAATAATTTATAGTTTAAATTTGAACATTTCACCTAAAATGTCATGTGGTATGCTTGAGTGTGATATTGTTATGTTACAGAATTACATGCTTATGATTTTGTAATAAAAAAGGTACATTATTGTGTTGGACCCTGTATGTTAGTTAATATTAAAATATTTTAATGCCAGCCTAAACAAAATACAGATAGAGACACATATTTGGGAGGACTATATGTGAACCTAAACCAAATCATAATCAATTAATGAAGCAAAATAATGGATTTTTTAAGTATCTGCTATTTCCACTAACCCTTTGGGATAGAGAATTGAATTTGCCATTGTGACATTCTCTATCTAAAAACTTAATAAGTAAAAATATTAAATTAAGTTTAAATTAAATGAAGTTCAAAATTTAACTTCCAGCTGAAGTTACATCTATCACAGCAAACACACTTTTGAATTCTCTTTATTTTATGCCAATGACAACAAATAAAAGCAAAATTCTTACCTTTCCTTCCTCAAGGTGAAGCAATAGGACTTTATCTCCAGGCTTATAATCTTTGAGCAGCTCTGCTGACTTCCAAACTTCCTCAGGATCAGGTATCCAAACCCTGGCAAACTAGAAAACAAAAAGAAAAATTAAACAAAAAAAATCAATTATTTTATGGTGACATATAAAACATATGGATTTACCTGGCTGGTGTAGCTCAGTGGATTGAGCGCGGGCCTGCAAACCAGACAAACGCGGTTCGATTCCCAGTCAGGGCACATGCCTGGGCTGCAGGCCAATTCCCAGCAGGGGACGCACGAAAGGCAACCATATATTGATGTTTCTCTCCCTCTCTCCTTCCCTTCCCCTCTAAAGGTATATAAATAAAATCTTAAAAAAACAAAAACGTATGGATTTATCTATAATTAAATAATGTATGAAAAAATAACTCTTGGCTAATATGAAATTTACTTTTTAAATTAGTAGATAAGAAGTATTTTAGCTCTACTAGTACTATCATGTCCACATAACTTAAGAAGTATGCTCTGTATTTAGTAATAATTTCACAATATATGTAAGTCAAATCACTATCCTATGTACCTTAATCTTATACAGTGCTGTATCTCAAATATACCTCAGTAAAACTTGGGGAGAATCTATGCTCTGAAGAGATAGCTTCAATGAACGTATGACTTTGCTTTCATAATAAATGGTACCTGAAAATATATAATTTTAGGTTAAAATGTACATATAAATCTATTTTCTCACTAAGCGTGAACTTTCAAAACATGATCTTGAATCACTGGCGTGGTGCTCTGCCAGCAAACATATCCCTCTATGGCAGGATTTATAACTTTTTATTGTGGTTTTCACCCTGTGCTCTGTAGAGCCGTAGTGACTGATTACTCACGTGCCCCAGGGCCACTACAGTGTGGACAGAACCAGAAGCTCGTGACTTGGAGCCACAGCTGTTTGACATGCTGGGTATTTGGAATTTTCTTTGAAGGAAGTTCTGTTGTGTGTGAGAGAGAAAGTATTGTTGTCTAGTACTGTACCTTCATTATTTTATAAAAATGAGTGAAAATAGTAAAAATGTGTATTTGGCCAGCAATATGTTTGGGTCTCATGGCTTCAATATCATGAAAATAGTATGGCCAAGGGTTCCTGAAGCAGATCTTTAGCTTCCACTAGACACCCTGGATTTAAGACAATTTTGAACTTCGGGTTAATGATAAAGAAAAAGAACAAAATATAGTAACATGAAAGAAGACTCCAAATACTATACTGAAGAGATGCACTATGATTTCACGGATTCCTCAGGAAGGAGTCTCCCTTGAAAACTATGTGCCCTAGTCCCTGATGCCCAGTTTCAGGAACACATGAAAATACCACTATCAGCCTTTCTCCACCTCATTTTCCTTAGAGGTCTCATTACTACCGGAACTTATTTACTGCTTGTTTACTTATTATTTCTCTATCTTCATTAGACCATAAGCTCCATGTCTGTATTGTTCAACATAATATAGAGTACCTGTGTACCTGGTACACACCTGGGCACTTAGTATTTGTTGAAAGAATCTCAGAATGAAAGTTATCTCCTTAAATTGAATAAAACAGTATGGTGAAGTAAACTTGCCCATTGCTTTATTGTTCTCTTACTACCACACACTCATGCACACTTTTTGTCTGAACAGTTTGCAGATGAACAGTACTGAACTAAGTTATGGGTCCTAATCTCAGAACCCCATATTGGCCTTTGATCAGCCTTTGATTCGGCATCTGTACAGTAGGGGTGATAGCAGCCGTCATCTCATTTACCTCAAGGGCGTACATACAGAACCCTTGTGGAAAACACAGACCAATATATAAGTACAATTGTTAGTAAGTGTTTTTCCATAGAAGCGATTGCTAATGTTCTGTGTCAAATATGTTTCTGAAATCAGTTATGTAACCCCCCCCCCAGTTAAACAGCCCATAAACTAAATAAATACACATTACTAAAATCTTACTCATTCAATAAACATTCTGGGTACCAAGTGCTATAACTCTGAAGTTCACTTTAGAAAGACAGTATTTCCCTAACTTTCTCTGGAAGAATTTACTGTTTCTAGAAAAGATATGAAATATATGAGATAAAGAGTCATGAAGTTACCTACTACCCTTGCTGATGAAACTAAAAAAGCAAAACAGGTCCAAGTGAGCTTGCAGAAGTCTCAATGACCAGCTCTAACCATGAGATTTTCTACTAAATCTAGAAAGAAGAATCTTTGTGTTCTTTGTCAATAGCAGGCTGCAGCTCAGATCTTCACAACTATACGGGAAACAGTAATGAGTCTTTGGAAACAGACTTTTCCAAAGGCTAGACTTCCAAAAGCTAGGTATTAACAACAGATAGTAGAAGGAAGCTAAGGCCCTTGAACTCTCCAGAGGCAATATATTTAAACAGCAAACATCACCCTGATAACCAACTGCCCCTTAATTTTAACTCTATTTCTTAGAAAACTGTCAAGGAGAAATAGGCCAAAAATCAGTTTATTATTACCACTGCTATTGTATGGTTCTTTTCCACCTTTAATGGTTATTGCAGAAGCAACCATACCAGAACTGGGTCATTTGAGGAGGTATAAATACTGTAGTTGCTGAAGCCCAGAGGAATCTCCAACTGACCATGCCCCTTCCTACTGCCTCTGTCACTGCCAACCCTACTTTCCACTTTTCCCCAGACCCCCCAGAAAAACACCTACAGCAGCCGGCAGCCAGAGGAAGAGGATTAAACTTGTCCAGCCGCATCCAGTGTCCAAGACTGCAGGAAGGAAGACAAGAAGTCAAGGCCCCAAGATCACATGAGAAAGCTAGAAATGGGACATGGAAAGAGTCAGGCAGGAATCAGAAAGAGGGGTGGACACACACACCTGGAAGTCTGCTCAGGGGCTTCCTGGTGAAACAAAAGCAGTTAGACAACCCAGATGGAACACAGCTCCCAGCAAGACTAAGGAGAGTCCAGTGTCACGTAACTCACTCTGTCATGATTAACTGGTAAAGGATGGGCTTTCCTGCAATGCTCCTCATTCTCTTTTCTATTCATAGTACTCTAGTTTTGTCCCTCGTTATCTTGTAAATCCCTCAAATATCTCACTGATGATACATCAGACTTAATTTTGGTTATTTATGGGTCTCTCTGCCTCTCACACTGGACTATATATCCTTATGCCATCGTTGACACTCCTCTAAGGCTGGCTAAATTCCTTGGCCACAGTCATTGGGCAGCCCCTTTATGCTGATTTTATTTAAGGCAAGTAGGGCAAGGGAAGGACAAAAGACGTGAGAACTGGGATGAAAGGTAGCAAAGGCAAGCTTCATAGGCCTACCTCGGGATTTTTCCTGAAGCCATAAAGCACAGTTGAGATGGGGTAGGAGTCAGAGACTTAAAGAAGAGAGACTCCTGAAGTAATACGCAAAGAAAGAGTAAATATTTGATGTAGGAACTAGTAGAAGAGAAAACAAGAATTGGGAATCTGAGGTACTGTCACTAAAGCCAAAAAAATCCAAAAAATCCAAAAAACAAAACCCAAAAAACCCCGTAAGAGATGAAGAAAAGAGAAAAGAGACTTAAGGCAGATAATGTGAAAATGTAAAAACATACCAAAGATTTGTGATAATTCAAAGGAACACCTGATTAGAAAGAGAGTAAGGACAAAATGGAGATAAGCTTAATTTTGTAACAGTAAAAATCTGAGAAAATAATGCTACCACAGATTTAAGTTGCATAATAGCTTACAAGGAAAATAAAAACCATGCACTGTCCCACAGTACAGTGTAATGATGCCTACCTGGCAGTGATGAGGTAATTCTGACAGTCTCATGCAAGAGGCACTGGAAAGGCAGGCCGGGGGCCATGTGTGCACTAGTACCCGGCAGAGAGAGGCACTGAGCAGTGTTGGCTCAGCCTTGCATGGCCCTCGCACCTTCTCAGGGGTTACACGCATCATTGCACCTGGAAGGGGGCACCTGTCATCTTTCTTTTTGAATCCTACCATATTGACAGCACTCAAGAGATCCTTGACTAGTGCCAATGGCTCACTGGAGGTTTTGCTAATTTGCATTTTGTCAGTCAAGAAACCCTGAGCTGTGGGCACCAAGAGCAGTTGTTTCCGATGCCTGAGACACTGAGAACAAGACTGAGAGCACTAACAGAGTGAATGACCAGTCCCCAAGTGCTCCCAGAATCTGACCCATGTGATTCTCTTTCCTTCCTCAAACTCCCACATACGTCAATTGTTTTTGTACAGCACATGTGTACATCTTTCCTAGCTCCCCTATTAAACCATAAGCAGCTCGGCAATATGGAACCTGCCTTGATTCATGTTGGATATCCCATTGTGAACATTTGCAAAAATGAATGCCTTCTGTGACAATTCAAAAAACCTAGGATAAAAACTAATTATTCTTGAGGCTACAAACTGAAGTAGTTTAGGATTTGAATCCCAAATCATCAACATCCCTGCCTCTAAACTCTGACATTAACATTAATACTCCACATAGTTACTAAGTAACTCATATTATCCTTATAGCATATTTTAATGTAAAAATTCAGAAATTCCAACTCTAAAGCACATAGCAGGTTTTCCAGAATTTTTAGACACACATACATATACATATACACATATATATTGATACTCCATATGGTTACTAAGCAATTCATATAACTCTTATGGCATATTTTTGATATAAAAAATGCAGAATCTACTACCCTAAAGCACATAATGGGCTTTCCAGAACTTTCATGCACACACATACACACACAGCAAATACTAGTTGAATGAAAGAATGATATAACGAACTCCTATGTACCCACCACTCAGGTTCAGAGACAGAACAGCACTATCATTGAAACTCCTCAATGAAACTACATATTCTTAAACACTTCATTTTCTCTCACCACTACTATTCTCCACACCGAACTACGAGTTTGCTGTAGCCCGAAAAAGCCCTGCTGCCTCTCACTGTGTGCCGTTGCTCCGGCTATTCCCTCCGCGGGGAACACAACCTCTCCTCCTCAGCCAGCAGACTCCTATTTGTCCTTTGCGTCCGTGTTCAAGTAGCACCTGTTTTAAGAAGCCTTTCCTGAC